AATACCTCTTGTCGCACAGCTGACAAATGGCTAAGATAAGATGACAATTCCCCCGGCGCTTTTATAAATAAACTCCAACCTATCAGATGGGTAGATGGGACAGGGTTTTACTGCGTGTGTGAGCCCGTATAGGGTCTTTTTGTCTATATTATTGTATATCTGTGTTTTTTACAATGTTATTTTAAGAATGCCCCAAAGTCTTAATCTACAGTGAATCAATGTGTACAATGTCTTCAACAATCCGTGAGATTCTTTGTATGTTTTCCCTTTTGCCCTATCATGGCCACTTTACCTTCTAAGCTCCCCTCCGGTAACGTTTCATGTCACAGAGCGTTAATATATCTGCGTGCCCTTTTCATAGATACATGCACACGTACGGACCACACACACACACACACACACACGCCCACGCCACTGTGCTACAGCCCGGCATGGCCTCCCTGTGCTTCACAGTGCTTCTCCAGCAGCGGCGCTCCCCACCTACGTCTCTTCATGGAAAAGGTCACGCTGGCCACATGACCTGTTATCTGAAGAGGACCTGGTGGAACCCCAAAGCAAGCCAAGCACAATCCAATTACACCCCAGGGAGATACGCCACATTTGCTGAACTCTGCTTGAGTGATATTCTGTTTCTCTTTGGGCACTTGTAAAGATCCACTTACATGTTTATGGTCAGCCAAGACCTAGAATAAACAGATGTCTGACAAGGTTCAAACTCCTGCTGTGCTAGACTGTTACATGTAAGAAAACTGTTTTACTGTGAATTAGGATTTCAAGTAAAGAATAGTTTCATCCTGTGGAGAAAAACAATAAAAGTGTAGATACTCTGCGTTCACTCATTTGTCAAAAATGAGTTGCAGTTTGAGAGTGGACCTCCTGCATCGGCAAGGCTGGGCAGGTCTCGACTTAAATAAACATGAGTTAGCTTGAGGGAAACTGACAGCAAAGAGGCTAAAGGTCAAGCTCAGTCGGGTGACTTGGTTAGCTATGATGCATTCCATTTACTCACAACCTGTAATGCATGTCTTCACCGTTCTCTCAATCATTCCCTTCTCTTTTTACCCCAATCCCTTAACACAAAACCTGCCTAATAATTATAAAATAAATGATTATTTCCAATGCAAGTTTAACTGCTGCTTTTTCTGTAAAATGTAAGAAAACTGTTAAAATTTTGACATCTCAATTTTCCAGATCCTAGGGTGAAATCTTCTTGCTGGTTTTGTCTCAGTCCACACAAAGATACTCAAAAGAGAAAATGAGAATCTGGAAGGAGCAAATCTTTGGCAGTCTTTGCTTAATAAATGACTTAAATGATTAATTACTTGAAATTTGGACTGCACCTGATGATTAATCAGCTGATTATGTTCTTGAATAATTGTTTGGTCTCTAAAATGAGCCTAAGGCTCAGAGTGATGTATTCACAGTTTGTTTTCTCCAACCTCTAATCCATAAGGCAAAGGCTTTCAATTTAAAAAATAACTTTTGGTGAACTGGGTTTGTTCCTTCACTGCATGCGCTCTTGTCATAATATGTTACCTTCCTGAAAACACAAACGCGCCTGGAATTTGTCACCTCGCTTCAGTCTTTATGACTGTACTTCACATCAATGTCTCCACAGTTAAAAATGAACGAAACAGTCACAGAAACATATTCAGTTCTTCTCCTGACACTAACTTCAATTCACTTTTAAAGAAAATCAAATCTACTCTCCTTCATCTCCATACAAGGTCTGGAATCCACGGCTTGACATTAACCATGTAAGAGGCAGCGTGTCACCTCGACTACATCAGTGGCCGTTGAGTGCCACAGTATGTGAAAGCATCCAGAACACCCGATAAATAAAGCTTATCAAACTAGCTCGCAAGATTAGATGCTGCAGGGCCTGAAACCTGCATACCTTGCCTGCAACAAGACCATGTTTGGTGAGCAGTGGTCCACAGAAGATAAACATTAAGCATCGTCGAGCTTTGGTGTACACTGACGATGGCGTGTGAGGTTGAGCAATGAAGCAGGCATGAGAAGCCAAGCTCGCTACGGCGCTTTACTGGTGCGAATCAGTGATCCATTGAGTCACATACTACACTGTGCAAGAGGGGGGAAACGCTGCTGTTGTTCAGCATGTGAGAGTCATACCAGCAAGGTTGTTAAACTTTGGCTCTCATAAGGTCTTTAGTTTATGGTTACTTTAGTGTTGTTAAGCACAAAGCTGTCTGGCATTGTACATTGAGTAGTTTTGACAAGGGGGAACTTGATGAATGTTTCCAGACAGGAGTTAAGGTGGGAAAAGTTGAAAACAAGATGTCAAATTAGTCACTTCATCACCAATAAAGCAGCTAATATTTTACTTGAATTAAACACAACTTGTGACCAAAAAGACCAAACTCTCATGCATCACACAGAAAAAATGCAAGTCATACTCAGAAATTACTCACTTACTCTTAGTCCTGTGTGTTTTTGTGTGGATATCTACACCTGTCTGCAAAAGTGCATGTTGTGCGATTGCACCTATCCCCGCCTGCTTGTATATGTGAGTGTGAATGTGTGTGAGTGTGGTACAGTCTGCTCAAAACTTGCTGTTCCCCTGCATACAACACGCATCATTACAGCAAAGATAAAGTGCTGCTGTCTAACCTCACGTTAATTCACCTGAGTAAATTTAAGTCCCTGCCAGTCTGGATGGCTTCCAAACATTTCCACAATCATTAGGTTCCTCTGGCCATTTCTCTCTCTGTCTCGATGTCTGACTTTTACACAAAGCAAGAGACAAGCCTCGTCTAGTCTCCTCCGCTTGTGGACATCACATCAATTTAAAACATCTTTTAGGGGTTTATTTCTCAAACAAAGAGACAAACAAAAAAAGCTGCAAATTAACTAACAATTACTCTAATTTTTTGACTAATCTGCTAGTTAATTCTAAGAAAATAAATTACTTATTTGGTCTATGAAATCTCAGAAAATAGAGGCACAATTCCCCAGAGCCCAAGGTAACATTTTTAGATTGCTTATTTTGTCTGAAAACTTGTCCTTAGGGCAAAAATGTTCAGTTCAGTATCAGAAAAAACATAGGTGAGCAGCGAATCCTCACATTTGAGATGGTGAAATCAACAATGTTGCGCACTTCTGCTTGAAAATTACTCAGTTATCAAAACAGCTGCCCAAAGTGTCAGTTGACCAATTAACTGATTAACTGACTAATCATTTTAGCACTAAAACAAAGTCACTACATGCTGTGTTGAGTAATGTACAAGCTGGTAAATGCAAATTAATCAGATAATTAACTTTCATTAAAATGATTTGGAACCATCTCTCTTCCAGCTGAAGCAAATATGTTGAGCCACATAGTGCAGAAACAATTTGTTGATTAATTGTTCAACAGGAACTGTGAATCCTTTAAGTCATTTATTAAGCAAAAAAAATTTACATTTGCTGGTTTTAGCTTCTCAAATGTGGGAATTTGGTGCTTTTGTTTATTTGAGGTTTTGAACTGCTAAATGTACAAAACCAAACATTTTAAGACGTCACCTTTCCCTCTGAGAACTTGTGATTATTTAATAATGACTGTAATCAGTAGTTGCAGTCTCAGAGTCAGGTGCTGGTGAGTGGACCTTAAAACTGAAACTCTCCATTAGGTTTCCAAGAAGTCAGTACTTGTGTCTTTACCTCATCTGTGTGGTGCTACAGTAACTCCTTGCATCCATAGTAACCTCAGCAGTGGACCAAATATGGTATTACATCAGGCTGGGTATGTTTGGCTACTCAGTTACAAAGTGACGAACTGTACACTGAGCCTTAATCAAACTGCTCCAAGAGAAATATCTGATATAATCTAATATACTTTTCTTACATCACTTAGCCGCGGATATGTGGGGCTCTGAAAAAACAAGTGTGACGTTTGAATAGAAATACTTCCACGCCAAAAAAAAATCACCTCATGCGAAGAGAACCACTTCAAACTTATTTACCAAAAAGGCCATATTATGGATCCAGATTGTGCAATGTTTACAGAGGAGAAGAGGAAGAAACTGGGCTGTTATCCAGCATGTTGGAGAGGAAATACATTTTCACCAGAAACTAAATGGATTACCTCACATTTTTGGACGCACAATATCATTCTCGTGTGTTAAGATGTAATGAAGTTATATTCGTAGAGAGGCTTTTCTTGCATGACTGTAATGCAGTGGGTCTGGGTTACAAAGACTTATTGCCTACATGTTGCAGCAGCAGTTGTTAGAACTTGAATTGCTCCCTCAGCTTCAGTGAAAACTAATTCACCCTGGCTCTGAATTCCCTTTACCACTGTGTTTCAGTGTTGTGTGGAGTCTGGCTTCATGGTACAGTAAGCCAGAACTGGCAACACTTAAGTCTTTTGTCAAGTAACATATGATTATCTTCATTGTAGACATGGCTTTAGACTTTTTCAGGAACTACTTATTAGTGATTCATCAACTACAAGGTCCTGCCTTGTTCCTACACTCAGTATTTCTTGTACTTTGTTGTAATGTTTTTAAAAAAAGAAAAAAGGCATGGCTGACCTGGACATGACTACACACTATGAGTTCGGTTACAAAAAAGAAAAGAAAGAGACATAACATAGGCTATATATCTAAAAAGTGAAGTAAAATAGATGACAGGTGCACAATTTAGTGAAAGAAAGATGTACTGCCTTTAGGAAAGCACAACAATAAATGTCATGAGTGTACCATACAGTAGCGCTAATAATGTGACAGCAAGACGTGCAACTTTTACAACGTAAAAACTGGGTTACAGCACAGAAAATGCTACCGTACCACAAAAGGAGATACCTAAACAACTACGGGAATATTACAGAGATACCATAGGTGATAGATTTTAGCTGTGGTTGCTAGAAACTCGCTATCAGGACAGCGGGTTTCGTCTGAATCGATGTACTAAGATGTCGTTATGGGTCACGGTTCGACCCAGTAAAATAAAGCGCTTTAACAACAGAGGGACCAGGTAGGTGCTCGCGTGCGGATACATACCTCCTCTTCGTGGTTGGTGAATTCACTCTGCTCGTTTTCTTTCTCGATTTTGTTGTTATTCATTCTGAGCCGGACTCTCTTATCACTTTCACTTGGACTGTCTTCTTCCTCTCCTCGTCTCTGCTTCGCTCTCTTCTTCCTCTCCAGGACCCAAAAATTAAAAAAGCACCCTCCGACAGACAACAGTCCGCGTGCGGCCGCTGTCCTACTGACCCGAGCTTCCCACTAGTTTGGCGACATCAATGATAAGTAAAGGTTTTTTTTTTTTAAAGAGGAAAAACTCGGTTGTGAGTGGTGTATTTGTGCTGTCAGATATTCCTCAGCATTCCCTGGAAAGCTTCTCCGGAGGCTCTTGTTGCTGTTCCCCAAATGAAATAGAGTAAATGTTCATCTGGACTGCGCCGCAGGCAAACTTCTCTCCCCATCTCCGCGTGAGGGAAGGAGGGAGGGGTGGAGGAGGGAGAGAGGGAGGGGTTTAGTAGGGTGGGGTAAAGGGTGGGATGCGTTTGCTGGATTTTATCAAGTTTTATCAGGTGCTGGAAGAGTGACAGTGGAAAATCAGTGCCAATCACCTTCTGGGACCAGCTGAGTGTTATTTTAGTCACTGCAACATAGCTGAAGATATAGGTTTTAGAAATATTGACCCCAGACCACCACCTCCCACTGCAAAAAAGTCTGATTAGAAACCAAAAGAAGAAGTCTTCAAACTCCAGCCCCTATTTTATATTATTTGTATATTTTTTATTCATTTGTTTTGTTAGATGTTGTTCTCTTATTTTATACCCCCATTATATCTTAATGCTGTTTCAAAGCCATTTCTATACTGCCAGACATAAAACTGGGTAGCTTACCATGAAACTTTTATTCGGTTTACAAGTTTTCAAATTTAAAGTAATAGTTCCACGTTCTGGCAAATGTGCTTACATGAGATTGGTGGAAAGAACCAATTGGCTAGGTGACTATTCATTAGTCTAGCTTAGCGTAAAGACTGGAAACAGGGGGAAACAGCTAAATTCAATAATAACGAAGCCTCCAGGAAGTTAATGCTCCTGGCCACGAAATTATAACCTCTGGAAAACCCACAAACTGTGATTTTTAATCTTCAGCTTTTGTTCAGATTAAACAAGATCATTAACTAGTTATTTTAAGAAGCACTGGAAGGTGGATTTTCTTTCCTTATTACCTGATTTTGCCTGTCTTTATGCTAAACTAAGATAACCAGCTGCTGGTTCCAGCTTCATTTTTAGTGTAAAGACAAGAGTGGTCAAGTAATTCAGCAAGAAAATGAACCAACATATTTCCCAAAATGTTAAATAAAAATATATTGAATTTAACAGAAAGTGTTGAATTCTTGCATATTGTCAGCACAAAGTTTAGTAGAAATGCAACATCACCTTGGCAGGCACCTGATGCAATCCATGGGCAATGCATTGCATTTCTAATAAACCCTTTGCTATCAGGGTGTGGGAATTTACATGATTTCAATTTCCTTTGCACCTGTCTACCAGGTGTGCATCAGACAGCAACACTTAGTTTAATGTTAAATATATATCAAGTCTAAAAATACTGGAATCGGCCAATTAAAGACTCCCCATGGATTTTTTTAAATAACAGAACAGAACTTAAACTCCTCTCAGGTTGCTATAACTCCTCAAAAATATGAGAAAACATTGAGATGACATGGCCTGAGTGTCACGCCCGGAATTAGTTCATAATGATCTGACATGTAGCCCTATGTTATTTTTCCTGCTTTATTTTTCACACTTTTACTGCTATAGGCCTTATACAGGTCATGACATCATAAATTTACTTATTTATTTACTGCATTTTATGGTGTTTTCATCTCCAAACAGGGAATGTAGATGGAGCGTAGCAGTCTAAATCTGATACAAAATGCCTTTTCTCTTTGTTTGGAGTCGGTAGCCTACCTTACAAATCAATTCATTGTGAGATTATTACACTGTCTTTCATCTATTAATCTAAATGATATTTAAATGGCAAACTTCTGAGCCTGGTATGATGAGTCAAATTATAGATACACAACAGTGTTATTTGTACCCTGATTAGCGACAGGTCATGCAGGACATGTGACTCGTTCTGTTGGTGGGTTTGGTCATTCGTCGTAAATTTCCCATACAAATTAAAGCTCTCGTCATTAATAGCTGTATTGTTTTGTATTTAACTGGTTGCTTTCTTGGGAATAAACCAGTTGTTTGGAAAGCAATGTCATTTACTCATTAACAGTTTCCCATGTATCTACACAGTTGAAGAGTCACTCGGTTGTTAACCTGTGTAACTTTTAACCAAGCATTACATACCATCAGTTTCTGTCATAAATGTGGCAATCAAATGATGTTACCCTAGAAGGCACACACACTCAGCATAATTCATCATCACAGAGCAGGAGACACAGACAACTATCAACCTCACAGTTTAATAAATTCAGCATGACTCTTAGTTGATTATTTTAAGGCCCTCTTAGGCATCACTGATATAGAACATCTCTGTGTAGATTTACAATGAGCAGGGCAGGTTGTGCATGTCAAGAGGTACTTGAGACATCACCTGTAAATAGCTCAAGATTGGAATATGATAACAAGTTGCACTAATCCACTGTGAGCTCACCCCAAGACCATCTGATTTACAACCTTTGAGTGGGGAAACAGCCAGACCCTGGAGCTATGGAAGTGATATCTCAACTGCAGTGGAGATGAGCAAACACTAAAAACTTTGCTGGCACACCTATTATTGTCTACAGTGCAGGATGCAAAACAGCCTTAAAAGCAGCGATCAGGTGACAAGGCAGCCTTGAACGCTCCCCCATTTCAAAACATTTATTTTGAGCAACTGCTTCACTTTGTATTTTGTGATGAAAAGTTCAAGAGCTGACAGTAGCTCGGTAGAGGAGACTTTGACTATATGTTGCATGAAATTTATTGCACAGGACAGACTCCCAGTTTGTGACAGCCAGTGCAGAAAACAGAGCGAGTCGTTTTTGCTGAACTTGCACCTCAAAAGCAACAAAAGAAGGAAAAACAGTCATCGTGGATCGGTCTTGGAGATTTGTGTTCTTTCTCCTCCCCAATCATGTCTATATCAATTACACTGCATCTGAAGCATACACAATGAAGAAGGGACATGGCAGATTCTTTTATGCTGATAAGAAGCAGTTCAGGATGAAGAGAGAGGGAGGAGGGTCTTGGAGTCTTCGAAGCAGATAAAAATGGAAATGTTCCCCTTGCTGCTCAACACCCCTGTATCAAAGCTTCCTGCTGGAGTCTGGGGAGCAAGGAGGGGGAGGAGAGGTAGGAAGAAGGAGGAAAGGATAGGAGTCGGGCGAGGAGGGGAGATGTCCCAGCTGTGTTTGACAGGTCTCAGGGCTGAGCTGTGTGGTCTGATGCTTGGAGAGGGAGGGTGGCCCCACACAAAAACACACATATACACACACACTCACACAGATACACACACACACACACACCGGGGGGGAGGGCAGAAGAGCAGCTAGGAGACAGTCTGGTCACGGTGTCCTGGGTAACATGTCAGCAAGCTTTGATGTGGTCCAGCCTCACATCAAGATATCTCTATGTTATCTATGGGGACTGCTAGTTTAAGAATATGCAACAATGACGGCTAAACTGGTTGAAGGGCTATTGTTATTTTAGTCTGAATTGATGGAAAGACAAGAGAGAGCATGCATGTTAATTTCAATATAGAATAGAAATATTTTGATATTTTGGGAAGTACAGCTCTTTGCCTTTTTGCCGAGGGTTAAATGACAAGATTGATACCACTCGCTGGTTAGGTTAGCTTAGCATAAAGATAAACTAGCCCAGTTTTGTCCAAAGGTAAAAAAAATAATTCAGCTATCAGCACACCAAAACTCACTAAACATATATTATAATGGCCCAAATATACAAAAATATGACGCCGCTTTTTCCATCACCTGCTTTTAGTGAAAACTTTCCACAAAAACACTTTTAGACTAGTCCTACTGTGAAACTTTCTCAGAGATTCAATCAGTGATCTGTCACACACAAAATTTCCAACTCCAAAAGTTGGAAGAACCTCTCCGAGCCCAAACTCAAAATCCAAGATGGCTACTCTGTGTATCAACAGAAGTGTGAGCTGCAGAACTATCCTGTTTGTTAGCACTTCTGTCTCATTTGTGTCTCATTAAATCAGTCGTGCACACAGTACTATTCAGCTTCTATCTGTGGACATGTTGCTCAAGTGTTTGTATGTAAAATATCACGTAATGTATTGTTGTCAACTGGTATTGCTGACTATAACAAAGACAAGCAAACAAAAACTATAACAAGCTTCCGACTGATTAGAGCGTGGTAAACTCAGGTGTGACGTCATTCCTAAATATGACTGCTGAGATAAATGGAACGCAGCATGAGATAACTAGCAAATATGTAGCCTCATATTTAGTGTAAAGACATGAGATTAGTATTGATATTCTCAGCTAACTCTTGGCAAAAATGCCAACAAGCATATTTCCCAAAATGTCAAACTATTTCTTTAAGAACCAGAGATCTTTTGTTTTCCCAGACAACAAACATTACAACTATATTCCACGAACCTCTGCTGAAACAAGGGCAGGACTGAAGATTGAGACATAAATCAGGTTATCCAATATCATCTTCTGGATCACTGACTCATAGCTAAAAGGCCGGCATGATATGAGCACCAAAACAAGAATCTATCATGACACAATGCCGATGTATTGACCAGTGGTGGACCCTGAGGGAGGACCCCTATGGTTCTTGCAATGTGCTCGGTTGCCAGTCAGATGACTAAAAGGTGTTGCCTTGTCTACACCCTTTCTCTGCATTCCTGCAACTCTGTAGCATATAAAACTCCTTATCACTGGATTCCATGGTTATTAACTTCCTCTGAAACAACCAAAAAGGAAAAAAACAGAGGGAGAACAATGTTGCAATCCCCTTAGAGGTCATCTGTAAAAAAAAAAAACAAAAAAAAAAACAAGCAGGTCTGTATGTAGACTTGACAGCAGCTCTGCGTTTGGCAGAGCAACACACTTCTTTCCTTTTGAGTGATGTTGGGTAAGTGGCTCTCATTGGGCTTGGAGCCAGGCCATTCCATTCCTTTGACTTACTGATACGCAGCGTTCCTCACTTATGCTTAGTGCCCTTTGATCTTCCTCTAAGATCACTAATGAGCAATTTGTGGTCAGATTGACCCGCTCTAATTGGCCATGAGAGGCTTGGTGCTTTGTTTTAGTTTTCTCAGTCCTTTACAGTGGCTTCTTTGCAACACAAGCTCTGTTTACTCAACCTCTGTGTGACATAAAAATCACATTACATGACAATACTAGTACTTTTTGAAGTTTGTTTTTAATCATCTAGGTTGTTTCCTTTCCATCCTTTCAAATGGTGTCTGCACTGCCTGCAGAGCTTTCTGCCATTTGCTGCAATAAATTCTTCTGCATCTTAAAAAGACTGAGAATCTACAGCCCCCCAGCAGCTCTTTTAAGATGAACGTGTGGCTCTGTTAAACTGGGCAAACATTGCTCGCACTGAATTGAAAGTATAGAACTCCAAGTATAGAATGGCAGCATTACTTTTACTTTTAGTTAATTAAATGAAAACCAATGTGACAGAAATTAGGCCTGACCACCTCTGGGCTAAAATCAGTCTTAATCTATATAGTGTCTGTCTGTCTTTAGGCGAGTTAAATGCTATAGCAACATGCTCACAATGGCAATCCTAACATGATGATTTTTAGCAGGAATAGTGTTTACCATATTCGCCAGCCTCCTTTAGCATGTTAGCTTACTAATAGTACATTTGAGGCTGCTGGAAATGTAATTAGTTGTGCAGGTACCTGGTCATAAACCAAACTAAAATTTCAAACTGATAATGGCCCTAGATTAAAAGTCAGTAGATCCAGTTTTCACAATTCATCTTGAGGGGGGAAGATAATGCCTGCACCAAATTCTATGTAAATCCATCCAATAGTTTAGTATTTAGTTAAATATTTCATTCAAAACCAAAAATGTCAACCCACAGCTAAGGGATCAACAAAATCAGAGAGATCCGTCCTATGGGGGTGATGAATGTCTCATAGCATTCATCCAGCAATTGTTGAGATATTTGTGTGGACCAAAGTGATGCACCCGCCGACCAGCTTTGCCATCCCTAAAACTCGAGTTCATATCAGTGCGCACATTATGCTATGCCCTGCTTAATATCACTCACCAAATACCCACAAGAGGGAATGCAAGCCTGTGCCAGAAAATAATCCCTCAAGAGAGTGTCACCTTACAAACTCTGTCTCTTTGTTCAGGGTACCTTTGTTAGCTGGAGCAGCAGTTGATTCCAGATTAGGTTAACATTTCAAGAGGGTGAGAAGAAAATTCTAATTAATGATCCAGGTGTCTGGAAAAAATTTGGGTTGGAGAAAAATCAACTTTATCTTGGGTTCATGTTGTTTTTCATCATATTTTCTTCGCTGTACAGGCTTACAGAAAGAGAATGCAAGAGCTTTTGTGATTAAGTAGGTTGCATTACTGAGTAGTGAGGTAGAACATACGTTTATCCTCAAGGTCAAAGACGGGGTCGTCATGAGCCGCCGTGTGTCACGAGAAGGAAACCCCCTCTGAACAAAAGCAAGAGCATGACTCATCAAACCACCTTTATTTCCTTTAATATATGGAAAAACCTGCAGTTGGGGTCGAGGTACAGAAACACAAGAAAGAGGCACAAAGTATGTCAGTAGACTGTAAGCTTTCATGATTCAGTGGGCAGAGGAAGGGTTGAGTAGAGAGCAGAGGCCACGCTAAGTATGTCTCTGAGGCTTGAATTCCCAAATGTTGACACAGGTCTACGTAATGGACTATTATGTTCCCTTTGAATGCTGTTGAGTGGGCCTAAAATGTCTTAAAGCAGGTCAAAGGGAAGTACGTTTAGTTATATAGTAAGTTATATCTTCTCTTTTGTTGTGCAGTGGAACCAATAAAAGGTTAAACTAAAACCTGGCTCCTGAGGTCTTTGTCTTTCCCACCGCCTTTAATCTTTATTGAACAGTGTGTATATGTGAAAAAAAACCAACTGTTCAATTGCTTTCTGCAGTTTGTACTGAGCTGCAGAACTCTGTACTCGGACCTTTACTTACAGTGAATTTAAATCTTCTATAGTCAATTTTACTCTAGTTTGTAATTATTCTCTTTTTGCCACAGCTTGTAATTGTCCTGTCAAGTTTTTGTCAAGTTACCACTTCATATTGTTATGGCCACACAGCCGTGACAGAAGAGGGAGATGCACACAACCAAGCTAATTAACAGATTTTTTTTATTTTTTTTTAAAAACAATAAATGTCAGGGGAAAACTTAAACTAACAATGGAATGGATAATCAGTAAAATCTGCAGAGTAGGTGGGTGGATGAGTGAAGAACTGTGTGAGTGCAATGTTGTATGGTGCAGCAACACAAACCAAAACCAAATGCGTGCCTCAGGGAGGAGAGAAAACTAGAACTGAGCTCCAACACAGTTTTTAAAAGGAGCACTAGCACACAGGGCCCAGGTTCTCCCACCCTGCTGGTGACCTTCTGCCACACCCACCTCCAGCACCTGCAAAGAAAGCAGCCACACAACCCAAGTAACAGGTACACAGGGTGGAGAGGGTCATCATGTCACAATATGTTCATTTTGCAGGAAAGGAAGAAAGTTTACTTCTACAAATTCTGTGGTTGGCATACAGCATATAAATCTATGTAGATATATGCACATGCAAAAATATCTGTGCATACTGTATCCATGCTGTCCATACATACAGTATGTATGTTTCTTCTGTCTGTTAAACTGCATATAGTTTTACTAGGTACCATATATGCTCATATGGCATCTTTAGTTTAGCATGTCAACATGCTAACTTTTGCTAATTAGCAACATAAAGTGTGGCTGAGGATAACAGGAGTGTCATTGAAGTATTTTGTCATAAACTAAAGTAATAGACAAACTGAAATTTGAATTTGGATATCTGTACCAATTTTCATGGCAATCCATCTGACAGGTGGACCGAAGTGGTGGACAAACCAACCGTCCGACTTTGCCATCCACAGAGCCACTCTGCTGGCTTGGCTAAAAAGGCATGACATCCAGTGGTTCTGGGTCCCTGTTGTGATGAAATTAATTATTTCTGTGGGATTGCAATGGAAATCACTGTGGCCTATAGGTCACATTTGACTTTTCAAAGGTGGAGTGGACCTGGCTGCAAAGGTCAGCTGTCAGAAAGCCTTTATCCTCCCAAGCCAACCGGTGGCCTGTTTGAACATGACTGACTGCAGTGGACCACACCAAAACTTGAACTGCATGTGCTGGTGAAAACATAACAGACCATAACAGTGAAGAACTGATGTTATATTTTATTTTTCAGTAGAAAAATGTCGTAGTTTAACATGTTTCCAAACAGTCGAGGTCGAGCAACTTCGTCAGTATCCAGCTGAATTACAAACTCAAATCTCATGCTTCTCTCTTTGTTTATGATAAGATATTATTGACTCTTCAGAGAATGCTGCATATTGTAGCTAAGGCCAAATATTGACTTGAGATAATTCTATGAAAAGAAAAGCAAATACCACTGTGATGTGCAAAAGTCTGCTTTAACAAATGAATGGAAGCTGGATAATTCAGTTTCCCAACAGTACAGTAAGAGAGAGGTATAAATAAATGCTTCCAAATATAGATCAGCATTTGAACTTCCTCTCAAATTCCTGCCATGAGTTGCTATCATCATAGCCATTTTGCCTCTGTAAAAAACCTCAGCAGATTAAAAGGCCACACTTGCCCCCCATGAGGTCCTTGTCACTCTGCACATCCGTGCAACTGTGCCCAGCATCTGTCTTCCTTGTCATATTAAAGTAAACTGACGCTTTGGCAACACCCCAAAATAAAAGTGATGGTAGTGGAAAAAAAACGAAGAAGTGAGAACAGAAAGGAGCCTAGACGTGGCCCCGGCTGCACTCCACTGCTGAAATAATTAGCCCCTGGTTGATGTGGGCTTCTCGTGGGACTCCACCATGACATGTTCAAATGAGTATTGGCAGTGTGCGACACCAGCTGTGGGCCTCCTACAGGGAGCTGCTGTACTGTGCAGCGCCCTTCCCATCCAGCATGACACAAACCCTTTAAAGTCTGGAGAGCAGGAGCAGCGGCCTTGAGCTTGTTTTACAGCTAGAAGTCTTCAACGGAAACAACTGTAAAATGTGACATCTGAACTTCTTATGTCAGGTGTTTCAGGGAGTTTATGTACTTACTCTCTACCACACACACACACACCACATACACACACACACCACACACACACACACACACACACACACACACACACACACACACACATCCATCCATCCACAACCAAATCTGTGAGTCTGTGGCACAGATGGGAGCACAACCCAAGGGGCTTAGATACGAAGGGGGGGGGGGGGGGGCACCAGGCATTATTCAGATCCGTCCTGCAGTAGAAATGCAAGTTTCAACCACACCCATGTCAATTACAATAAACCATGCTCTGTGTGGAATTCCCACTGTACCCCCGGCACCAATTTGGCAACTCCTGGTGGGAGGGCACAGGACTGGCAACCCACCGAATCCAAGATGGGGACTACCACACCCAGAGATATCTTTCGAGGCATCACTTCTGCTTTGTAATTGCACTTTTGAAATGGTGAGTCACCAGTGCATGTGTTATTTGTTGCAATTATTTCAGCCCCCCAAACTTGATTTTTTTTTTTTACTATTCTAGCACAAAACATGACAATATGGATATTTTTAGTTACATTATTAATAAATAATATGTCATTTGGATATTTGGTATCGCTTGATGAAACAAAGCCTTCAGAGCAGACAGTCCAGTTGCTCAATAGTCCCTCCTTGTGGTCACAAAATATAGAAAATGATAAACCAATAGACTACAGGTTTAAATGGAATCTTTATTAGAATCTGTACTGCAATATTTATGTTTTTTTTGGAACAATTATATATACAGATTAATATAATTGATTAACATAAAAATGACACTGGAAATGTATCATTTCAGGGCCAAAATATATCATAAATAATCATAATATTGATCTGAAAGCAAAAGTGCAAAACTAGAAACAGTCAGTAAGAAAGAAAAGAAAAGTGATGATTCTTCAAATGAAGGAAGAAAGGTAGAGTGTGATGGTAATTTTCAATGCTAGAGGTAACCTGTTAGACATTAGGGAACAACAATAAAGTGTAAGACAAGTGCGAGTGGAGGGAAATGTGTTTGATTGTGGCGTCTGTGTGTGCAGATGCTTTGAGTCGCAGGAGGTTTGATCCCTCCATGTCAGTTTCTCACAGGCGTGCCGCTGCCCTTAGCCGTCTTCTTCAGGTGGTGGTAGTTGGGCAGAATCTTCATGAGGAAGTCGAGCTGCAGAGTCTGAGGCTAGAAGATAAAAATCCATCCAATCCGGTTACACAAATCTGCACACAACCCAGCAAAACTCTGTGACATGCAGGCATAAACAAGACATCGGCAGAGAACTGACCTGTGGCTTCTCACTCTGCACACGCCTGATGCAGTTTGAACCGTACACAACCGTGTTCTCTGGCACGGCCTCACAGTTGTTGATCTGGCAGCACGCGCCGATGATGCAGCCACTGGTCAGAATCACATTTCTTCCGAGATCAGCTGGGATTTGTAATATTAGAAAAAAAAATGTGTTAGAAAATTACACTACATGAATATGGAAAGAAAGGTATATAAAAGATGATATAAACTGATCAGCTGTCAGAGATTATACTGCCGTATCTATCCCATTCATATCTGTGGGTAATTTAGACCATTGTATGCTTTTTTGCAGATCAATGAGCAGGACTTCTTAATGGCACTAGTGTATTTTTATTTCATTTTTGCATAAAATTTGATGATGTACCTTCATTTGTCAGGTATTAAATTTGCTCTGTTAGCCAATAACAACTATTACTGGCTGGTTATTTTATCATTTTCCAGAACATACAGTAGGTGCTCATGATGTACTGTATTTCAGTATTGAACTATAAAATTACATACGATGATAGAAGATTTTACTCATATGGCACATGCCTAGAAGAATACAAACAAGTGATTGCAGTACTTACCCTTGGACTCAATCACATTATTGTCTCCAATTTTCAGAGCTTGAGAGACTGTGGCAGCATCATTAAGGATTTAAATCTATGAATGAGCAATTTTAAATAATTAATATTCACACCAGACTAAAGCCTGATTGACACAGAATGTCTGAGGCTAATACTTATATGGATATTAAAGTTAGAGTTTTTGTTTTAAAGAATTGTGATTAATATACAGTATATAACAAGTGGGACATTGTAGATTTAAACATGATCTTGTTAGTGCTCTCTGGTGGACAAATTATGTCACCACAACACTTCTATACCATACACATAACCTCAAACACACTTTTGGTGTTTCTACACAGACTTATTTTTATCGGTCAACATAAATTCAGATACAGAGATACTTGTGATAGATCTGTGATAAGCTATCAGCTATTGTTTTTTTTATTTGCAAAGGATACCACATCCAACTTCGAATACATTATTGGCCCCAATAGTCATGGTCTTTGGCTCAACTCCCTCTGTGTCTGGCATTATATTCTCTGGATAACTGAACAAAACACAAAGGATAAAATAAAGTGAAGTTGTAATGATCATAAAGGGAAAATATAATAAGACTAGCAAACACACACACACACACACACACATACACACACATACACACACACACACACAAACACACACACACACACTACCTACCTATTAATAATAAGAGCCTGCTCCTCTATTAGATTCCCCTCTCCAATGACAATAGGCCCTGCCTCTGCTATGATCCTTGCTTTAGGGTGAACAACAGTTCTAGCACCTGTGAAAATGTGCAAATAAAGATTTAGTTTCTTCTCATATGTTAGAGGGGCGTACAGCAGCTTGATTTAAAAAGAAAATGAATAAAAATGGCGCTTATAGTGAAATTGAAGTTCTCACCAATGGTCACATCTCCTCTTACTTCGCTTTCAACACACACAACAGCCCCAGCTGCAATTTTAGTACTGCAAAAGCAGATGGCAAATATATGAAATACACAGATCACTGATGCACTGTAAACATGAAATGTAAACATTGCAGACAGAATAAACAGCAGATTATATCCTACCATCACTAGCCTGTTACATTGTCTCAATAATTACTGACTACACGACCTATAAATATGGGTGTCGCCATCAGTGAATCTGCAGGATTATCAGAAGATGAAACTACATTTTTATGTCCTGACTAACATCGTTCAAAAACTGACTTCTCAATATAAAAGGTTAACGTTGATCAAATGTAATTTTGTACCTTTTCTGTGCCATTATTTGCTTGCTGGCGTCTGACATCCTTGCGATGAAGAATTAATTTCTCGATAATTGATTAGTAACCCTAGTTCAGAGTTGGAGCTCTGGTTTGATTGCGTTTGTCTGGAAACATCAGCCTGAAACTTTACTGCCATCTACTGGTAACCAGCCGGATTTGTAAGTCACAAACAAGCTTAAATTTTATTGTTAATTTCTTACATTTATAACGACAAAAATGGTTAAAAGACGTTACCCGTTTTTGTGTTTAAATCACTGTTTTAAAATTCTTTTATTATTATATTATTATACTATTATTATATTATTATACTATTATTATTATTATTATTATTATTATTATTATTATTATTATTATTATTATTATTATTATATGGTATTCCTTTTCAGTACTAAGAGCCTTTTGATGATATTTAGACTACCTGTCAAGCATTAACCTAAATATGAAGACAATAAAACGAATAAAATAAAAATGAAAGCATACACTGGGTTCCAAATAAGCTTTAAAGCACATATTTTTTGCAACTCTCTTATAGAGCCTTACGGAAATTCAAAGTTGTTAAAACAATTCGTTTTTTTATTATTATTTTATTTTTGCTAGCAGCACAAATTGCACTGACGAAATTCAGCTGATATAGTATCGATACACTCTCTCATCCCTCAATGCATTTTCACCTTATGTCCTGCAGGGTGCAACAACTACCAGTGAATGGGAGCAGCATCAGCTATAAAATAATCCAGTTAAATTTACCACATGAGGAGGAAACACTGAAGGATAACCTATGACTATCATGCCACAATAATATTACCCCAGAAAATAGAGTTTATTTTCTTATTGTAAGTTTCAAATGACTAAAAGAGATTTTTTTTCTGTGATGTCTTAATGTAGATATATTGGTGGTAGCTGAATGTTACCGCCAACTCTGACCCCATGAATCTCGCTTTTCACAGTCCTCTAACCAGTGCATCATCTGTTAAGTGAAATTTGAATTCTGCCAAGTCAGCCAGAATTCACTATGATAAAATCGGAAATTGCATATCCCTTGTTTTCAGAATAAATCTGTGGCTACACTGTAGGACATGAAAAGAAAAAATCATACTCCTAACTTAGTCCTCTATCCAACTCAATACAGATAGTGACTTAAATATATTTTCTTCATCAAGTTGTCATTTTGTCTTCAAAATGTGGTGTGGTGCTTTTAAATGTTAGCTACCTGTGTTTAATTGGCTAGACAAACACTAATACCGAGAAGACCTTGACTGTTCACATTGCATGTTGTAGGAAGAAATGAGAGGTCAATAGGGCCCCGCAGATCAGTTTTGCTTCAGCTTGACTAGTTGGTTAATCTTAAACATTTTAAAACATACCCTTTGGGACTCCAAGGGATGACACATTGGAAGCAGTAAAATCCTCACCTTTAAGTCTCAGTTGTGAAATACCTCACAGGGTCCAGTTAAGTAAGGCTAGACCGGCACAAATGTATCCTAATGAAGCTGACAACTGTGAGAAATTATCCAAAATTACATATTTTATGCACTGGGTTAGCAAGGTACTGGAAGTCATTCTTCATCACTTTGAAGCGCTTTAGAGAAATATAACCATATAATAACCTGAAATAACAATGTGTTTCATGTGTTACCCTACAACAGCAATGAGCAGTGTTGAAATGTTACATAATAGAAAGAAAAATAAAAAAAAAGACATTAGGTAAAGGTTAAAATATATTTTTTTATTTTTTGTTGCTTTGTACTGATTTGCAGCTTTGTAATTGATCTTTATTTGTAAAAAACAAACAAACAAACAAAAACTTTTACTTTTAAAATCATTACCGGAAGTACTGAGCGTGATTCTGTCTGACTTGACGGCGGTGAGTTTTGAAGGGGAGCGACTCGTCTCATCGACTAATGGAACGTAAAGTGAGGAGGGGACTGGAGCACTTGAGCCCGCGTGTATTAATTAGACTGTAGCCTGCACCAACTACAGTACATTAGAAGACTTAAAATACCGTGAATGTACGCTTAATATGTAGATTAAAACAAATATTACTTACCCTAAAACAGTGGTTATATGTATTTTTCTTTCTGAATGGAAGTGAAGAAGTGCAGCTCGCGCCTCCTAAGGCGGCTGAATATTCGTGCGTTTAGCTTGTTTGAACTTTGTGTAAATATGTAACTGGGACGAATGAGATTGTGACATGGAACAGTCGGCTACTCTCGACATAGAGTCGCTGAAGGTAAGTTTACAACCTATTTGATATGATTTAAATCAAAACAGTCAAGTTTATGGGTGGAGTGGATACTAGTTTAACAGGGACATCACGTTTAGCAACAGGAAAGTGAGTTTTTACCTTGGTTCACGGGGCACAAGTGCGAATTTAACTGTTCATTTTATCTAGATATTGTGTTGTTCTATTCAGCAGTCCAAAATCAAGTTTCTCTCTGCAACAGGTGCGTCGGTTGTTCCATTTAAAATCCCAGCTAATTAAAGATGAATGGAAACTGTCCGCTCACTCTTTCAGTCTTACAGTGGTTGCATTTCTCTTCATGCGGGAATATGATGATTAATAACCAGTGACCGGGGCTTCAAACACCTCAGGAGGCCTGCCTGGAGTTCTGTATCTCCCTCTTGCAGTATACCTCATGTTCTATGCATTCTCTCTCTTCAAGAAAAACAGTAATGTGACAGCCTATGAATATTCTGCCTGCATGGTTTCTCATTATCATTCCAGTCTAGCAGGGGAGGCAGTAACCTCTGGGTACAGTATGTGCATCTTGTCTCTGTGCTGCAGTGCAAAAAAGCAGCTCAGTGTCAGAAACTCATACAGCAGAGCTTCTGTTTGGCCAGGCACTGGAATCCGTCCATTGGTCCGCCACACACACACACACACACACACACACACACACACACACACACACACACACACACACACACACACACACACACACAGCTCTGGGCTTAGTGGTTGGGTCAAGCGTATCAGTCAAGAAATCACTCCTGCTCACACTGGCTCTGAGCTGATCTAGCACTTCCCTCTTAGACAAACTTGCAGACTTGTCACTTTCTGCTAATTTCCTTCTTAATGTGAGTAACATGCTTTTATTAAATTCCAGGAAGGTGACTTTAAAGTGTGAGAATAAGCTATTTTCTCCATTTAAAACTGAAGCTTTGTTTAGGAAGCTTTCTGACAGTATTTTTCTTGATAATGCTGTGTTCAGGCTGGCACTTCCCCTGTGCGTTCGACTGATGAATGCAAATGACGCCTATGGGGTGCTGTCCAAAATGGCCCCGTTGGCTCTCTAAGGATTTGCTAGGGATTAGCAAGGAAAGCTAGTGCGCTGTGGAGAAGTGTCTGTCTGTTTACATCAGCAGTTTGTCATCTCTCCCCTCTGCCAGAGCTATCATCAACACTGAGGAGGGAACTGACAGAGCTGCAAACATCTGAGACTCAACAAAACCAGATCTCGACGTTAATAAATGATGCAAAGTGCAGAATGCCAATAAGGCTTGTTGCACACTTTTGTGTTGCAAAAGTACAAATATGTTTCATGAAAGTGTCCTCAAAAGCGGAGCGGCGTGTAACAGCAAAAGGAAATTCTCTCTGAAAACTCCCTTCAAACGCCCTGTGATGTTCTGGCTTTGTTGGCTGTGTGCTCTGATTGAACAGCTTCGACCTTTCGTTGTGCTGGACTTATTGAAGATCTTTGATCCCTGCCGGCCTCATACTTACAGTGGAGTTACCTTGTTGCTTTCAGTTGGAGGAAGTGCACTGCCATCCATCCACAAAGAAAGGGCAACCACAACTACAAAAGATGAAGACATTGACGAGCTCCACCAATATCGTTACTCCACCAGAGATGATGGAGCCACAAAAATCCGATTTCACATCTAAGTGGAGCGACTTATCGACAGCAGCACCCTCACCCACATGCTTGATTGTCACGTCAACAAAATGTGAAATGGTTACATCAATGCACTGAGTTGCACATTTGACAAATATAATTGGCTCTCCCATTTACAGTCGTGCATTCAGGCTTCTCTGTCTCGTTGATTGGACTTTCTGTCAAACTAAAAAGCTCGCAGAACCTAAATAAATAGGTGCTTTAATACTGCTTGTCAGACTTGTAGCATGATTGTGTCCATTAGTTTCTCCTGCTGCTGCCTCAGCGATTGTGCAGTGTTCATATGCGGGATGGATGAGTACAAGCTTTACAGTCATTAGCGCATCTCAAATGTTTTCTTACCTCCAGCTGAGGCAACCCTGTGGGACTCCCTGTGGCACTGCTGAGTGAGAGAGCGCTCGCCGATTTGCTGATTAACATTATCAGGCATTAATAACATCTCATTTTCTTTCATTAGGGGCTTCTCAGCTGCATTTTGCTGCCTCTGCAGCATGTCACTGTTTGATCAAAACAGCATGTAGAATATCACCCTCTACGCTAATTGGTGAAGATGAAGCGTGCTGGCAGTGGGTAGGGACTGCTGGGTAATTGCTGGCTTTGGCTGGATCCAGCTGCAACGTCTGTAGTCAAATCTCTAAGGACCCCCACCCCTAACACCCCCAAAGCAAAAAGGAAAGTGACAGATAACTTCAAAGCGATTGATGAAGTACATACAAAGTATATAGAAAGATAAATGTGGTCATGCAACAAATCCATAAGGACTTTTCCAGCTTAGTGCATGAGAGATAGCAGTTTTTATAGCTTATTGTACCTTAGAGAAGCAAGTTGCTGTGTAGGTGTTTGGTTTCTATTAATAGAAACTACATGTAATCATGACTGTAGGTGGTAAACCATCCGTAGCATTGAGGAGATTTCAGACCCATCTGTTCATGATAATCTATTGACACAGGAAACAGGGTGACAGACGGCTCATTGGCCTCGGTTCTTTCTGTCAGTGCTCAGGAGTTTAACTTTTTACCTTCTTCCACCAGGTTGAGAATCTTTTTGAGTTTTTGCCGAGGACAGTCATTAGGCTGGACTACATTACCTAATATTTTTGATGGTGATCCCTTAATATGAAGCCAACTTCATCATAGAAGATGCGTTTTCTTTCTGACTGTTTCATTTCTGAATGTCTGTCATATACCAACTTGTTAGTGTCCATCTGTCCCTGCAGTGACCTTTAACTGAACAGTGCTCCTATTTTTTGTAATGACTATCACAAATGCAAAATTATTATTTGCATGTTTTTTTAGATTTATCTGAAATGAGGAGACTTAATTTTCACTACCTGTGCATATTAAGAGGTAACTGTCAGGCCTCCTACAGCTGACATAAAGTGATAAATGGGACTCAACGTAGTGTGACATGCCTACACAGTTTGCTTTGTAATCAATGTTTTGTTTCTTAAAAGTCAAAGTAGTTTCTCACAGCCGCTGCAGTTGGACATCTTGATCAGTCCAGTTCGCCGTGTTTGTGAGAGTCAGCTGTGACCAGCATGCTGAAATGACAGATTGACAAAACGCCAGCCGCTATGCACTCCTCCATTTGCTCCGTGAATAACCAAGCTTTAGGAGGCATGACTCGACCAGGGTAATATATGCATTAAAACTCTTGCAAAGAAATCACGGGATCCACTAGTGTTGGGAACAGTGGGTTGCCATAGAAATTACAAGTGCTGAAGTTTCCCCTAGCAACAGTGGATTGAAAATAGACTATATCTGTCCAGCAGTGGCATGGCTGTAGGCTAGTAGATTTACTGTTTTTTAAACTGTTTTCTTTTTTTTCTTTTTTCTTTTTTCTTTTCTTTTTTTTAAATGTTTATATAAGTTTTTAGCGTTTCTTACATTCCAGTTAAGTTTGAGGGTGTTCAATCTTTTCTGCTCAGCAATAGCTCAGTTTAAGATTTTACTACATGTTATGTGTAAAGCATCTTCCTAGTTGTGAAGAAGTCCTCTGTGACACTGCAACAAGAGTTTGTATTCAGCCTCTGTGTAAGCACCTCTCATAATGCTCTTGTCCCTCAGCTGTATCGCCACTTAAATTGGAATCACTGACATTTCTAGGCCAGTGATATGGGTCATTTGTATTTGCTGCAAAGTCGCAACATCTATTTGTGAGACATCTGCCACCACTTGCCGATGTGACCTAAACTGTTTGTCTAAGTAAACACTTTAAGAGTGGATGAAGTTGTGATGAGGCTGTGGAGACTCCTGTCCACTAGAGATTGTCCAGTTACTCATGCTCTTCCAAGCAATGATGTCAGTAATGGGAAAGATATGGAAATATAGGCTTCAGTGCCCTGCGCAAACATTATATGTTGGTTGGTTTTTAAAATTTGTCAGTAAAATACTAGCACATTATTTGATGAAAATATTTTGCAAATATTGTACAGTTTTGATTATTCTTTTCTGCTGAAAATAGTGAATAACGCCTGCTATCTTCTAGAAACAGAGATGACACATTTCAATTGCTTGTTTTATCTAATTTACAGCCCAAAACCCAAAGGAATCCACTTTACTGTCACATGTGACATCAAATCATCACACGTGAGAAACTAGAACCAGAGAATATTTGACTATTTTGCCTGAAAAATGACTGAAAGAGTGAAAGATTCATTTTTTGATTGATTAATCAACTTAATGTTCCAGCTCTATCATGGATCTATGTAAAGTAGAGCTGTAAGGATTAGTTATGTAATTGATTAATCAAGTAACAGAATATTAATCTGCAACTATTGTGATTATAGAGACATTTTCATACAAAAATCTTAAACCTTGGCTGGTTCCACCTTCTCAAACATGAACATCTGATGCTTTTCTTGGTCTTACATAATAGTAACATTTGATTATGTGTCATTAGGCTTTTTTTCTGAGTGATTAATGGATTAATTGAGAATGTAATCTGCAAATTAATCAATTATGAAAATTGACACAAAGTAAAGCCTCCTGCATTTGATAAGTGTCTGAAAATGCAGGTGTTTCTCTGAATTCCTGGAAAGCTTCAAGGGCGCATGCCTATTTCTAGTACCAGCCCTTTGCCAGCTGATACACCACACACTGCCTGATACACACAGTTATACAATTTTTACAAAAATGGATTCAGTGTCTGTGGTTTTATAATCACTAAAATCTATCAGCTGCAGGCCCTCGACAGAGATTGATTTATAGCCACAATAGTAAATACCACCACAGGCTGGGATTCTGTGTCCTGGCTGTTAATTAAACCTTGGTTAAGTAATTTAGTTCCTCCTGTGGTAAAGTCTTTTGCTTGCTGAGCTAAAAAGTCTTTGCTTGTTCTGCCACGGTTAATGAGAACCTGTCATGAAAACGTACAATCTAATGATACCTGCCATCAGCGTCCTATGCTAATGACACGCTTAGTGTGAATAAAGGATGTGGGGCATAGATTCTGACTTGAGTTATGCTTGCGTTACGCTGCTGGAGTCCCTCAGGGGAAAACTGTGCTCAGGTGTGTCAATTATGGATGTGTGTTTCAAGCATTTTATACAGACATGATAAATTAATAGTTGTTCCTGTGGAAATATTCAAAACTTTGAAAGAAATCCTTTACATAATTTGACAAAATAAAACATTCTGCTGCTGCTGTTCGACATTTTATCTCAGTTTGTACGAGCAGGAGCTTTGCTTTATTCATTATCTGTGCAAGAGAGTGGGATGGCAGGCTGCGTGTGAAGTCATCCCATCAACAGCTGAGCAGAGCAGTTCAGAGCTCAGCCAGCCCCGCAACCTGTGATGAGGAGTTTCACACTGTCAGCTCACGGTCACGATCGGCTGGAGAACAGCAACTGCTCGCCCTCGCCTGGACAGCCGCACTTGACAGACATCATCCTCTCTGATCTCAGATCAGAGCTTGCATGTAGCAGCTTCTCAGTGGCTGGCAGGCGCTTCAATCCTCAACGAGAGTGGAGAGCATTTTCTGGCATCTCATAATTCACCTCATGTTTTCATGACTCCACTATAGTGGATGAAAAGCGGCTTGTGATTTGTCCATAAAGTGAAATTTAATATATGAAGCCTGCCATTTACTTAAGCCATGAACTGACCGCCATGACAACCCTCTTTTATCTGTTTCACATCTTCTGGAGGACATAGGTCCATAAAGCCTCATTGGTGTGCTGTGTGGCATGTGTAGTATTTTCCTGTGAAAGGCTGATGGGCAGTAACATTATAAAGATCTCAGGCTGAGGGGAGCAGTTAACAGGTGGGCTGCAGGAAGCTGTCAGTCATGGTGACTTTCTTTGTGAACACAGAGATCCAGTTTGACAAAACGTCAACAATAATTAGCACTGAAAACAAAGCTGTGACATGCTAAATCCATACAAATTAATTTTAATTGTAAAACACATAAATACAAGCAGAAATGTCAAATGCCTTGCTTTCCACTAGTGGAACTTACATTAATCACCATGATAAGTTAATAATATCTAGATTTAGCAGTAGTTTTATGTTTGACTTAACAAGGAAATGAAAAACTGCTGTTTAAGAGCTTTTCTACTTCTGGGCCTCGTATTCCCACAACTGATCACTAACTTGTCAGAATGAATCTTGACTGGTAATTCCTCTTTCCTGCAGTGGAATGAAACGTAATGGGCACTCTGATTTGGTATCTCTTTGGATAAAATAAAGTCACCCAAATGACCTTGTCTTTAATGCACATAGCTTGATGGATTACCCTGCTACTGGTTCAGTTTCTTAAAGTGTTTCAGCCCTGATATGTCTGTCATCACAAAAGTTACCAGTGACAGATGATTGTAATTGTTTTCTCAAAATAAGCGTATTACATATTCAAATCTCCCTCTCATTCAATTTAATTACCAAGCACTGATGTTTCAGGCTGTGCCCAGCTGACATTCATGGTGTGCTTGCACCATTTTGTACTGTATTGGCACCACAGCCGTACCTCAGCTCAGTCATTTTTAGTGGTGCTTGCGAGAGTTAATAACCACTCACAATACGTGATTGCTTCTGTGAAATGAATATATCCTTGGCCGCCAGCTAACATAAAAGCTCCTGTCTGTGTGTGTTTTTGTTTTCCAGATTACCCAGGAGCAGTTTATCCTCGCGTCCCAGTCCCTCCACCTTCAGCGTCCAGGCTGTGATGCCGTCTACCCAGTGGGTCTGTACGGCTGGAGGAAAAGATGCCTCTATTTCTTTCTTCTGCTGCTCTTGGTCACCATGATAGTTAACCTGGCCCTCACTGTCTGGATCATAAAAGTCATGAATTTCTCAGTGGTGAGTACAGCATGGCCTTGTTCAAAATGAGGCCGAGTCAGTTGGGCAAATAAAGTTTGAGGGCATTCAGAAAGTATTCAGAGCCCTTTACTTTTTTCACATCTATTATGTTGCACCCTTATGCTAAAATCTTTCTTTGTCTATTTCTTTCTTTCTTTGGAAGACTTTATTCATACAGGCCCATTCGGAATATGTTACAGGCACCATCTCTCATGTTGTGTGCTTTGTCTCTTCTGGATTTGATAAAGAATTAGAAAAGCCTTGGCAGCAGGACCGGCTGACACAGAATGTGTTAATCTCGGACAAAAACCAAACAGACAGATGCTGCAAGCTCCCGTGACATTTTCAGGGACAATGCACACAATTTACCATTTTGTCAACAAACTCCAAATGGCAGCATCCTCCCTCGGTGACGGATGTGTCCCCTGACTATTGCTATCATTCCTCTACTCCTTCGCCTCCCATCAATCTGTGTCATGAGTAAAAGACCTTATCAGCGCTGTTGGTGTCGCTCCAGAAAATGTACTTCGCTGATCCCCATCTCTCAGGACTTGGCAAGCTCAATAAGAAAACACAAGCAACTACCCCCCTGAAAACGCAAGCAACTACCCCCTGAATACCCGTCTCACCATTTCTGGCGAGACGGGCATAGGATCACCTATCCGTAGACATCAAACACAAAACCTGATAATAGCTACAGCCGAAAAGCGTTGGTTTAACATTGAGGTTGTTCATGAAATTACAGAAGTTGTGGGGATTTTCATCTTAAAGGCAAATGTTACAACACCACTTGTAATGCTTATGAGGAAGATGGCAAAACAACAAGACAAAAAAAACAAAACAAGTATGCTATTATGCCAAGTAAGAAATAGTTAAACAGGTTTTTTTATAAAGATAGGAGACCTACAAAAGATAGTAAAGTAAAAGGTTGTGCAGCAGAGGCCAAGATGTCCTGACTTTTAGTGGTCTTGTAAAGCTCAGCGGTGACGATCCAGTTCCACGTCCACATCCTCTCAAAATAAATGCCACAACTTCTCTCTGCCTGTTGAGGACAATGGGGGCAACCTTGGCTCTCCACTTTTGTATCAAACCAAAATTTGCCAGGTGTCATTTTTCCACCTCAGAAACATTCCCTGTACCTGTTCATTTCTTTCTTTCACTGATACTGAGGGGCTCATCCAGGCCTTCAGCACGTCATGACTGGGCTGTCGTAACGCCCTCCTGTTTGTCCTGCATCCCACCTACTCGTCTGACTGATTGCAGCCGTGTACTCAACTCTTCCCGCCCACTATATCACCTCAACTCCAGCACAGGAGTGACTTTTACGTCTGGTTGCTGACATACAAAGAGCTGCACACTGCACCACCCACCTCCTCCGCTCCTCTGACTTTGTCCTCCTGTTTGTCCCCAGTCCTGGCTCTCTACCATGTATGATGGAGCTCTCCCTGCTGCACTCTGAATCTGTAATTCACCGTCTCCATCCATTCGTGCTGCAAGCACTGTAGAGTCTTTAAACACATCACTCTGGGCCCGTCTGCTCACACACATCCTCACAAAGCTGCCCTCAAACTTCACTTTGCTCATCGTGCTGTGGCAAGGCATAACCTTATCCAATTTCTACAGAATTATCTACCGCAAAAATCAGGTCCTGAATAAATGTGGTGTGAAAAATATGCCATAAAGCTGCAGAATCACACCTCACTTTATACCGTCTTTGCAATTTTTCATTCCCTTAATGTGATGTATTTTCTGTTGGAACAGGATGAGGGATCAATTTAAGTGTAAAACAATGGGCTCATGAGAGAAAAGCAACATGATCTGGTAGGATGAACTGAAAGCCAGGATTGTTTAACAGTTGTGATGACATTGTATGTACGCACACTAATGAAGCATGAGGTCCCCCACTAAAGAGCCACTGTTTTAAAGAAAGCACAAGTGCTCATTAAATAGGATCTTCAATGCTTCAGTCTTTCAGAGCCAAAAAGCAAATGCATGAAAACTTTGCCCCCAAGTTATTAAAGGTTTTTTATTATTTATGTAATTTCCATATTTTTAATTATTATATATTTCATATATAAATAACTTTTACTTTCCATCACAATCACAGCTAACCATTTAGCAAACCATTCTGCTGTGTTTTAGGGATTTGGATTTACTTTTCCATCTGTCCAGGCACCTAGTGTCTTCCATCAATGTCTATACAAGATGAAAATGAGACTCTTTAAACTTACTTGACTTGTGGAATCTGTCACAGTGAACATCAAGTCTGCATTAACTTTGGTCAGAGTTACACTGTAATTATGGGGTAATCTACTGCAGAAAACAGACTCCAGTAAAACTTTAATAAAAGTCAACACAGACTTTCTCTCTTTCTCTGCTCTCAATGATCTACAACTTTCAAGAGCCTACGAACTGATTTTCGTGCTGTACACAAATAAATAGAAACAAATTGTTTCCTGGACCAATGGTTAAAATACACTAAATCTAATTTGCAGCCTGTACTCAAACTGTTAAGTGCACCTGATTTGTTGTTAAGGAGCTAAAACCTCTAATCAATGTTATTGTCCTTTAAGGCTTCTGCAAGGCTTTTTCAATCAGGTTGTTAATGCATATAGTTTGGGATGCACTGATCCAAGAATGTTATTTACCAGTACCAAATAAAGAACTTGGACCATTTGCTCCCATTTCCCTAAATTAAAATCTTCCTCATTTTTATGTAAGGTAGCATGATGCTGTAGCACTGAAAACTGAGCTGGAACTGAGTGAGTGAACTGAGTTTTCATTATTATGCTGTTGTTCTTTTGTCTGATGCTGTTTTATCTCCCCGTAAATCACTCTAAGGGCTTAAACAACGTGAAAAAAATATTACTATGAGAACTGCTACTACCACTTCCACCACTACTACTACTACTACTACTACTACTAATGATAATGATAATTATTATTTTAATGTCCATGTTAGTACTAAGCCAACTCACGTTAATCTGTTTGATATATAAATGTTCCTTCTTTTATCGTTTCCATGAATTCACATCCGCTGCTGCCAGATTAGTCTGGCTCTCCTCAGTCTGCCTCCCACTGCATGCAGCCTGTCACCCTGACACAGCTGAGTGTCTGTGGCATTGTCACCTCGATGTCATGTCCTACTTCTTCCCTGTCACTCAGCGCTGCTGCCTGTCCACTGGCCTGTCTGGCACGCAGCAGCTCCTGCTCTGTCTGATGCAGCTCAGCGACAGCAGGATTCAATTTTTTATGCTTTTGGGAGGTTTATAATCCTTTGAATCAAATCAGGAAAATCAACACTGCTCACCACAACATCACTGACTGATCATGATTATGTTTCAGGATGGGATGGGAAACCTCCATTTGAACCAGGATGGGATTCGGCTGGAAGGAATCTCTGAGTTTCTTCTGCCTCTCTATGTGAACGAGATCCAGTCCAGAGGGGTAAGTTGCTCCCTTTGCTCCTCTCACCAACTTCCAGCTGCCTGTTGATCAGTATTCTGTAGCACTGATGGACTAGGAATAACTACCATCGACTGAAACACATGTGAAAAGCTCTCACAGAGACACATCTCTCCTGTCAGCTGCAGACAAGCTGGTATTGATCCCTCAGTTTTGAGAATGTTGTGATCAATTCATTTAAAGGCCAACTTCTCTCTGGGTTCTAACTTGATGATACTTTGATGTTACCTTATTTTTGTACCCTGGTAGGAGAGATTACACACTTTCTCTGTCCGGTGCTCCCCGCCTCGTCCTCCTCATTTCCTGGCATCCCCCAGCATTGCAGTATCAGGGCCTCCCATCAGCAGGAAACGGGTAATAGGCTGCCTCTCGGCTCTTCTCAGGCCACATACAACCCTACAGGAGATTACAGGCGATTACAGAGGGACCAGAGTCCCCCTGCTGGATATCCAATCAAGCCCACGCAATAAATTCCCCTCTTCTACTTCCTCCCTCTCCTTTCTCCTCTTTGATGTTTAGTAGATTAACCAACACAGCTCCAGTGCAAAGTTGATCCAAATATCCTTCTCCCACACGAATCACAGACGCTCAGTTGGATCATCCACTTTTTCAGTGATTAGGCATGGTGCAGAAAAGCAATTTCAAGCACTGAAAACTGGGATTCCATGTAAATTTGATTTCTGAGGGACGTCGATGGAGGAAGTGGCTCGATAGTGGGTACAATTTGCCACAGCAGATTGAGAAACAACTTGGAATTGCCCACTCTTGCTCTTTGATGTTCTAGTTGGAGCTAAATGTTGATTTAAATATAACACTTGTGCACTTACCAGTAGCCAACACCTCAAGGCCATAGCAGACGCACAAGTCGAACATGGGACAAAGCCAATATTTCATCCCCTGGTGCAATACCACCTGCAGACATTTTTACTGTCTTGTTTTACAGACAGGCTGTGCAGTGGCCCCCTTATCTACTGGCACCAGAGATATTTGCAGGACAAAAATCTCTGTGGGTCACTCAATATTTCTCACCTGAGGAAATATGTCAAGCACTGAGAGAGCAGGGATTATGGTTATCCAATGAGTTTACACCACAGTGCACAGTGCTGTTCTTCAGGCAGATAACCACCATTGATCAATAAGCCATTACTACAAACAGTGAATGTAGTAATGCACCAGAGATATCTCAAGTTAAACATAGTGTTTTTTTAATATTCAGAGTCCAAGCTGCGATACAGACAATTAGCTGAACTCAAGTAGCTTTAGTTTTATTTCTCATGGATCTATCAGTGCTTGGACTCTTCATCAATTTCCGAAACCATAATCTGTGATTTTCAAGTGGAAATGTTTTTTGGCCGTAACTCTGATGGCTGGCAGCACATTACAGCCTAAGTAGCCTATGAAATCAGCTCTTTCAGTAGCATGTTGTAAAATGAGCGCTGTTAACTTTGCATACATACAGTTTACATTGGTGCCAATCCAGGCTAGACTTATAACAAATACAACAACTGTGTTCTGTAGAGTTTTCAGAACAAAAGATAAAAATATGGAGTTTTTTTCCCATGAGACGTTATCTGAATGGGCATGTCTCTTGTGGTGATGCACATTTACGTCCGCCAAGGAAGGCTATGTTTTCACCCACGTCTGTTAGTTTGTTGGTTTGTTTGTCAGCAGGATTATGCAAAAAGTACTTAACAGATTTGCACCAAATTTGGTTGAGCGATGGAGCATGGGGTGGACCAGGGAAGAACCCATTAAATGTTGTTGTGGATCCAGGAATTTTTCTATCTTTTTCCTAAACATTGTGAGATAGGGCGTTTTATTTATTTATTTATTTTTTCACATTTTCATCAAATGCTAAGGTAATAGCCTAGATCTTGCTGTAAAAAATCCGACAAATTAATGAGGTTGAGATCTATGACTTTGTACAATTTGGTGCATTGACAATGTTTGGCTTTGGTGGAGGTCACTCTACTGAGTGCCATCCTAGTTTTAATGCATTTGTAAATCCAATAATTGGTGATTTTGACATAATGAGTTATCACTTTTATAAACTTCTGTTGTCTAAATTAATGCTTCTCAGCAAAGTTTAATTATATTTACTATATCTTGTTGTTTAATATGTCTTGATATATAGAAGAATTTAGTTTCATGTAATGTGTAAAATGATACAATAGCACTAAACATGAATTTTATTATTATTTTGTTATTTTTGTTCTATTATTATCAGAACTGGGTATTGCTTGACATTTTTCTATCCCAGTGTTAATACAATACCAAAGTTTTGTTACTGACAAAAAAACAATATTTGATATTGATAAAAAAAGATATTAACAAAGAATCAAATGGCTACTTGTATGTGACAGGGGTTGCTTGTGCTAACCCAACTCTGCTGTCCTTCTCAGCTCTGTAGAGCTTTTCTGGGTCTTTTAGTTCATTCTTTTGGTTTTCCAGCTTTGTTGTTTTGATTCACCTTCACATCTTCTGTCAGCGTCGTTCCAGCTGCTCCAGGCAACTGTTGTCAGAGAAAAGACTTTAAAATCCCCTGTATACTACCTGTCCAGCACTAAACGGCAAACAGACTAGCTGGTGAATATAATTTAGCAGCTAAAGAGGCAGATATTTCCCTGGGGGAATGGAGGAGACCAAAAAGAGACTTAAAAAGAAAGTGAACATTGGACTTACTCTGACCAGGTGGCCAGAAACACGACTCCAAAGGAATGCTAATGTTACTCTGTGTCTCTGTTTACTCGGACAGTTCACCATGACCTTTCTAAGGTAATAATATGTCAGTGTTGTGTTTCCAGCTTGCTGTGCTACCCTGAAGTGATAAAAAAAAGAAATCAATGAATCCAGGTCTAACTCTGAGAATTATAAACATATATTTCTTCAGAGCCCCTTTTTCATTGAGCAAAATCGGACAAACTTAGGTGAGCATCATATAGATAAAAGATAAAAGATTTTATTTCATCAAACAACAAACAATAAGCAAATCTGACCATGAATCCACTGTCATTTCTCAGTAGTTAACAGTTTGATCCTCGATGCTATGGACACATTCTGGTTGGTATTATGAGTTAATACTCAGCCCTAATCATTATAGACTACATAATGATATTGCCAAATTACTGTTATTAATATCATAATACTGTTTCAAACAATATTGCCAAGCCCTATCACTTACTATACAGACGATGGACCACATTATGTAATGATGTCACAATATTTCCCACATTGTGGTGGTAAAGTGTAGAGTTGATTTTAACCACTTTCCAGTTTATTTCATTAGAGCCTCTTTGTTTCTTTCACATGTGATATTATGGGTAATGTGTGAAGTGTAAATTGGAGTGCAGACCCTCAACATTATGATTGTTTTAATGTGTGAGACTAATGTTGGCCTCTTTTTCCTGCAGCTTTTAGTTAATACCTGTGCTAAGCTGTCTGTCAGAGCTGACAGGCAGATGGGTGAAATATTCTGTACATTATTTTTTTTCTCACCCTAAGGGCTTCCCCTATGCACATCTATCTATCCATCTTTCTGTCTATCCATCCGTCCACCTGTCGGCTTTTAGAGACAGCTCAGCGCAGGCACATTTGAATTGTTATGGCAAAAAGAGGTTGAATTGGGGAACATGAAAAAGAGTCCACAGCATAACCTTAATATCAAATGTTTGGAAATTTCAATAATGATTGCGACACAACAGTTCCTATTACACGATACTATAATGTCAGGCACGTGAGATCAGTTTGACATTTGAAATTTCACCCAACTCAAAGCTACAAAGCGACTGCAATTTCAGGCTTTTTGAAATCTCTGTCACACTCAAAATTCCACCTGCCAACAGAACATTGCGTTCATAATTTAGTGATAGTTAGTGACACCAAACGATTGAGCAGGCATTTCTTACTCCTTCCACTTTTGTCATACAAAAATATCAAAGTCAACAACCTATTTGTCGCATGTTGTCTGTGATCAGTTAGTGTGGCTTTCAGCCATTGGGAGAACATTTTGGTTGCTGGTGATGGTGTAATGGCTGCTTTTTGGTTAAAATTGTTGAATCGTTAGCTTTAGACCCTCTAGAGTGACTTTACTACACTGTTCAATTTTCTTTTTTTTCTTACTTCCTGAAGCTTTCCAGTTTTCAAATTTTGATTGTCAGAGAAAAGTTTTATCTTGGTACTTTTGCAGCTTTTTGACAAAAACATGCAGACTCTGCTACTGTTTTGGTGAGAAACTTCCTAATCTGTATACATTTCTCCACAAAAGTCATATCATGTTATTGAGCTAATGTGGTGTCTAGATTTGTGTTCACTCACTTGAAAAGGACACAACGGAGATGAGTTTTGGAATTGGTGCTGTGTCTCTGAATAGCTCCTCTTTTTCACATTCATTAGGGTAATACTGTGCTGTCATTCAAGGACAACAGAGGTCAAAATAGATTTGAGTGGTGACATATTTTTAGCAGAATGGTCAGTCCACTCAGATTTGTTGCTTTTAGTGTTGTAGTGAATTTAAATCATGGGCAGTTGAGACGCAGATATTTTATTTATATTAAGATCTACATGAGCAGATTTCACTTATTAGTTCCTCGTGTCTGCTTGAATGTACTCGGAGAAAATAAAAAAATCAGGTGCTTGAGTGTTTAGCCTGCAGCCACGGCCTTTGATTCACTTGCACACGCTTAAAGCCCACTGATGCAAAGAGTAAGTGGACATAAAGAGGCAGGGCCAGGGATGTACAGTATAGATGGTTTCTGCACATCTAGGTCTCCATTGGTACATCCGAATAATTCGGCCTGACTTTTTTTTGGCTGTCTCCAGCTGCAACTTCTACTAATATTGCTGACGACACTGCAGAAGTCAAAATGTACAAGTGCACTGCCTCCAGCTATGTGATTAGTTAGTCTGTTGTTGTGTTTAAAAAAAATATATATATATAAAAGCCTGCCTAAATAGTCATTGTTATGTATGTATTCACATGCAACTGTCTTCCTCAGTCTGAAAACAGTGTGGTATGAAGCAGCAACACAGTGCCCAGATACAGTTAATCAAATCTCTGCTGTTCAGACTGTTGGCTCTCGTTGTCGTCTCCGGGGACCCTGACTGATCTATAAATAGCATCAGATGCAGGTGTATCTTTATTGGAGTGAAACTTCTCCCTCACTAAGTCTCACCTACTTGCACTGGATAAGCATGACAGAGTCGATTGTAAGCAGCAATTCTGCCGTCCAAGTCTGCAGATGAGGGCTGAAACCATCCACTTGTCTAACTCTCACTATTTCAAATCAAAGCTTTTTGGAGCAAACTGCAGCAGCAGCAGCAGCAGCAGCAGCAGTGCCTTAAAGATCTGAACATCCTTCAAACCGAGTTTGCAAGAACCAATTTAATTTGGCCAATCCGTATTAGACTGAAATACAGGGGTCACTTTTAATATGAAAAATATTAAATATGCCTGCAAACATGTTCCCAAACAGCCTGTACCCTGCATTGCAAAGAGCCTGCCTGCAAGATTTGATGTTTGAATGAGGAAATTAAGACATAATAAGCGTACCTTTTCAACTTTTTTTTTTTTTTCCTTACATTTACTTGTTCAGCTCAGAATGCAAATTAGCTCCTGGCACAACAGTCAAATATAATTAAAATTTAAATATATTTATGCAAATATTTGGTTAGGATTACGGCTGTGCTCTTGATCTGTGCTTTAAAGGTCTGAATTTATTTACACTGGCTCACTCAGAGAAAGACAGTAGCATCATATGATGTTGCTTTGTTTTTAAACTGTTTCATCGAAGCAGTGTGCTGTGCTTTTGCTTTTCAGTTGTGATGTTATTCATTGTATGCGGGAAAGCATCCTTTGCCTTAGCAGCAGCAGCAATGGTAATTTTTCAGTCTGATGGGGCCCAGTGCACCTACACCAACAAGCTCCATTTATGTGCATTCACTCTGATCTGCACTTGACCTTCCTCAACAGGCGCAGCGACTAAAAAGCCTTTTATGTGATCCCAAAGAAGTGTTGAAGAGAACAACAGCAATGGTCCCTCAGGAAACAGTTTAAGACCTATAAACTCTTAAAAGGGATACTTCAAATCAAGAACTCAAATTTCTTCACGATGCCAAGCTTCTTGGAGAACTTGTGTTCATGATGCGCATTTATATTGGGGAGGAGCAAGCAGGGAATGAAAATGAACCGAATGACCTCTGCGAAGTTACACACTGCGCAAACTTGAGATAATCTGCTACAATTTGATGCGTCTTTAGTAGAAAGTAGGAAGTTAATCAAACCTATTACACTGCATCACAGCATAGTTATTAGCTCAATGTCAAACTATAACTAAATGCTTAAATGTGTCACTTTTATCTACAAATACAGTAATACAACATTAGAAAAAAGAACATAAAAGGAGGTCGGGAATTCAAATCAACAACTTTTTGTGCTGTCAGTGGATTTTCACATTACATAAGTCATCTACGATGCAATATCAAGGTATCTGAAGAGGAAAAGACTTCATAAAATGACCAGTAACTTCTCAGGACAAAGAAATTGGTCCGATTTTTAATTTATTCTTTGTGTCATGAGCAGTTTTCACTTTTACAAAGAATTATAAACAACTGAGGTAAAACAGGTGGATGGAGTCAAATCCTTTTCAGCATGCACACAGCAACACACACGTGTGCCATCATTCAAATGTCAAACAGCCATAAACTTGCAAAATACCTGTCACTGATGGGAAATGCACTTCAGCTAAACCACCCTGCCACCCCCTTCCTCTTCAAACTCGACCTATACTTCATCACTCAGTGTGGTTTAATTAAGTTGTTTATATCAAGGAAAGACTCACTTGGAAATGCTTTTTTTGACAGTACAGTACAACTTATCGTAGATTGGCATTGGCAATTCTTGTATCGAACACCTTCCTCTTTGTTTACATTGGTATAACAATTTAAACTCACCAAATCAGTTGTTAAGCTTTGTGAATGGAATAACTTTGCTAAAAAGAAATTCAGTAGTGAAGAAAAATGAGCCGTCAGATGAACAAACTGTGAGGTCAGCCAAACGCATCCCAAAGGCCAATGGTGAATTGTTGTAAACATCCACCACAGTTTACAGATCAGCTTCCTGGACTCTTTTCAGTTTTTAACTCGCATACATAAAAAAATATTACTTATCGAAACTGGTATCATGATGAAAAAAAAAACAAGTAGGAGAACGAATTAAGCCAAGATTCTGCTGCCTACTATTTAAGTGAAGATTTAAGACATATTTTTTTCCTTCTCTTTCTTCCTCTCTCTGTCTCTCTCCGTTTATGCTTCCTCTAGGACAGCTTGTTGGTCTTGCGATCAGAAAAGAATGTGACGCTGAACGCCAGAAACAACCAAGGCCAGCTGACCGGCCAGCTCACAGTGGGTGAGTCTCTAGTTCTTACTACACATCCACACTGGAAGCAATTTCACCTGAAACACTAAATCACGCACATGTTTGGGAAAAACCTGCTGTGACATCACTGTCAGGGGGTGTGGCCTGGAGGTAGTTAAAAACCTTGAGCAACAGTTTGGTGCCCCAGTGTCATTTGGAAGACAGATTTATTTACAGCTATGACTAGCTCTCTTTTTGTATGTACAACTTATTAAAAAGTGATCTTAGATCAGTCTGGCTCTGGCTGTAAATTACCCAATCAATCCTATTAATTAATGACTTTAATCAACATTAGCACAACAATTCATCTCTTAATTGTCTTTAATTGTCTTCACGCCTGTAAAAGACTGTAGTCTTTACCAGACACTAACCTTTGATGCACTTACTGAAAGGGCAATGGATTCTTCTTATTATCATCAAGTTCAACCATCAGTCAGTCCAAATTACCAAAGTCATTTACATGATTAATGACCACTGGAAAGCAAATGACCTCCTTATTAACATTAATAGCTATTGATCTTAGCCAACATAAGTTGAGAGTTGATGCTGATTTGACAAGACTGGTGATATGACACTTTTTGGTCACGCTTGACCTTCCTCCAAAAATTAGCGCCTGCTTTTGTAGAAAGTGCATTTTTGTCTGAAATGAGATGAAACTTGGCGAGAATAATTAAATTCCCCAGCCGTCGCAGTCTGTGGATTAATGGTAGAGAGAGGAAGAGGAGGGAGCGAGAGAGGGAGACGTTAAAAGTTTCTGCATGCACATGTGGAAAAGCACCAAAGTCTGGAGAATAGGAATTAATATATTTCACCAGTGGAACAGATTACTGATTTGTCTCCACTTATTGTAAAAGCATGGCTGATCCAGCTTTGTTGAGTGCCTTTCATTTACAGAGCAAACACTTGACAAAGTATTGCAGATTTCTAATAGCCTTACATTCCCAAACATAGTTTCCTAAAGCTGATTTGCGAGGCCAGAAGAACAAAAGGCAACCTTTACTTGACAGCACCATTTACAAAGAGAACATTTATGTTGGAAATGCAGACTAATAAAACATTTTAGGTGGAAAATCTGTCTCTAATTGTTAATTATCAAACTAAAGTACAGGTGTGTTCATCAAATATTGAACAATGCAGCAGACCTAAATTAAAACAAAAAGGTAGAATTCTTATCATCTCACTTAAATGCTGTCAACAGTGTTTATAGTACCTTTTTTATTCCACAACCGGTACATCGATCTCATCTCTGCAGGACCTGAGGCTGTGGAGGCCCAGTGTCAGAGGCTGGAGGTGAGGAGTAGAGACGGAGGGAGACTGCTCTTCACTGCAGATGAGGAGGAAGTTGTCATGACAACAGAAAAGTTCACTGTCACAGGTAAAATGTCCTGTTCTCTCAACTTGTAATGTTTTGATAGATCAGAAATATAAAACTGTTAGAAATGGATTAAGAATAATTGTTTGAACTGGGTATTGTATACCCTCCTGGTACCTCTACTCTACTAGTCTGAGTTTTTGGACCAAAACTTAAAGAAGATTTTCACACCTAACTTTTTTGGTTCAGTTCAAACTATCTCTGGTGTGTTTGCCCACTTGGTTACCTTTGTTTAGGACAGTGTGAAATCTGTCACATCTGCTAAACTGTTAAACTGCACAGTTTCTCTGATTTATCACAGAGTAGAAAGAAGTTAAAACAAAGGTGGGCTGAGCTTGTTGCACAGTAACAACCCCATCATGATACCAATGTTCACAACGAGGTGTCTTATACTGTGGTATTATGGGCACGGTGGCTAATGTTCATTATTGAGGCATTTATATTTAAGTTATAGCATTCATAGTTAAAGATGGTGTTGCTTGGACTACATTACACGGCCCTTCCTATTCTTTTACATGAGGAGGGCAGAGGAATATAACTAACACTACTATGACCTCAATGCAAAGACTAGTTTAATTAACATCACAGGCATAATAAAAGTAGACCTTATGGCAGAACAGTTGTACTGGATCACATTAGACAGTTCAAGTGTACCTTATAAAGTGGCCACTGAGGATCAGAAGATCACTTGGAACCGAGACCGTCTGAATAAAAGAGTGTCCCGGTCTGTACTAGGGTTTGATTGACAGCTTTTAAACCAGCTTAAACAAACCAATTCAAACAGGTTAGGTGTTAAATCACACGAAAGCCTGTTTTGATACTATTTGCTATGGACATCTTCATGGTTTGTTAGCCAGCTGTAATTTCTGTGAATTATAAAAGCACATTTTATCGACAGGCTCTGAAGGCGCTGTGTTTGGGCATTCAGTAGAAACTCCCCTGATCCAGGCGAGGGCTTCTGAAGACCTGAAGTAAGCTCATATTAATTGACTTTACAGAAATTCATTAAAGCTTAATGTCACATGTTCATATCCTGTTCAATTAAAATGAAGATCTTTAAATAATGATGATAAATGTTCCATGACATTTCAAAGTCGAATCTCCACTGAAATGTTAAAAAAAAAAAAAAAAAAAAAAAACGTGGCAGGAACCATTATTCACCAGTATCATTATTCTCAAGCACCCTCTTGTAAACTCAAGCATCTACCGGTTGGCTTGTTATCACACACATTTAAAGCTAGATTTGACCATTATATTAATTTCACAGCTGAGGGGTGAGGTAATTTGTTAGTTATTGTCTATAGCAGTCAGAAATTGATTATAGCATCGAAAGAGCATGGAGAAAGTGGGCAAGGTTGAGATGCATTAGACTCATACACTCCCATGCATGAGATCCCCACTGAACTCCGCCTGAGGCTCTGGGCCCGGTGTCGGTCCATTAACGAGCTGTAACGAGTGCGGTTTGTTGTCCACCTTACTGGTCCTGAAGGGAGGGCTGGGATCAAAGTTGGCAGAAAAAGCAGTGTTCTGGCAGCTAATTCTTCCAGAGTGAGAGGAATACTGATGAGGTTCACTTTAAAGCGCACACACAGACATACACACACACACAGGCTCAGCTCAGGGGTGACCATCTGCAATGTGTTCAAAATCTTAACGAGAGGCAATCGAACAGGAGACATTTGAGACACAAAAACAGCAACTTGCCTTTCCGGTTTCAGATTTTCTCCTGTTTAAATGCATCTGATCAAAGATTTCAACATTATCAAAGTTGGATTCTGTTTGTGTGGTTCAATTGAAAAACATAATCCATCGTCATAAATCTATCATTTCTGCAGGCAGTTCTCAAAATGACTACCTTCCTTCACAAATGAATGACTGAAATTGTCATTGTCTACAAGAAAATATAGATTAATAATGACAAGAATTAAAGCCTAAGAGTATTCCTGTTTATTAGGTTACTAAACTGTGTAGACTAATTGGGCTGTGGGCAAAGACATCATCATTGCAGTGTCATCTTGGGAGATTGGTAGTATTTTGAAAAATAGTAATGCCAAAGCTGTTAAAACAACCATTATATGTAACCTAGATTTCTTAAAAACAAGACTTGGTCAAAACCTAGTATATGGCTTGACTGTGTTGTAGGCTATTTGCATTCTGCCCAGTGTCAGCCGGCTTCAGTCCTTTAAGTGTTTGCTTCTCTCCTACTCTCTGTGCTCACATATACCGTGTTTTAATACAGCTGAATTCCCAATAAAGCTGTTCTCATTTACATGTTATTTTGTTCCTGTTGTCAAGACAAAGGAGCAAGTATGAAACAGTGACTGAACAGTGGCCCATTAAGACTACATGTAAACTGCCAAGCCATTTCCATGCTGCTGCTAAAATCCTGATTTTATAACCACGACGTCATCTGACAAAAATCACCATACAAGAGTTAAAGACAGGGTCTGTGCTGTGGTTTCAGCTATTATATATATATATATATATATATATATATAATGTATAATAATGTATATAAAAAGATCACACAGAGAAATTTAGTAGCTCATTCACATCAGCCGCCGTATAGTTAGCATAGTTTTACTTTTAGTTCTTTAAATGTGTCTGATTTTTATAAAATAGGTTTTTCGTTGGAGGGCAATAAATCATTGGAAGTATGTTGATATATAATTATTAGCTTGCAAAGAAAGTAAAGCAGGCTAGGGCTTAAATACTACACATATATCCAGTAGAACAAGAGTAGTACCGTTGATGTTCATTTTTCTCCCAAAGGTTTTGTGAAAACTAATTTCAAACTAGTGTTTTGAGACAGGTTACCTTCATTTGAGGGGGCTGTGGCAGGCTTTTCACTCCACCGCTCAGTATGACCGGTCAGAACAGCTACAAACACTTCCGCCTTCATACAAGGTTTGGTTTTTTTTTTTTTTTTTTTTTTTTTTTTTTTTTTTTTTCTTTTCGGCACTGACCTGGACTTTAGACTATGCCACCACGCTAATGGTGACATTGCTAGAGAACACAATACACAACTCCTCCAGCAGAAGGATTAGTCTTTACTGCTATTTAACTTGACACCCACTCACCATAATGGACCAAAAGAGAAGCACTGGTTCCTCTAATGGTACCAAAGCAGGCACGTTTTCTTTAAACAGCCACACAGTGAATTATGAGCCAGAATCGCCTGTTGATTTATTACACGTATGTAAATCTAATTTATCATCAGATATGATGACATCATCCTGTATAATTAAGGACAGTATCGGAAATGATTGACTCAGAGAAATAAAAATTCTTAGACACTCACACGCCCATTTTATCACAAACGTACTGTGGCATTATTTTTTTCTTCTCCACTTTACTATATCACTGCCAACACAGTAAAGCAAAAAAAATGTAGGTTTTTCTAAAAGTGCAACATTTGTGTGAAAAGTGGCATATGAATCTCTTTTGGATTGCCTCTGGGACTTTTCATCCATAGTAATGAATTTCTCCCCTCTCTCCACCTCCCTGAAAGTGTGACAAGTTAAACCCTCTTTGCAAACCACTCACCACCTGTCAGTAAACCTCTCTGGATGATAAAGATACAGCTTGGCTCGCTTCCATGTTGCTCTTCTTTTGCTCTGTAAAGCAAGATCACTCTCCTTGTGATGTGTTTTATTTTTCTGCGAGCCAATGGTAATCTGGGAGAAAAACAGAGCAGAGACAAAATCAAAGAAACCCACCTGAGATCCTCCTGCTTTTTGAAGCACCTGTTCTCCTCTCTGAGGGCTTTATCTGTGTACATTCGCACTCAAGTTTGTCTTCATTTGTTATCGTTGTGCTGCTTCTGAATAATTGAATATACTGAGTATAATAAATCCACTGGCGTTTAATTACATTTTGCATGATTTACAAAAGTTGTGAATTTCATCATTAAGTCTACTGGACTTTATCAGTGTTTGTGTTGTTGGGTGGATGGGTTTGCTATTTATTTGGGTTTGAAAAATTAGATTTGTTTCATTTGTTTCAGATTTATTCCAGAATAATATAATAATAATAATAATAATAATAATAATACAATAATCATTTTCTTATATTTAGATTTCTGCAAAAATCTTTCGGAGATTATACATTTATCTTTGTTTTCTTCTAGTAGATGTAAACATGGTGTACTATAAGTATACAGAACCAATATTTAGCTATTATTATGTGAATGATTGTGCAAACACTCTCACTATGATGTTAACTTTTTTCTGAACTTTTGTCCACAATTGGTGAAAAGGACATGAGAGCAGATGAACTTAACTGGTAGCTCACCTGGTTAAACAGGCGTACCATGTGTCAAGACTGAGTCCAAGCCTGGGCCCTTTGCTGTATGTCATCTCTTCCTCTCTCTCGCCTGCCCCTCACCTTTCCTGTCATTCTCTCTACTGTCACTATCAATAAAGGAAAAATGGCCAAAAATAAAACTTAGGAAAAGGGGGGGGGCCTTTACTCATCCAACATGAGGGAATTTACGCAGGTGTCGCCGCAGCACAGGAAGGGATACATAGTACAATGCATGAACAACAAAATAAAAGGTATAAGGTATATATAAACAATTTTTATACACCAAAATAAAATAGCTTTTCAAGTGGATTGAGACAAAAATGCTCACAAAGTGGGGAAAGTTGCAATTAAAAATTAAATAGAAAGTTTGCCCTTGACCAAAAAGAGAATGAAGTCAAGTTGTGTGGCAGTATGAAATACAGTTATTGCTCTTATAGCAGTAAAAACAAAAGGTTGTGGAGTCTGGGGCTGCAACTAATTATAATTATTACCTTCAGGTGTCTAACCAGCAGTTTAAAACCTACAAGTATTTAATATACAATGATTTCTTTTTTCACAATAAAAGCAGCAGATCTTCTTCATGGCAATGGTTGGCACTTTTGTTTGAAAAATATTAATCAATCATCAAAATTGTTTGTAATTAATTTTCTGTCAATCAACTAATCAATTAATCGACTCAACATTTAGGCTTTGGTGAAGTAAGTGGAAGGTCAACAGTGCAATTGCATGATTGATTTACAGTCCATTACTTTTGGTCCTCTGTGACTGACAGTTTCCTATTTCACTGTATTTTTTTTTACTCCCTCAGTCCGTCATCTTTGTCATCTGTATACCCAAAAAAACTAGGAAACAGGTTTGTCCATGATGACTTGTGAATAAATGCACCTGCACCTATGCTGAGGACCTGTCAGGAATAGAGACCTTGATATTGAGTTCTCTAAAACAAGGGGAGAGCTGTTATAAAGTGGATATGGTCCTGCAGGAGAGATGTGTCAGTTTGTCATGTCCTGCTCTCAGCTCCCAGCTTCATTACCTTTAGTCATAGCTGTTGTCAGGCTCTGATCAGCTCCTTCACCTCACCGTCACCTCTGCAGTTCAGTTTCACTCTCAAAGTGACTGGTGCTGAGTTTGAGGACAGAAGTGGAGCTAGTTATTTACAGAAAATGCGGGCCTATATATGAAAATATTTGTGTTAATCACATAATCGGATCATTTTGTATCTTATTTTGGAAGCTGCTCCGATTACTGATGCACATTTTTATTCCTGGTGTCTCAAACCCATCAGAAGCCGTAGGATGATATTCCTCTCGGTGAAGCTGGTTTGCAATACGGAATCTTTACATCATTTTACTGTGATACTTCTGTCATGTAGTTTGTTCACGTTCAGAGGGAAATGTCTATTCTCTTGACATCTGCTCAGGAAAGATAGTAGATGGGCGTCTGATCAATACAACAAAAAGTCTCCATGTCTCAACAGTGTCAAGAACCGACTTTTTCAATTTTTTGCAGACTGTAAATAAAACTGCTGCTCTAAAGGCACCTGGGAATCTGTCGTAAGACAAGTCTGATGTTAAAGGCAGACCCAGACCAGACAGGATTTGAAGGCTTTCTGGTTTCTTACAGGGCAGATGTCACATGGTACATTTCCAGGCACAGCATCAGAGAGCAGGGAAACAGCTTTTCATTTTATTTTCTGTGCAACTTTCTGCTGCTTGAGCTCTCCTCCTCCTTCAGGTTTAAAGTCTATTTGCAGAGCGGCCAGCCGCGTACTGCTCTCTAGTTGATCCGAGCAGCTTTCAGGACGGTCTCAGCAGTAGCTGTGTCCACACAAGAGTGACAGGTTCATTAAGAAGATAAAGGCAGAGGAGAACAACTCTTCTTGCTCCCACTTAGCTCTGGTCCGACTTTCCTACCACCAGATTGGTGGGATTGAGATGTAGTGCCTCAGTCATGTATTTTTTTCTAGTCTTTACTGCAGTAGAGACATATGGCATTTCTTTGTTGTTACATATTTGGTCATTAGGGAAATGTTTGGACAGCAGACAATAAAAGATACAGATATATAATGATGATTGGTTTGTTTGAGAGGGAGGTCATACTCACTCCTCCAACTGCAAGTTTATAAATAAACATCTATCATTGCTTTGCGAGGTTCAGGCTCTGTTGAAACTCTCTTCGGAAAAGTGACCAGAAAGATTATTGGTGTTAAAGTTCTTGATCTATATCACATTTTCTGTCTAGTCTGAGCTTCTCTTGTCTGGAAGGAGATTTAGAGATTATCAAGCGAGAAACGATTTTATCTCTCATGCTATCAAACTGTTAAATGCTCCTGATGAGTCAGCTGATGATGCGCCTCTTGTGTAAAATTGGTGAGGATGATGGAAATGTGGACCATTGATGATTGGGTTAGATGATGTTTGGATGTACTCCAGGTTTGCTCTTACTTGCATGATGGATCAAAGAATTTTAGTTTTTACATATTTTTGTTTATGATTTATGCATTATATTAGGTTTTATGTATCCTATGTTTACGTGAGTGTCTTGTGTTATGTTTGCTATGTTTCACCTGGTTGCAAGGTGAATTTCCCCTCACGGACAATGGATTTTAAGTTGAAGTTCATATCATATTTTTGTACTTATCCTGTCTTCCTCTGCATTGGTCACTGTCATGGTCGTCAGGCTGTCATTTGTCATTTTTTGATTGGTTGCCAAACTTTAACAGGGCAGGTTTGCCTGGCAACAAAACCATATACCAGTACTGCCAGTGTACCTGCCTGTGTTGTGACAGATTGTGCAGTAAATATGTAATAGTGTGTTGTTCACATAGACAATCAAATACCATGAAGTGCATCACAGGCTTGTATTTTCAATTATGATCAGCTGAGAGACACAATTTTACATTTGGATTTACTAGTTTTGAATTTACTGTTTACGACACTAAAGCTTCAGTGCAGTAGGAGACCTTGGTCTAAGTACTAAGCACTAAATCTATTCAATAAGGTTAAGTGTAAGGAGATCAGGTGAAGAAGTGCATAGTAAGTGCTTGTTACGCTGTTAGAGGTGATAGGAGAGGAGGTGCTCGTGGAAGAGATGAGTCTTCAAGAGATTCTTGTAGAGGGAGGGACACTACTGCTCTGATAGCATTTGGTGGCTTGTCTCACCATCTGGTATTTGATTTGCACTTCTAACTCCTTGATGATGTGTGTGAATATGTCTGCAGTTTAACTTACTGTATGTGTGAGACTTGCAAAAGTGAGTCTGTGTACTAGAGTTGTAGGGAATATGAAGTCAATAAAATGTGAGACATGTTGTCGATGGCTTCACTGCTCCCTTTGTGAGAGACTATGTTTTGTGTACATTTGTCTCCTGCTCTGACAAAGGATAAGATAAGTTAAGATAATAAATTGGGTGATTGTGGTGGAATTAAGTGAGGGTTATTTAGATCTGTTTTCATTTGCATCCAGTACCTTCTTGTATTGCAGCAGCGTCTGGTAGTTTTGGAAAGTTTCGTCCACATTGTGTCTTATTTCTTAGAGGCCATAGAGCTATAGAGTGAAAAGTGAAACTAACGCTGACCTATAAAAATAAACTTAACTTTCACCTTTGAAATCCCCTCCACAAACAAAGTAGATATGCTGTATTTAAAACAAACTCATCCTCTGTGACATCAACTTCGGCGATCAGCACATTAGGTCCAGCACAGGTCTTCCCTCCATAGCTCTGCGATACGGTGACCTTTCTGTGGATGTAAAGGGCATTCTGAATGCAGCCAGAAAAGCTGGTCAGATTTTCCAGAGAATGGGAGAGACTGCTGTAAACGGCCTTTATGACTGCAAATACCACACAGGTTATCTCTCACGGGCTTTACATTTTACAGTTTACCGGATGGATGGAGCCAGAAACCCTGAAATATTCAGTGTACCTGAAGCGCCTTGGTTCTTTTTTCTTTCAGGAAATTGATCTGAAGGTTTCTGGACATTGTAACATTTTAAAACAAAAAAAAAAAAAACTTTACTTATTAATTGACTTTGTCTCGAATCAAACCTGTCTAGCTGATTTTTAACGGGTAACTCTAAAGGGTCCCACAGTTTTTTCCTGGAAATTAAGTGATAAACATGTAGATTCTCAGCGTGTTTCCTGAGTCATTTCTTAAAGTTCATGGAAATTATTATTTAATCTGCTTGTTTTAAGGAAAATAGCAATGATGTTGAATTTTTTTTCTACATGGATCAATGGATCTTTCTGCTCAACACTACTAACATAACTCAAAATACTGTCTGATAACATTTTCTATGATTAGGAAATTACATTTCTGTGTGTTCAATACTGTGTTTACTGGTTTTTCTTCATTAATAAACAGAACAGTTCTAAAGACTCAAAACCTGTCTTCTCTTCTTCAGCAATGCAACGCTCAGCAGAAACCTCAGCCCCTCCCCCTCCACAAAAAAAAATCCATAACATTGAACACTTTATGTTAAATTGAAAACCAGCCCAAGGATTTCTTCCCACCACATCTAGAGCTTCTGAAACTCACTCATCCAATGAAACAAAGTACTACTTCATTCATTCCATTTAATACAGTTATTATTGGGTATTGGGAATAAAATGGTGTCATTTAACATGAGGAATATAACTCCTGTGCAGCCATCAATGTATTTCAAATTGTATCTCATTAATAGTAATGGTTACTGGTTTTACCAGTCAGCAGTAAAGTGAAAAGTGATTTCTTACTGTTGTTCGAGCCTCACAAACTAGACCGTAAGCTTTCTGTACATGAAACTGGAAGTAGTTTGAGATGGTTATAAAACCCAAGGGACATTTTTAATTTAATTCATTTAATGCTTTATTTTGGACTCTGTCTCAAACAAGCACTCTTGGAAATGGAGTAGTTTGTCTTCTGGCAGAATTACCCTGTGTGTGTGTGTGTGTGTGTGTGTGTGTGTGTGTGTGTGTGTGTGTGTGTGTGTGTGTGTGTGTGTGTGTGTGTGGTGAGAGATGATAGAACTGTTTTGAATGGAGTGGAAATGTCAGACACATGTCACAAATCACTAACTTCTCATTGCACAGCTCAGTGCAGTGTTTTTTAATGGGTCTTTTAATGACTCATCCATCCAAGCCACAGATAATCAGTGGATACTTGAGAAATAATTACTGAATCATACGAAGCTGAGCAGCACTCGCAACACAGATTCTTGCGGTTCACTAATGGACGGCAAAGCTTCAGGAGAAGAAATGGCAGCTTGTGTTGCTACGGGAGATGGACTGAGAATTTACTTGTTTTAAATTCTATACGATAAATGATCAAACATTGCGAAAATTACAATAAATATACAGATAAAGTTAAAACTCTGAACAGGAAATAAAGACGACAAGGAAATACACATCATTATCGTATTGTACGTTATCTGCTCTTTCTTTGAACTGCTTTCAAGGAGAACAAAGGAAAATGAGCAGTAGATTGGTAAAAATAACAACTGAGCAGACATCTATCTTTATTCCCGCGGGTGTAGGGCACAAACAGTCCCAGGTCAAAGGCACATTTCACAGATCCTCTCCAAACTGTATCTACTGAAAGCTGATTTAAAGTCAAAGAGGCTTTTCAAATGCAGATGAAATTCATTTGCTTTTCTTTTTTTCTCCTCTTATTCCACTAGCGCATAATCCGAAATGTGTGTCACTTTCAGAGGGTATGGAGATTTAAGCGATTTCAAGTCGGCTCCTTAAAGTCTTCCATTTAAAATTCATTGAAAACAGATTTGGGGAAGATGGGGGCAGAAAATCAATTTGAAATGGTTATGAGTTATGAAAACAAATTCCACATTGATTGGCTCTCACACTTATCTTTCCCCGTGTAAACAAATAGTCCACGGGAGGAAAATGCAAATTGCATTAGCCTCAGTGTTGCTGAAGGTCAAAATCAGCTGATACAATTATGGGCTGTTTAGGAGCCATACCGGATTAGAATAATGAGAAGAGCTATTTAAACATGAACAGCAACTTTAATATTCCACAGGTGGTGAAGTCATTGGTAAAACTAACTGCCAAAATACATTTATGCAGCAGAAGTCAAACAGAAATATCAATAAGCTGCTTTGCTTTTTCAAATGTGAGACATTTTGACTCAATTTTAAATGCCTTGTTGCCCTGGGTCTGTTCTGAAACAAATAACATGATTGAATTCCATAAACCTGCCCTAAACCAGTAATTATACAGAGATATTCATAAACTATGAACTGAATAACAATCAATTTAACCTTGAATGCAACTTGTGTCCATCGCTATAAAATCATACTGAAAGGCAACGTTTTAATGATGCAAACATCCTGAAAGTATAAACAGAATAAATCGATGAATTCATGCACTAAATCTCTGAGCTTGCTGCTGATTTATCTTTTTTTTTTTTTTTTTCCCTCAGACTGGAGTCTCCAACACGGACTCTGACCATGGAGGCTCCCAGAGGGGTCGAAGTGAGCGCTGCCAAGGGGCCGCTGAAGGTCAGCAGCCGAAAGGACCTACAGCTGGAGTCAACAGAGGGAGAGGTGAGGTGGATTAACTACATCCTCCGTAATGACCATACAGCTGAAACAACACCTTTTTGAAATTCTTGCAACAAAAACTGAAGGAGGATTTATTGTTGTGTTAGACTGCATCAGTTTAGCTAGACCTAGGTGTGCCTGATAAACTACTCCCTCAGTCTCCTTCCTCGTCATTGAGAAATCATAACAGATTCACTTGTGCGCACATGTGCAAATTAGCACTAAACACAAAGTGCAGCTGAGGCTAATGGGGGTGTTATAAGTTTTGCTGGTATTTGATAAGAAACAGGGGAGTATGGGACAAATTATAATTTTGACCAGATGATGAAAAGTTATTACAATTCAACCTGTGGAGAATATGAATGTCTGAACACATGACAGTCCAGCTAACATTTGGGGATGTATTTCAGTCTAGAGCAAATGTGATGGACCAAATAACTGAGCTCACCACCAGCATGGCTGCAAATGATTTAATAGAGAGGTGGAGTTCCTCCTTCACTGCTCATCCCAACTCACCAGATCAGTGCTGCTGTATTTCAGCATATTTACTGATTGCACCACAGTCAGTTATCAGTTTGAGTTGGTACTCAATCCCCTTGGGGGCATTTCTTGTGATGTTATTTGAATGACTTCCTGCATGTCTCTGATGTTTTTGCTCCCAGATTCTTTTAGATGCCAACACCATACAGCTGGGGAGCCTCCCACTCGGCGTCTACACAGCGTCTCCCAGTCAGGCCTCCCAGGAACAGGCCGTGTACGAGGTGTGTGTCTGCCCCAGCGGCAAGATCTACCTGTCTCCTGCAGAGAGCAGCTCCACCTGCCAGGCCATGAGCAACATCTGCCTCTGGAGCTGACCTGGGAGCAGTGTTCGTGATCGGGGAAACCTCTACCATCTGCTCTGGAGCAGCTGATATCGAGACTCTACGACGGTATATTTGACGGAGAGTGGAACTCAACTGTGCGGAGACAGAGCTGTCTGAGCTGTCTGAGCTGTTTGAGTTCAGATTAGCACAGAGGCATCTAATGATGCCTGATGCCTGCAGTGGTCTACTGGAGGTCAGGACTCACAACTGACCGTGTCTGAGGAGCAGCTTTCCGAAATCAGGAATATCGCATACAAACAAGAACTTTTCCACTACCTTATATTAGAGTCAGAGGACACAACTTTTATTTTTCTACTCTAGGTTTATTGTTGACATGCAGTGACTGTTTTTAGGATTCAGAAAGAATAAGAGAAGACAAAACACAGGTGCCTTCAGCTCTGATAGAAGTCATATTGAACCTGTCTGTGTCTGAAGTTGTGATGGTAGAAAGTGTAGTAAGCACAAATCTGTCATGTTTTTCCCCCAAAAAACACAGATTTTAGATTATTTTGAGTATTCTCAATAGATATTCTAGTTTTTTTCACTGTGTTAGCAGCTGTTTAATTTGAAATTAAACATGTTTTTATGTGGCACACATTGTACATGAAGTTTAACCTTGATAAAGACGAGTGAAACAACATAAACAGCAGTTTTGAATGTTCAGGTTAAAGTTCACAAGACAAGACTCCTCCACTTCAAGGTAAATGTTCTACTTTTTTGATATTTAAATGATATTGATAGTAAAACATGAGAAAATAAGTTGGAAAAACACAATGTCCATTTTAGTAACTGTTCTGGAGCTGTCCATTATCAACAAGATCTTCAGCAGATGGAGTTTGTCCAGTTATTATGGTCTTCTCGTCCATTTTGGTTTGGACGTTGTGCTTTCATTCTTGACCGTGGAAACAATATTACAATGTCCATTTAGTAGCTGTTCTTGAGCTTTTTGATCATATTAACATGGGTGAGAAGTCTTTAAATTGATGAGGCACCTCCATCTACTGATGAAGATGATGATGAAGCTCCAGAACAGCGATTAAATGGACCTTTTTCTTTAACTTCTGCTTTCAAGAATACATTTTTAACACTCCTCATTTGCTAAGTTCAAAGAAAGTGTTCTCATTTAATTGCCTGCTAACTCTTGCACGTCAAACCCCCACTCAGTGTGAGAGCTGTGCTTCTCTCCAAGGCAGCGGCCCACTGTGGAGTTCCACACAGGAGTCTGGCTGACCTTGGCGCTGCAGCTGAGAGCGAGGCTGGCAGCCATGTGTCAGCAGACCCGCTGGAGTGCAAAGCCTCGCTCCACCCACCCCACTTCCTCATCCTCCATCATCGGCCACCAGCAGAGACGGGCTGGTTTGGTAAGAGCCATGATAGCGTTGTAACAAGAGCTCAGCTGTCCACTACCTGCTCACTGAGTTTCTTTCAGTGGCATTATGTTTTTCTTTTTTCAAAGATGCATCACGGAAAATGTTTTGTTTGTGTGTGAAAAGACCATATAATCACCCTCAAGTAGTAAAGTGGGGCTACAACAGAAAAGTGTTAATTAAAATGCTGCAGATTCATCTCATTAGCCCAAATTGCATGGTGTCTGATGTCACACATTGTGAGTGACAAATCCAAAAAATGAGTTGTATTATTACATCTAATTTAAACTTCTAAAGTATTTATCCTTGTGTAGGAGAACAGCTGTTTATTCAGGGTACACGCTAACATCACTTTTTCAAATGATCCAACCCCAGTAGAACCAGTAGAAAAACAAAGAAATATCTTTAAAAAAAAATGAAAATGACAATTTTTGTATCAGAGTTAGGGGCCTGTGGAAACTGAAATAGGCCCATAGGCCTTATTTAACATCGGACATACAGAGAACAGCTGAAAAGCATGATGACGTCCCTGAGTGAAACAGTCTCACAGTATGATTTCACCAGGAAATATACCATACCAGACACTGATCCATTAGCCTCTCCTCTCTACATTACAGACAGACAAAAATGTGGTTTGTCTGAATTCTTTCTGAAGAGATTTAAGAAGTTCATTGAATCGCAACCTCTTTTGCATTTTGGCCACGTTTTCCTGCAGAAAGTTTGTGTTTGTTTGTCACTCAGAGATTAGCGACTGTGGTGACTTGTGTGTATGGTGAAGTCGTGTATACTCTCTATAAGTCTGAAACATAAGAATCAATAATTTAATCATAGACATGTCATTATGTGGAACAACTATTTTCAAGCTCTTGCTGCTTTCAGATACTGTTTATTTCCTTAGTAATAGTTTTGTCCATAAAATGAAGTTTGTTTTTTTTAATTGCCCATCAGAATTTCCCAAAGTCCAAACTGACACATTCAAATGGCTTCATTGTTTTTTTTACCAACAGTTGAAAACCCAAAGATATTTAGTTTATTATTATGATTTGGTGACTCAGAAAACCAGCAAATATTCACATTCACCAGACAATACATTGATTATCAAAATAGTTGGTGAGTAGTTAATGTCACTTTATCATTTCAGCTCTAAATTGAACTCTTTGCTGCTCCATATGAGAGTTCAGCAAGGTTGTGAAGCACAACAGAAAAGTCCCAATTATCAAGGTGAAATGAAAGTTCATTATTCAAAACAAAACGGGCCAACTGATGTGAATCAATATCATTTACATCAAAGATTTATCAAAGTAAGTCGTGTTTCAGTGTTATTATGTAAATTGAGTTTTTGAGAGATTAAGACGACAACGGAAGATTTCAAATAAAATATTTAGCATTTGACGAACTGTGTAGAGACGTAAATTAGCTATTTTCTAACATAGTCTTATTGCAGCCTCAAGAGAAGCAAACAGCAACCGGAGAAAGGAGTGTAAATGACTCACACCTACTTTGTACTGATGCTATCACCTGATATATTTCATTATCCCCTCTGTCCCTGTAATGTTGATGTGCATCTTGCCTCAGCATTTCACCTGGTGGAGGCTGGATGATGAAGTCTTTTCCTCCGCCACAGGCTCTGCGAACAGAGCTGGACCGGGGGGAGTGTTTTTAAGACACAGGGTTAAGAACAGATATTATTGTAGCCTGCTGCTGCACGGTCACGGCTGGGTGCACATCACAGGTTTTCTGGCTTTAATTAAGCCCAAAGTTACCATCACAAAAGCCGGATCAGTATCGCAAGAGCCACTGTAGGTTTTGTATTTTAATCTCATTTTTCAAACAGTATGTGGAGTGGCTCTGCAGCAGCAGGTGTTTGAGGACAGTTGATCAAGAGTTATGAATATGTGATGCCAGCTGATGAGGCATGAGTGCTCCTGTGTGTGTGCTGACTCAGAATCATCTTTTTTCAAACATCTGTTTCTTTAGTTTACTTTTAAATCAACGCCTTGAATCCTATTTGTAGTTTACACAGTTGAGAATTAAGTAGTAGATGGTGAGACAGGACCTGGGTGAGATTCGAGTCAAAGAGTTGTTCTGCACATTGGTGGGACTGGTGGGCTTTTCAGAAAGCAACATCAGGTTTCCAAACTAATAATTCACTCTACCAGCTGTAATACACATATGAAGTGAGGTGAAAGGTGCAGTGGACTCGCAAAAATTCAATAATCATTTCGCATTAGGGAGATTAATGATTTTGCTGCTACCTAAAGACTTCCATTTTTCCATTTGTGATCATGCTGAAATCATTCATTTGGTTCCAACAGGCAGCAGATGCTTAGACCTCAGAGATTGTGACTGCTTTGGATTCATGTTTTTATACCTGTATCAGTTTCAAAACTGAATGTAGATTCACCCGACACTGGAAAAGGGAACTTAATCTTATTTTTCACTTCTTGCAAATCTTGTGTGTGTTAGTTCCCTGTTCCAATAATGATTAATGTGTTTTATTGCAAAAAGTTTTGGAGAAGTACTCAGTGACTTTGGTGTTGATGTTAGATTTCTGTAGGTTTATTTGGCATAAAGACTGCAATCTGCAGCTGTTCAATCTTTATAAGGTGATAAGATGTGGTGTTCAGGTGCAACTCAGACAGCCATGTTGTCAGGATGCCAGTCTTGTGTCCTATCATACTTTGATCATATCATATCAATCCACAGCTCGCCTTATGGTTGACGTTACATCATCAAACGCTGCACAAACAGGTGATTTTTCCAGATGTACTGCTGTTAGATGATGCAGGCTATGTACAAAGGGAACTTGTCAAAATTGAGGCTGCATTTGAAATGTCATTTGCACAAAGTACACAAACCTATCAGAGCGACTGTTAATTAGTTTTAAATTAAGCTGAAGAAAGCCTGTACATCAAATTGTAGTGAAAACCAGAATTCAAACTGCTTGTGCCGTTGTTCCAGGTGCTGCAGAAGAAGTGCACTGTATCCCGCTCAGGACTTCAGCTCCGTGCGCCATAATGGTATGTTTATATCCACATAATTTATTAGAAAGTTATGCTGTTGTTTCCATTATCTGGAAATGATTTTCAACGCTAAATTCATTTCAAAGAATCTCCACTTTGCCAGTTCACTGCATATCCAATGCTTTGCTTGTGCTGCCATCTATTGGCTCATAGACCTGAAGATAACATTTATAAAATTCAATCACTTCAAGTTAAAAGCTGGATTACTGCCTGGACACAGAGGGCAAATGTCCCCAGGGACCTTGAAAGCCCCAGGTCCACTCTGAGTTAACAAGTCCGCAATAATTGAATTCATTGGGCGTTTGTTTAGAACTACACATCACTCAAATACATCATCTAAAAAAGTTACTTGCAACATCTTTCCATGCATATCCATCAAAATTACACAAGTCTTTTCCAATATAACACACTGTATTACCCAAAGGTCTTCAGCCGTCACAAGGCTGTAGGATATTTGGCTGAAATGTGTTAAACTGGAGAAAGGTTGTGACTTGCTCAATGTTAATGGACTCAGACTACATCTTAATATTAGAACTTGACCATTCACTATGTTCATCGCAAACATGCACCAGGAGGCTTCCACTATCTAAAATGTGAGCTGGGGCTTTAGACTAAATATAGAGAAGCTGCCATGAGTCCTTTGTGTTTAGCTGAAACCGGGTATGACTCACAATTCAGAAAGTCAGCAGGCCAATAACTCTTTATGCCCACTATTGGTTAAAGACCATTTTTTTTAATAACAAGACAGGAACAGGAAGAAAATGAAATAATCTTTAATTCTTGACTTAAGAACACGATAACTCCATAATTACTGAGGGCATCTGAATAAAATATAAGATGTACCACCCCATGATCAACCACTGATGAAATGTAATCTTGTGAATTACAATGAACCTTGAACAGTTAAACAGTAAGTATGCATGCAACAAAAATAGTGCCTGTTGTATTATAGAGAATTATAAGGATAGTTTATAGAACGATAGGATAAAGGTGTATTAAAAGTAAAGTGAATAGTAAACTTAATTCTGAATGGATATGAATACAGATGATTTAGATACGTTGTAAATGTGAGTCTTGTAATACCTTACTGTAAAGTTCACCATATTTAAATAAGCTCAGCATCTCACTGTTTTTCAACTGTAAAAAAAAACAAACAAACAAACTGCAATAACTTCTAGAGCCTGTGATGCTGGATTTTGGGCCCAAATAAAATAATAAGTTTCAGACATTAATTAAACACATAATTATTGTACTGCAGAGTGTTGAATCATCATGTATATATGTTAATTCTTAGCTGAGTTTCCTTATATTGACATTTAAAACACAAATATCAACAGCCCTCCACTATACTGATCAGGCTTTAACAATCTTGGCATCAAAAAGCTTCTGTTAATACCTGATAGTTTTAAACTTTTGGTAAAAAATATATAAGATGTTCATCTATTTGGAGAAATTGGAGTCATTTTTAGTCAGTAATGCATTACTTTAAGAAAAATAATCCCAACCTTGGCAGTAAGTGTCAGTGTTTCTATGGTCCATTAAAAACACATGGACCAGTTCAAGAGGAAGTAGGTGCCATTGATTAGTCTGTACTGGACAGTTTGAGTGATTTTGCTTTTATTGAGATATCTCAGAGGCATCTTGTTTACTTTTAGTGCTTGTGGTCATCTCTGTCTCTCTGTCTTTGGCGTCCAACTGCGCTTTGCCTGTAAGTAGATATGTTGTGAGATGCCAATGTTTCATACGTCAGTATGACAAAGGAAAAGCATAGCTTCTACAAACTATTACAAAGGGGCAGTTAATCTTTAGTTAACAATCCTTTACTACTTAAATAAAAATTAAACCTTGATAATGTAAAGGAATAGTTTGTTCCCTCCTTGCTGAGAGTTAGATGAAAAGATCAATACTCATGTCTGTGCATTGAATATGAAGGCAGTTAGCTTAGCATAAAGACTGGAAGTGAAAGAGCTAGCCTGGCTCTCTTCAAAAAGTCTAACACCACCAGAAATGAATACTCACTTGAAAACAACAACTTGTGATTTACATGCTAGAACTACTGCTTGGCAAACAACCAGGAGCAGTGAAGTCCAAGAAGTAGCTACAGCACATAATTCAGTAAGTTCAGAGCGAGCCAAGCTAGCTGTCTCCCACCACTTGTCATTATACTAAGCTAACGGTGTCCTGCCCCAGGTCTGTCTCACACTCAGAAACAAAGTGAATAATGTTGAACTATTCCTTTAAAGCTTTATAAACCACTTACTTCATATTTTCATCTTGCAGCTTTGAGGGCAGATTTTGAAATTCCCATGCCATGAGGAATCCTGTCTGGATATCTCACAGCAATCTTCATGCCATTCAGCTCAAAGCCCTGGGGAAGTGAACAGAAAACATTCATTTACAGAAGAAGTAAATTCCTGTAGCTTAGAGGAAAGCTGATAACCTGTCCTGGCTGAGTCCTGTTCCTTATTTATTTACACATAGGGAAGGCAGCAATAATTTGTCTGTCTTGGGGAAACCAATTTTAAACAAGCCCAATCATCATCAGTGAACAGATAGCAGGGCTAATTAGGACCAGTGTAGCAGGTATTCGTAGCTGAATTAAGAAATGAAACTTGGCTGTCGCCAGTCTCTTAGAACAACAGATGATTGTGACTCTGTGAAGCAAGAAAAGAATGTTTGTAGTCGTGTTGTAAACATTGCAGTTTACGCTCACAATCCAAACATAAGACCATTAGATACAGTTCAGGACATACTTACATGAAAGCGCCGGATTGCTTCATCACAATACTCTGGTTTAGTAAAGTTTACGAAGGCACATCGTTTGGTAACCAGAACCTTCACACTATAGACAACCCCAGCCCTGCAGAAGATAGTTTGTGTGAGTACTTACTATGCAACTGAACTATCTGTCTACAAAGACAACATTAAGATAACATTGTCTTACTTGTTAAACAGGTTGGTTATCACAGACTCAGTTACTGGGTAAATCAGGTTTCCCACCCAAACTGGAAACAGCTCCCTGTTGAAAGAGAATGAAGGTGACAAATGACGTGTGAATCCACCTGCGCAGAGATGCTGATTGTTATTTTGTGAGAAACTACTTTATAGATAAAAACACCATCATTCATAACACATAGTTTGAAGTGCATAGAGGCATTCAATGATTTTCTGCTCTCTTGGAATATACTGTCTAATTAGAGGTAAAGCAATACCATTAACCATAAGTATGCTGTCTGCATAGTAATGAAACTTGTCCAATATGAGAACAGATCAAGAATCATCAAATTAACCTTCAATTATACAGGCTCATACTGGTATCATTAATGTTTAGTAATTTATATATAATTGACAAATTAATGTGAATGGTGAAGTATTAATTTTGAAGTTTATACTATGCCCTGCCCTTGTCACTTCCTCTGATTTAACAGTTGACAGAAACAAACCCTCCCCCAGAGACGAGGGAGTTTGAACTGTGATGATCTGAGCTCAACGGCTATCACACTGAAATACAGCCAAATGTAACAGAGAAACAATATGAATACTTTCACGGCTTGGAGACAGACTGCCGTTAATATTCACTACAACAGAAACACTATGAATAAAAAATTTGAAAGACAAGACTTAAGCATTCAACCATAGTATCACACAGTCATTTGTAATAAATATGATCAGCAGTGAGTTAGTTGTGTTTGTGTTGAGCTTTTGTTTAAAGTCTAATTTAAATACCTCAACATTTCAGACACTGCCATGTTGACCGTTTATACTCACAGTGGTTTTTGACTTTTTTCATTGCTGCTCTTCACTGCATGATTAGGAACAGGCTTTGGTTGACTCTGGACATTTGACATATTCTGAACTTGGCCTAATGGGTTGTTCTTAAGTGATGTTTTTGATGCATCCTGGGACTGAGGAGGATGAGCAGGTGCACAGTTTGTGTTGGCTGAAAGGACTGGAGAAACTCCGGTGACATTCACTACTTGAGCTGGTGGGAGAGCGGCTCCTACACACAAGACAAGTGGTTAAAATTGGAATTGGCGTACCTACACACAGATATATCTGCTATAGACAGATAGATAAATACTTTACTTATCCCCTAGGGGAATTTCATGTGTCCAGTAGCTAATTGGTAATAACAGTTAATAATAAATAATTAATCCACTAGTGAAGTGACACTAAAACATAAGTATGTATGAAATGTAGTCTACACAGGTAAGATAAAACAATACAAGGTGATTTTAATTTCCTCTGACGCATGACAGCATTTCAGTCTAATCCTTGACGGTATAATCACAGAGAGGGAGACACTCACCTGGTCGATGGTTTAATTTGGACAACACCTCTAGCGCTTTTTCAACTGTCCCGTGAATAATTAAAGCATTTGAGCTCTGATCGCGAGTGAAACCATACTCCTGAAACAAAACACAGGTTAAAACACCTTCATGGAGTGATCATCTTTCAGCTTCTCTGCCAACGCCTTTTCACTGTCTTTCAAAGTTGATATATATTGGTACTGGTCATTTTTACTTATTGCCTTTTTGTGCAATAACCAAAAGTCTTAAATATGCAGTAGTTCAATGAAGTAACTGATACACAATGCTGTGTTTTTGTATAAATACAAACAATAGATATTATATTGAGTACAGCAATAAATTTGACCCAATTTTCCTTCTCATTTCTCACACAGGTGACAACAAAATCATACATGTTACTGTTACACACCATTAGATGTGTAATCTGCACCCGCATTAGTTCCTGGGCAGCTTCTGCATATGAACCATCCAGTTTGAGAACATCCCTGAAGGCCTGGGAAGCCTCCTCATACCTCTGGAGGAAGATGAAGTGAGAGAGAGAGAGAAAAAAAAAGGTTAGCTCTCCCCACTCTTTGGCTTTGGACTAAATCAAAGTTCAGACTCATTCACTGTCATTCTGTTGGATTAATCAGTCCAGTTATTAATGTTTACAGCAACAGCAAGTCAAAACAAGCCTTAGTAAATAATGTGAGACTGTGCAGCTCAGTGACATTTTGAATTAATTGAGTAATGCTGCAACAAGGCCAAAGTGATCCCAAAGTCATTCCAACCTGAAATAATGTGTAAACAAAACAATGTTAACACTCATGAAAAAGTTCAAATTAGAAGTAGCTACCCACAATGCTGAAAGGAGGGTCATATTTAAGAGTTAACAGTTCACAAAATTCACAGGTTGATGCATACAATGATTATAGGGTCACAGTTCAATATAGCAGTGTTAGGATAACACTGTTACATTTACCTTTAGACCAGCCAGAGCTCTGCCTTTCCTGAACAGGCCTTTGACCCAGCCTGGACACATATTGAGACACAACTCAGCATCAGTCAGTGCCTTCTCATATTCTTGCATCTTTTCAAAACAGAAGGATCGATTGCCAAACAACCTGCAACAGAAATAACAGTTTAGATGTTGCGTAAAAAGAACAGTGGTGTAAATTTACTGTGACTGAAGTAGAGGATGTGTTCTTACTTAAACTCTTTAGGGTTGTATTTAATTGCATCCGTGAAGTATTTCACGGCCATATTAAAGTCTCCAGAACTTGCAAACCTATTTCCAATAACTGTAGGAAAAAGAAACCTTCAGTTAAATTAAAATCTCATCAACTGATTGACATAATGATTAAATACTTATCATTATCAAAACATCTGCCTGAAAGTTTTTGTACATGAGACAGATGAAACTTACCTGCAAGCTCAGTACTTATTTTTATATTATCTTCAATAGAGGGGATGGTAGGGGTCGCAGAATCCTGTTCAGACAGTAAGAGAGGAATGAGATGAGCAACCTTATCCCATGTACCAAAGACAACAAAATTACAAAATTATTACTGGATTATGGTCAAACTGTAGTCATTGGAACCGTAATCGATTGTCCACTTTTTAGTTTGAAAAAAAAAAAAAAAAAAAAGTCATCTCTGATTTGTGTGCAAGATAACTCACCTTCTTTTCACCCTCTGGGTCTTCATTAGGTTTGTCAGGGACTGTTTTTTTATGCTCCTTAACCGGGATCTTTTTCTCCTTCCTCTCAGGCCTGGGCTTCTGCTCCAATTTACGCTTAGCTATGAGAGCAGCTTTAGTCACAAAAGTACTTGTCATATCCAGTTCCTTTGACAAAAAAAAACAACAAAAAAAACCCATTAGGAACAGAGAGACAGTCATCCGCTTAAATGGTTAAAAATATACATTTTCCACGTTCTAATCCCGTGTCTCAGTGTTGACTGTTCATTTGTCACTTATTAAATAGGTGTTAAAAAAAAGTTTAATTAAAATTCTTCTTTTCTCATCAAGCAAAACAAAAATACTCTTGATGGTTCATCATCAATTCAGAGGCAGTTACATAAATGTATCCAATCAAATGTGATTTGGGGTGAAACTGTTTACATTTCCAAATGCTGTGGTTGAGGTCTAGTGTATTCATCTCAGCCCCCATCCCCCCTGAGGGAGTTGTGTGGCAGTGAACAGTCCTTTGCAGCTCCATCTACCTCTATATTTGGATAATTACTAGACCACCCCCACCTTTTTAAGCTAACCAATCACATCTAAACCAGTGATTCTCTTTTTCACAGCAAGGACCCCTAAACTGGCACAAATTAGACCACCATCTCTTGAGATTTTTGAAACACGATAATACCACAATGGTTCCTCTTCATTAGGACACATTTCAGCAGCAGCAGTGAAACTATCTTTCACTGTTTAGAATTGGTGCTTTGCAAAACTGTCATGTTAAAATCTAAGTCATAACATAGGTATATTTAGCATGCTTATGCATATGATTCCTCAAATAAAACATTTCACACCAATATCAAAGTTAATTTAGAAGAGCACTACAAAACTACAGATAATTCCAAATTGTGTGACAAAGTTTTGTCTGCTTAATTATAGGTGTATGAGCTACATTAACAGGAGCACTTGGTACCTCAGAGTCACAGGAGTCGTTCTTGGTTTCACTATCTTCATCACTGGATTCATCATCACTGCTGTCTGTATCTTTAGCTGAAGCCAACTGTTTAACACTGGAGTTTGTATCATCTTTGGATTTGTCATTAACTGGTTTACTCTCCGCTGCTTTAGACTGCTCTGCCTCCTTTGTCCCCTGGAAAACAAAAACAAAGCTGATAACATTTCACAAGGCAGCTCCCTTTTAAAGGTGTAATGTGTAAGATATGGCCAGATCTGGCCAGAATTTTAGTTTAAAATGTTCAAAAAATGAACTAACACTATCGATAGTATGTGAAGGAGCCACAGTGATGATGTCATGACCAAAACCTCCATCTATTGTATTTCAAAGATATCTACTGAAATGAGAATGCTAACCAACTAGCTGCGTCCCAGGCTGTGTTGATATACCACTTTATGACACTACATGCTGTGAGTCAGTATAGCGTCTAGTCTGCCCTCAGTTCCACGAAGAAGAACAGCTTCCTCCAGAGCTTGATGTTAAGCTACAGCTCCCAACTAAAAAAAAAAACTCCCAACTAACATCACAGATGTGTGAAGCACCTAGAAAGCGATCTTTATCTCCATCCCGAAGGACCGCTCTAACAAGAAACCACGTTCAACGGCAAAGAAAACAGGCAAAACACGAGTAAATCCTGGTGTGTTTTTCCATCGCCAGAGAAAGCTCCGGGTAAACAGAGGTGCAATTTTTTAGACAGGTGAGTAACATCTAATGTTGGTCTATAGTGAAAAGTATTATTAGTGCGAATGACAAACCGTACCAACAAACACTTCAAGTGGAATAAATGTATGATTAACGATGTTGACAGACGTTTTAGCGATTAGTAGTCTAGTTAGATGTGTCAGTAACTTTTCTTAAGAGAGAAGACAAAGAAGTAAAAGAAGTAAGACAAAGAAACAGTTTAATCCAGAACCAGTAGGTTCAGGATCCACTGCCTAATACTGTATTTATTTTAGCATTAAGCATATATCCTTACTATTCATTATATACACACACAACAGACCTAACATGTTTGAATATAAAGAGCTTGTATGATCTAAACTAATTGTCCTATCACATGTTTGTCTGTATGAGGACCAGAATTCCAGTCGTCCTCCCCAGTGTTGGACCAGCACCTGCTTTTCTTCTGCATCTGGCCTCATCAACAACCACATTACAGTAATACCATCCGTGCACATAACAGATATTGTCTATACTTTGATCTTTTGCACATCCTGCTCAGCAGGAGTTTTGTCAACACTTTTGTACATAGTTTTTTTCACTGTTTTATTTTTTGAATATGTGTATCTATCTATATTTATCTTTTTGACTGTTGCAGTATTTTACCTTTTTATTGTTATTTCCTATTAATGTTTATTATATACTGCACCAAACACCAAGCCAAATATCTTGTAAGTAAAAACCTACCTGGCAATAAACCATATTTTCTGATTCTGCCTTTGTGGCGATGTCATCATCCCTTCCTATGCTGCTATAGCCTGACACCCATGTGTCATGCAGTATCCCCTTGCCTTCATATTTTTATAGGTAAATAAAAACATACTGTTTGTATTACAAGTACTTTTGTTTCAGTGCTATCAACAATTTTAACCATCAACAATAAATGCACATATAAATGAACAAATAAATAAACATTTTAAGGAACATGGGGAAAACAACATGATTAACTAGACAGGGACGAAGAGGTGAAATGCTGCCCCCTATGGAGGTGGAGCAAGTAGCACGATCTTACACATTACACCTTTAAAGATGTTGCACACAAACGGCCATTACCTCTTCATTTTTTGAGGGGGTCTGTTCTTCCTTCTCCATCTTCTCACGCCGTTTTTCCTTCTGCTTCTGTTAGGCAAGAATTCACAAACGATTAATTTACACAATCTGACATACAACTACCAAACTCTTCTTGGAGACTGCGGAATTTACCTGTTTCTTAAGCCGCTTCTTCTCAGCCTTTTCTTTGCCTTTTTTAGTTTCTTGTAATAATCTGGCCCTTCTTTCAGTATCCTACAAGAGTTGGGAAAACAAACATTGCAACAATTTGAAATCCACAGAATCACTTCACATCATAATGAAGTTATCCAAGTTAGAAAGACAAAACAAATGTGAACTTACACTCTCCTTTGCCTGAACTTTTACAGAGGGCGGGCGAGGAAGGTCAGCTGAAGTATAGTAGTGCAGTGGAGGCTGATAATTGGAGCTGGATGACCTCGTATGGTTCCCTCTAAATCCTCTATCACTACTTATGTCAGAGAACCTTGGGTATCTGTGTAAATTGTTGTAACCATGGGGCCAATTCTGACTTTCATAATCATCCTCACCAGTATCATCTAGCTCGTCATCGTATTCCATACCTATTAAGAAAATATGTTTTATAACTTCTACCAAACATAACAATTTACCCAACACAATTCATAAACTGAGCTGCAGAATAAATAAATAAAATCTTGTAAAACTTTACAATTTCACAAACTATGAAAACAGACTCGAGTGTGTGTAGATGTGTAATGTGAAATCTTTAATGTGAATCTTACCAAGAAGGCCAATTCTTACTATCCTTTCAAGACGAGGACGTCCCTCAAACATACCCACAAACCTTTGCTACACAGGAGAGGGAGAAATGTGAATGTCAGTTCCACATAGTTGCTGATAACCGTCAGATTAGCTCACCACTTTCAGCCTTGAAACTTTTATTTTTCCACATTCAATCTACATTTGGGCCTCATTATACTAAAAAAAAAAAAAAAAAGTTGGTACATTCCCAAGGATAAGCAATTCCCAGTACTGACTGTGACCCTGAACTGAAGCGAGCTTACTGCCACTGAAGCACTGCGTCCTTAAGTTTCACTTTCCTTTACCTTGAGGGAGCTCTGACTCACTGAATCAAAACCAGCAGTCAAGCATCCAATTTATGAAACTGTCTGTGTTCTAAACATTAAGTTAGGTGAGTCAGTCACTCAAACAGTACTGTCAAGATTGTTTTCCAAGATACAAAATTTAAACCTTTAATAAAAATAATAATAATAATAACAAGGTTTTGTCAAAGGTACTGTGTATTGTTTGACTACTGGACACATGATACAGCAAAGTTTTGATGAGTGGAACCCCCTGTGGCTTCTTCATTCTGCTTTTACAGGGGAATCATTAGATTGTTCATATATCATGTTCTACTAAAATGCACAAGGAAGCACCTGCATGCCAAAAATCACACTGCAGACTACAGTGGTGGCAACTGTAAAAGGCAGTTATGCCCCAATTACAGAGAAGATAGGGAAAGCTAATGTAAGCAATGTAGCATTCAAGGGAGGAAGGGGAGCTTTGGAAATATTTTATGCTGTATCTTTTATGCCTCCTAGTAAGTAAAGGATGTTTTAAAGCAGGTTCAGAGAAACAAACAATTACTTTTAACACATGAACAACACAAAGGGCACCTTGCAAATACAGCTTGGCTATGTGCTACTTCCTTTCAACAATTACAGTTGCTATTTGACAAAATTCCTGCTAGAAACAAATATAATATATATTAACAAAGTTAATAGCAAAATTGTTGTAAATGATTAAATTGAGCCTTAATATATAGCTGTTCTCAAGTTATATATTTGGTGATATTTTGTAATGTTACGACGGTATTGACGCTTGTTGTAAAAAAAACCGGTGGGCTCATTGCTTTGCATGAGAAGCAGCTGCGCACATCAAGTACGTCGGAGTGCAGGATATACACAGGAAATGACTACGTGCAGTATTTAAAGTGTCTCTAAACACACATTAGTCAGCAAGACTCTTATCAAAGTTGAGTCTGATGAACTCACTACTACCCTTAAAGTACACGTATGCAGGACGACTGCTGCAACACTGACGACATATTCCCTTGCTGACTAAAGAATCATATCATTGACAGCCGCATTATCGGCATCTACAAATCCAAGTGCCAAAATGTGGGCACTTCCTTAATGACTTAGTTTTTGAATAAACAATCATAAAAGAGGACAATTAAGATGGTGTACTTACGAACATATGGATATCCGTCAACTCTGAAAAAGACGAAGGGAAACAATATAAAATCCTGCCGTTTCAGCATTAAATAAAATCAACAGAGTTAGTCAGTGATTTATCTGTATTTAGCGACAACTCCAACTAGTACGAGCGAGCTAGCTTGTTAGCTGAACTACCCAACAACTTCTTATAAGAGGCAAAAAATGCACTTCCTTACCCGTCTCGTCACTAAATATCTCCATGTTTAGTAAAACATGTCCCCCATCGCTTCATGTACTCTTCAAATCGAGCTAATTATGCACTATGTTGCATTACGTTAACAGTAATGTTAGCAGCCACTAACTTCTGCTACATGCTGTGTGCGCGCTCTCAACCAACATCGCGTGAACGGATGGAACTCTAATTGAACGCATGCGCGCAATGTTGCTACACCCCCGCCAAAAGCGCCGTTGCTGCCCCCTGCTGGAAGTTGGCCGTAGATATGTTTTAATGGCCATCTCTGCATTACTTTTGCTTTCATGTTGTTTATAATTTTTTTTTTTTTATTACAGTTAACATTTGGGCGTGATGAGTTTTATTTTAACACTTAAAGAGATAGGGCTACAGTGTATACATGTTTGATGTTTTGAAACTTAAATTAAAAATTGTATTTTATATTGCATAATGCATTACATATATCGTTTACATTATATATTATGCACGTTTAATATATATTCAATACGGTATATTGTGTTTATTATTTATACTTATACCCAGGTATCTATATGTATTTTTAATCTGTTTCTACAATTGTAGCAAAGATCTTTGCAGTTGCATTACACTTATTTGTTTTGTACATATATATTCAGAGACATATTTGCTTAATTAATTTATATTAAGTTAAGGTACATATTGTTTAAAGCTTTTAAATGTTATTTCATTTCAGATTGATTTCGTTCAAATAGCTCTCTAGTGGATTTCTTAGCTCTTTGCCCGTCTCTTGTGCTGCTGCAACATTTAAAGTACCCCAATGATGTGTAAAGTCTTCTATATCATCCTCCTGCATACAAGGGATGAAAAAGCCTTTTCTCCCTTGATTGCTTTATCAATCTAGATTAAACTGAAAATGACAAAATTAATGAAACGACACAGAATGTAAAATCACATTAAAACTTTAATGCATCACTCAGTTAATCATTAGCATACACACATTCACACATCACTTTCTGAATTATTTCAGGTAGACAACAACCTGCAGTTTTAACAACCACAAGTAAAGCTTTTAACGGAAATAGGAAAAATTATATCAGTATTTTCCCTTTGAGGAAAACAGTTCAATGTGGAACAGTTATTCTGGAAATATTTCACTTATATGCCCTATGTCATGTCTGTTTATCTCTCAAGAGTCACATTTCTTGTATGACAAATCATTGCACAGTGAAACTGACCTCTTTCATATTCGTCACTAAAACAGCAAAATGACAGCTTTGACAGTTTAGGACATACAGTATAAGGAATGCCGCAACCAATATTTCAATAGTCAGCACATTTTCTGTCAGTAAAAACTAAATAAACAATTTGATACTTATTTTCAAGTACCAATAATTGGGTCATGGTTGTTCACACGGACTGTTCGTTTGCCTGTGGATTCCAAAAATTACTTTCATGATTTAATGCAAAGACAGACTCAAAACCTTTTCAGGTTTTGCAAATGCTTCGCTAAAATAGTCTCTGTATTCATATATTTTAGAATTCACTTATCTTTAAAACCAACAATGCTATATCTGTGCTAAGTTACAATATTTCAGTAACAAATGTTTAATAACTTGATTTAAAATATTTTGATATCATGGCCCCACCTCATACAAGGCAATGCCTTACATAATTTTGAGTATGTGTCACATGGCTTCTTTCACAAATGAGTAAAAGTGCAGTTGCAGTTCTAACACCCTTTGAACTCAAAGCGAAGAAGCCATCTTTGGTCAAGTCATGAGGAATAACCTGGCCTTATCTCTTCACCTTAGAGTTTAAAGGTCAACCCTGAGTCACAATCTGTCAAAGGCAGTTAACACATTGGAAAGTGAGTAACAACAAAAAAAAAGCATCAAAATAGCCAGGATTTTGGCTAAAAGTCTTTGAGAATAAAAGTAGGAAACTGCCAGTCTTTTCAGTGGCAATTGTTATTCTACAGTCCTTCCATAGCGTACAGAAAATGCGATGAGTCTGTGGTATGCACAGCTGAGGAGGATGATTGCCCCTAACACCATACTGCAGATGAGGCTAAAAGCCCAACGAGGTCCTAGGATGGTATAAACCTGGGAGACAAAGACAGGGCCCAATGTCCGTGCACCGCTGCCTGAGGCAGTCAACCACCCCATGTACACACCCTGCAGAAAGCAACAATAAACATCCACATTATGGGTTCTAAAAAGATGCATTAAATAATTATTTTACATTTCAAAATAGAACATTTTCCAAAATGTTGTTTTATTTGTTAAAATAACACTTCCATTACCCTGCAGTCTTCTCACCTGAGGCCTGGGTCCAAGGATTTTGGAATACAGTGTGTAGGACATCACATTGCAGGCTGGGTATCCCACCCCAATCAAGATGTCAGATGAGATGTACTGGGCTAGGTGTATTGCTGGGGTATACTGGCACCAGGTCTGTTCATATGGGCAGCCTGTAGGCTCCAAAGAGTTGTTGGAGGCTTTTGTGGCTTCAGATATCTGACTGACCAATGAGTTGTTTTTGAGGTCTATATTTTGAAAAGAAAAACAAAATAAGTAAGTGCATTTGAATTCTCAAACAAATATATAAAACTCTAAGTATTATTGCTACTGCACAGCGTTCTGTTCAAACCTCAAAAACAAAGCTGCATTTTTCAATCAAAAAGGGTAAAAAGCCCAAGTGGTATTCAATCACTCCAACACAGGAAACTGAAACTATTTGTGCAATTTAAACAATCCATACCTGCCCACTGGATTTTGGGGTAATGATTGCCCCATGGAAGCAGTATAAAGAAGCCACAGAATATAATGGCCAAGCCTGCTAGCAACACAGGACGATCCCCAATCCTGGAAAGAAGTAAACATTCCTCGTGTTAAACTCTGGCAAGTTGAGATGTATTTTTATTTAACAGATTCATGAGTAAGGGCACCTTTGAGAAGCCACTTTTACAACCAGAAACACAAGGATGGACTCAAATCCAATGCCGCAGATGATGATGCCATTGTACAAAACAGCTTCTTTCCTTGTCCAGGCGAACATGTCCATGGACAAAGGGGTGGCAATTCTGAAAAATCATGAACATATACAGTCAGGTCTTGAAAACATATGCAGTTGAGTATAAAGATCCAGGCATAAGATAATAAGAACTGTGTGTTACATTCAGATTTGACTGTTTCTGTATTCTGTAATGAAATACATACGTCTCAAAAACAGCAAAGATGAACATGACAATGAAGAAGAGGACGTTGGAGGTCAGGACTGCTACCTGGTCCATTGTCTCCTCAGTTTCCTCGCTAATGTCGACTCTATCTACAGGAGAAGAAAGGGGAAGATAAAGGCTTCAACAAAGAAACACTGACCAATATTCTCCAACAGACACTGTCAATATACACTATCCTCTCTCTCTACATGTATATATTTAAAAAAAGACAGTAGACAACACATACCTTCTGATGTGTAGTTGATGGATCGAATGTGTCTTCCATGGTCATCAACACGGTGCTCTCTGTTAGTGAGAATCAAGACAATCCCTGATTAATATCAGTGATAAAATCAAAAGATGATTTGTGACCACTGAGAAGCATCAGAAGTGTAGCTCATTGAAATTAAATGATTTTGAAAGACATGGTTAGGTTAATTTGGTGCAGTCAAAGTTCCAAAAAATAAATATGCCTACAGAGACACATTGTATGGGAAAGCCGTACCTCAGCACCAGGAGGACCAGCAGGATGTTAATGAGGCCAAATGCTGCAGCCAGTAAAGCAGGAGCAGTGTACATGTTGAGCTGCAGGTCTATGAACTTCACTGTGAAACCATACTCTCCGATGAATGATAGGCATGCCTGAAGAGCTAACATATACAAAGATATGCAAAAGTTAAAAAAATTAATTTGCAACTTCTTCCTTTATTTTCCAACTTCTTTCACAATATAAATGACACTCACAGAATTGCCAGTATACTGAGCAGGTTTACATAATCTGAACAAAATATAGCCAACTTTACCTGGTCCCAGGATGAAACCTAGGGCCTGACAGGCACTCATATTCGCCATGGCACTGGTTCTCTCCTTCAGTGATGTAGCTCCGGCAACATAGGACCTCACCACAGCAACATTCCCTGCAATGAAAAGACCAAATCTAATTTTAGGGAATGTGTGACACTGACCACATCATCATATGGTAGAACAAAGATACATGTACAGTTTAAGAGCAAATAAGAATGCTACACATTACCTGCTCCAAAGCCCACAAAAGCTCTGGACATGAGGATGTGGAACTTGTTGTTGGTCTTGGGCAGGTATGCGTAGGCATAGTAGATATTTGCTGACAGGTTGATGAAGATGGAGCACACCAATGGCTCCCTGCGTGGTCGGTAATTAGACCACAGGCCAAAAATGGGTGAAGCAACCATCTGACCGAGACTGTAGGCTGCCACCACCCATCCCAGGAAGCTGGCATTGGCGCTATCATCAATCTGTATGGAACACAGATGAAAATAAAATGTACAATCATGGGGATGATGTTCTACAATGCAAATGAATCAGATTATTGATGCATGCTCTTATACTTGACACACAACCAGGATGTGCCCAAATAGAACTGCTTAATTACTCAGTTTTAACTAGTGCACAGGGCAAGTGCAAAACAAAATTAAGTTTCAAAGTTTTTGTAGCTTTTTTCACTTCCCCTTTACCCTGCCAAGACTGCCTTTGAACAGCAAAAACAAGTAACGTAATTTCACCAGCCAGTAATCTTTAAACCAAGAAAAATACTGAGTCATACATACCTTTTGTAAATAGGGCCAAAGTGATGTGATGACAATGGTGAAACCTGAAAGGGTAGATAGAATGATTTGCATGCAAACAAAATGCCAAAGTAATGAATCATATCATACCTTTCAGGGTGCAGAAATGTCATACATACTGTGCGTGTTTTGTGTAGTTGGTTTAGATGGAAAATGTGGTTCTGTATGCATCTCTGAGTGGACAAATATAATTGTGAATACTCAGAAATTCAATAAAAATACGGAAAATGTTTTGGTGAATCAGAGTTGACCACAGGAAGCTTATGTGATCTGCTCTGTCTTTCTACAGGGATTTCAGAGGCATGTTAAATTACAGAACATGCCCAACTGGCAGTGATTTAGTGTCTTCATCAAGTGACAGGGCAGTTACGGGACAGTCTCTTAATCATTATTCTCCACCTCAATATGGAAGAGACCCCTTTTCCATACATACACAACTTGTTGGGAACCCAATGAAGTGTCTCTGCAATTGACTTTTAATATTGTAAAAGTATAAGTGTTAAAATCTCTCTAATTCGTAGGGCATCCTCACCTACACTGCTGAGAAACATGGTGAAGTACATGACTCGGATGGACCTCCACCGACTCTTGTAATCGTCATCCTGAAAGTCATCGCTGCAGACAGGCAAGGGGACAAGACAGCATAGGTGGTTTGAGGTTATTGATATGGGCTTGATAAACAGAACAGGCTGAAATACTAGCAAACCAATTTTACCCAAATGGTCTACATAATGCATGGATCACATGCATTACAATGTTAGTAGTAGCACTCCTCCAGCTACTTGTTTGGTAAACAATGCACTTGCAAAGCTCCGTGTTGAATGTTTACTCAACTAAAGTTACAGTGGCTAATTTATCCAGTTAGTGGCTGTTGAACTCTGCACTCACCTGCTTGCATCATCTCTGAGCAATGGAGTGGTCTCTTCGGAGTCAACAAGTTGTGACATTTTAGTTAAAACAGCAACCCAGCAAAATTAAGACGCTGCTCCGGACTTTGGAGATGTGAAAACCGGGTCGCTACGTCGCCATTTAGCAGAGGACAATCATTGAACTAGACTACTACTTACAACTCTTCGAAAAGCTCTGGTAAGCTAGCTATAGTATCAGCTAACGTTAGCAACTTAAACTATCATTTCACATTATTGTCAAAACGTTAGGCTTACTAACTCCACACATAATGTTAGGTGGAGTAATTTCCAACCGACGTCCATAAACTTCAGTACACCACCTAAAAGCTTACAAAATTGGACTATGGTACCAGAGACGGCTAGTCCTAACTATTATCAAGTCAAATAAAGTAAAAAAAAAAAAGAAAAAAAGAAACTTCCGGTTAAATTTTTCAAAATAAACCCAAATCAGAATCGTATCAAAGTAAAATTGTTATTTGATCCCAAAGTGGACCAGTCAATGAAAAGCCAAATTATTTCTCTAATATTAGCAATACGTATGACGAACAGTCCAAGAACTGTTTATTCGTTTTTTGTTTTTTTGTTTTTTTTACCGTAACCAACTTTACGCTTTTATTTTGAAGCCACCATCTTATAACGTCCGGGGCCATTCTGGCTTTTGCCTTTTACCTTGACGCAGCAGACTCACGTGAGAATTCACAAACTACATAAACACTGCTGTCCCGTGTTTGCACATGTGTATAAATAACTCTATTAAAGCACCATGTTTTATTAATCTGAGTAAGGATAACAATAATGCAGCTGAAAATAGTTAAAAACTGAAATAAATGTAGTGAAAAGGTGAGGTTTTGAATACAGGCTGCAGATAGTCTGCAACTGGTTTAACAGCATTTCAGTTAACTGTATATAAATTTACTACATGTTCAAATACATTCATTGATGCTGTTGAGCAAGATTTTTAAATTTAAAGTAGACATCTGAAAATTTAGACTCATCTTAAACCTCGACATTTCACCAAATCACCAAAATCATGAAGCTGTTCAAGGGTCAGAATCTGAGGTTACAATCACAGATCTATGAACTTCTGTCTGATCTATTTCATTTATGTTTTCATCTTCTGGTCCGCATCAGGTTACATCTGAATAAATATATGTAAACATTTCATCTAACAAACAGTAGGTTCCATCCGTAACGGAAATAAAAGTCTGCTAAATAATGTGGTCTAGTTGACGACGCTGAATAGTTTTAACTAACTGACTCTTTTCTACATCTCAGACTCTTTCACTGCTCCTACTGCTGCTGTTTGTTTTTTTCCAAAGAAATAAACGCGCTTTAATGTCACACATTCATATTTCTGGCTCCACTGGATTAAAATGGAGGCTCTGCTCTTTATTTACCTGTTGCCATGGTGAATCGTTGAATCGGAGATCCATTGCTGATGGCTTTTTATATTTCTCATGCACGCGGTTATCTCAGAGTGAACATACTCAGTTGATTGAACTAATTTAGATTAGCTGATCTGGAACCTAAAACTCAGAGTTTCCCATCTCTGGGTTCATCAAGTCAGAGTTCAGGGTTAGAGTCAGAGTTTGTTAAACCTGCTTTCTAGAATAGACCCCGATTAACAAATCTTCAATTTCTACAGGTCTACTGATGCATTAATGTCTAATGGCTCCTCTCTGCACATCACCGAGGAGGTGCTGCACCCAGCAAGTCTCTGTGGAGTCTTTAATGAGTCGATTTATTCACAACTACTTTCTTTATGTGATATTCCTCATCCTGTTATTTTACTTTTCAGTTCTTAATCTTCATTTTTACCATGTTATCTCTGAGCCTCTCCTTGTGATGGCTATTTTAGTAATACTTTTTTTGTACAATACCTATAAAGTTTATATCAAACATATTCAAAAAACATGATTGAAAGTAAGGTATCATAAATTATAAATATGCTGTAGTATCTATACTAGAGAATTGTGGGGCTGTGGGGAGGTAGTAGTAGATCTTAACTTAATAGTATGGTGGTGGACTAACATAAGGGTATTCAGCTATATACTGGATTTGAAACTGGTTTCTGTATTTTCCCTGCATGTCATTTGCTTGTTGCACTCATTTAATCATCTTTGCGGTTATAATTACAAAAAAGAAGCTAAACTACTATCTTTTTTGTTGCCCATTTTACAGTATCAGAAAACGTCAAGGTTATATGACCAGCTTACCAGATGCAGTGGCTGTTTAGTGTCAGGGTTAGGCTAACCCTAAGCTCATGTTGCCACTTTAACCCAACTCTGGCTCTACCACTGATTACAGTTGTGCATAGTACAGGTGTGGAGTGTACTTAAGTTTTCCTTAAATTATTGTACTGAATGGTATCCATATTTTTGTTAATGCTGTTTGTTAATGTCCTTTTCAATGATTGTTGATTTTGAAACAGAAAAATCATTTTATAATGTGTGCGCTCTTTGTGACTGTCAGCTTTTTGAATCAACTCAACCAATCTGAGATCCTGTATTTATTTGTCATTTCTATTTTCTGTTTCACTCTGTCCACAGTGTAAAACTCACTTTACAATCCAGTTTAAGAAAACACAGCAAAATGTCATACACTTTAATAAGTACAGATAGTATTTACAGTATATACACCATAACACAATACTAACTTTATAATCACTACTGTATACTTTTCATAGATTAGGAAGTATTTACATGGTGAATATGACCATATGTTGATTCTGAAATAAAATTTGTTTAAAAATTCTGATACGCAATAAATTCAAGTAGGCGTGCCTTGATACATACTAGTCTGACTATGATCATGGTATAAGAGGTATGCAAGAACCAATTCACAGGTGCATCAGGTGCATCATGGTCCAAGACTTTGAAGAATACTTTTTTTAATACACTTGTCAGTTGGGTGCCATGGGGTGGGGGCACAATGCCAAGTCAATATCAAACACAAACTATACAAGTTTACACGTTTCAGTCCTGAAGACAAGTAGTTTTTCTGTGGGGATTTTTAACCATCAGAACCATTGGTTTCTTCCTCCAAAGCTTTACACATTCATGTTTGGTCATCAGCCTTCTGTGGAAGCAAATGCTAGACTAAGGACCATTTGTTGTAGCATGTCCTGGTGGTCTAGAGGTCTAAAGCACATACCGCATCACTCCAGACACAATTTCGTTGCATGTCACCTTCTCTCCCCTGTATCTCCTAACACTCTCCACTTCACTGTCAACTATCTAGTAAAAATGACATAAAAAATTATCTTAAAAAAAAAAAAAAAAAAAAGCATTCACTGTGTCTGAACTCATATTCACACTTACAAGTACATCTTGTCCAACCACTTAAAAATACATCTCGGAAACAGACACTGGGCATCCCCGACACTGAGTACGAATGATTCTTAACTGGAGCAACCCATGTGTTTCTTAGCTTAGTCACTTTTATTACACTACTCCCTTATGACCAGAGTGATGAGACTGGGAAAGCACCTAACTTCAGGTACTGTATCCATGAAAGAAAAGAAGGAGAAGCGGCTCTCCACCATGGCCAAGAGTTTTCCTCTTCATTGTGATTGCTGGTGGTTTGTACATTGTGGTTATGTGTCCTCTGCCACCTCTTTGTTTTGCTCTAGCAGACTGCGGCAGCACTTTCCCTCCTCCCCTGCTTCTTCAGTAGCTGGATGCGGTTGTGGACGTAAAACTTGATTGCCCTCCAGTCTCGCTGGTTGCTGACCAGCAGAGGGCAGAGTTCAAGGCAGCGCTCGCAGTCTGCCTTCGCAGGGACACGCAGCTCCATGAGGTTTCTCTTCAGGTGTGTCTCCACTGCTACACGCTCCGCCTCTGACCAGGGACGCTTCAGCACTCCACGCTTCCCTATGAGACAGAGGAGGTGTTACTAAGTGTAAATCAATGATGATGCTTGGAAGTCACAGACTGTTACTGACTGATGATTACCTGATTTGGGTGGAATACATCGCCTCTTATGGACATTGGCTATCGATGGGGTAACTGGAGAAGGGATGGGTGCTCTCTTCTTCCGTGGTGGTCGGCCTGGTCCTTTCTTCTTCACCATCACTTCAGCCTTCTCTTTAACTTCCTCCTTTTCTTCTTCTGCCTCAGAATCCTCTGAGAAGGAGTCTGCTGAGTTTCCAGACATCACTGCAGGACACATAAAACATTAGGTAGTTAATTCAAATCTAATGACTGACATACAGCTTAAAATATTCTAAGCAAAGAGTTCAACTGCAGTACTGTTACTTATTAAAAACATTTCTTAATGAAATGGTGCAAACTAGTAAAATCTGGCTATAATCTGCTTTGCTACTTTGCTCAGCTCTAAAATGAAATGTAATAATGCAGCCGTTGAAACGTCCTGGATTTGTACTAGATTTGTGATATTCCAGATCCCAAGTGTGTTTTCTAGTATTGTAGCTTTTTGAACTTAAAGGGGACACTTGAAGGGAATGAATGAATGTGTTATTGTTATTACGCAATGCAGATAGTTTTGGTTTTATTTTCACGTTTTCAAATATCCACTAATGAGATTTTTGTAGCTAGAAAAAAAAAAATGTGTGCACTGAATTTTGAAAAATAGAAAAACTACACCTGACACCGTAATAACAATGTCTCTTTTCCAGAAAAAATGTCCTGATAAATCCAGAAACTCCACAAAGCTTACTGTGAACATTTTACTATTTTCTACCTTATATGAGGCTTCTTTTTTTTTAATTAGGATTATTGAACCAAATGCTATTCACCAGTCATGCTTTTTTTATTTGACCCCTTTAAATTAATTTAAGTGGCTGACATTCCTTCCACAGTCCAATACATATTAATAGTTCCACTTTAAAAATAACAATGTGTTCACTTAACATCACTCAAAACAGATGTTTGGAGTTCAAACTTACCAAAGGTTCTCAGAAGCAGAACCTGACATGAATTGAACACTGCATGCATGAAATACCTGCTGATGGGCCCAGGGGTCTATTCTTTTTTTACTGAAAAAAGAAAATATATAATGTAACATACCGTCCAACTCAAGGCAGATGTGCTGCAGGCTCATTCCTCTGAAAAGCACACCTTCCCTCTCTCCGTAAAGAACAACACGACCCACACGACCCATGAGTGCTGGATCACGTATGATAGTGGAGCAGTTCTGGGTCACGTGGTACTCTCGCTCCAGGAAGTCCTCCAAGCGTTTGGTAGCTCCGCCCTGGCCCTGGCCCTCACCCTCCTCTAACAGTAGCAGTTGGGTAAGGATGGCTACCTGTCGCCGCACTCGCGTTGCTGTCAGTGCTCCGGGGTTCTTGGCCCCGCTGGCTCGTGCCAGGTTTCTCAGGAGGTCCGTGCCCCGGAGAGGGGTAGCAGGAGAATGGTATGGCCGGGAGAAGACATAGGGGCTCTCTGGGTCCACACCCACATTGGGGCTGGTTTGAAGAAGCAGGTCCAGGCAGGACTCACAGTGTGGCGGGAGAATAAGCGGCTGGATACGACCACGCTTCCCTAAAACACCAGCCCGCGGGAGATGACTGAGGACCTGGCGCTCAAAGGGTGACAAGAGGGCTTCCATGCCAGAGGGGGAGCTGGTGCTGGTGCTGGAGCTGCTCTGTGGGGTGATACGGTTGCGGTAGTCCTGGATAGTGAGCTTGGCCACCTCACATTCACGGTGGCGGTTGTAGAGGATGAGCAGGGAGAGGCTGGAATGGCAGAGCAGGCGCCAGGCCTCAGCAGAGTGAGGTGAGCGGGTTAAAGACAGGAAAGAGGAGTGCTGCTGGCGGCGGAGGTACAGGACCAGACAAGACAGGGAGGAGAGCAGCGGTGACATGTGATGTCTGTGTGTGCTGGAAACACAGAGAGAGAGAGAAATAGCAGTTGTAATCATGATGCACCACCCAACAATGTTACCAATAAATATGTAATGGGAACAAAAGTGTATCAGAGACAACCACACCTTACAATCTCTCCATTTTTCTCCTCTGGTACATCTTCTTCCCCTTCTGCACTAAGCTCCAGATCTTCATCTGGATCTATATCTGGCTCTGGAGTGGGAGGTGGAACCAGTTCCTCTTGACTTCTTGAGCTCTCCACCTCCACCTTCTGCGGCTCTTCATGCTTTTCTCTCTTCATCCTCCGACCCCTTCGGGGAGTAGATGGGGGAGGTGGTGATGGACTCTTTACCCGAGACACCATCGGGGGTGTAGGGCGTTTTGCCGCGGGCAGTGGTAAGCTTGGCCCCTTCTTGGCGGCTGCAGGTTGAGCCGAAGAAGGCGGTGAAAGCGAGAGGGAGAATGAGACGGCACCTGTGCTCGAGCGAGTCGCTGGTGATTCCCTCTCCCTGGAGAAGAGAGAGGGCGGTGCGGGGTTTGAAGCGGAAGGCTGAGGGACAGCAAAGGAATGACTGTGAGAAGCGGCGGTGGAGGACGATGAGGGTTGAGGGTGTGTGGCGCTGCCATTTGAAGAGTTGTGTGTGTGGAGGTGTGCCAGCTCCATGGCTGTTCTGACCTCAGGCTGGTTGGCGTGGTGTTTCTCCAGGTGCCGTGCCAGGGAGCGATAGTGGCGGCCGCAGTACGGGCAGTGCTGCCGCCGGCTCACTGTGGCACCGCTGGAGCTGCCAATGTTTATGTTAATGTTATTGTTGATGTTGGTCGTCGGGGGTGCCAGAGTGCTGACTGGGGGCTGGGACTGGGATCTGACTGGGGGTGCAACAGGTGCTGGGCGGGAAAAGGAAGAACATGGACGCCCAGGTCCTCTGGTGGAGGTGGGTGCGCTCTTCTTCTTTGAATTGACAGCAGCTGGCAGCTTGCGCTTCTTGCGGCGGCGCAGCATCCGGCCACGTATTTCTTCAATTTCCTCCTCTTCATCATCGTCATCATCATCGTCATCTTCCTCCTCTTCGTCCTCCTCACGATCAGAGTCACTGGGTTCAGAGTGGGTGAGTGGGGAGGATGAGGGTGATAATGACCAGGAGGGGGTAAGGTAATCAGACACAGAGAGGGACAGTGGGTGCGGACCAGCCTCATCCTCCTGGTGAGAGACAGATTTCAAATTCAAACCAACCCATTAGCTCAACATGTAGCTTCATTACAGGATCTACATTTTCATTACACTTGAAGTTAAATGTTAATAGCAATTTTGTTGTCCACAAATCCTGTGAAAAAACAAATAATGTTCCTACTGAAATCTCACATATACATTGTTTTAAGATCATGTAGTACATTTTTGGGGACTATTTTCTCCAATAATTTTGGTGCATGAGTATTAACAGCAGCAGGATTGTGTATAAAAGATCGACTCAAAATAAACTACAGCCTTTGGCTTCACAGGCAACACCTGTTAAAATGATCAATTCATTGTTGGTTTTGGACTTTTCATGGGATTTGTTGACATAAAAAATATACAGAGTATCACCAGACTTGTCCTGTAATCGTTGCTTGTCCACTTTATCCAAGTTATCATCAAGTGAGTTGCTCACCATCGCATTCTCGCCCCAGTCCGTCAAGCTGTAGTCCACTGTTATCTCCTCCCCTTTGGCGATGTCTCGGATTGCTATGACAACCAGCCGCACCTGGGTCCCACAGTGGACCTCTCGAATGCGGCAGTTGGGTGGTGGATGGAAGAGCACAGGCCCCCGAACACCACTCGCCCCTTCCTCACCCAACTCTGGCACACTGAAAAATATAAAAATGATGTTAGCAAGATGGATCCCAGACCTAAAAAGCAGCAGATCACAGTGAACATGGTGAGGGTGCTCCTTACCAGAGCTGAGTAGGATCAGGCAGGTAGTAGGGACTGCCAGGTGGAGGGAGGCGGTCTTCTGCGCCCTCTGGGTACTGGCCATCACCTGGGACACAGTAGACAGTTGATTCTAGCATATTTTAACAGCTTCATCAACAACCACAGGCCTTGTGTTTCTCCTTACTACAATACGCTCCTGAATAAAACATAGCACACTTATTTTCCATAAGCACCAGAGTGAATTAAAACCCCCAACAGCATGTGGCAAAGTGTGTGTTTGTGTGTGTATTTCTATATATACCTGGGCTGTAGCTGTGTTCTGACATGCTCTCCTCCTCCTCATCTTCTGTTACATACGCTCGGTCACACACCTTCACAGGTGTCCCCTTCCTTTTTCTCCCACACACGCGGCTGTAAAAACAAGACCGGGGCTTCGTTTAGCACAATGATACATTCAGACAAAGCAGTACCTAAGACTTTCCAGGAAAGTCTTAAGTATCCAGGTGGAGGGCAGCCCAAATGGGAACGGAGCATGTGATACCTGTTGCAAAGCAATGCTTCAATCTGATCACAGAGCCTTTCTATCAGGTGGATGACTCATCCACTGTAACAATAACGCTATAAACTACTTGCAGTGGTGACCACGGTGTGTTTCTTCTACTTCAGAAAAAAATGTAATGCCTTTGATTTGACAGGCAACAAAAACAAAGCCATCTGCAGGTGTTGCAATTTAGAGCTGAAACTATGAGTCTATTAATCAATTAATTGATCAACAGAAGAATAATCAAACTATTTTGATAACCGATTGTTTCAGTGGTTTTGCAAGCAACAATAGTGACACAATACCAAATATTCTGATTCCAGATTTTCTAACGAGATGATTTCCTGCTTTTCTTTTTCGAATATAATTTCAAACTAAGAATTCTTGGGTATTCGGATTTTTGGTCGAACTGAGGATGTCATATTCAGTTCTGTGAGGTGATAGCCATTTTTGGTGTTTCATAGACTAAATGATTATCTGAAAACATAGTCGGGAGATTAATCAGTAATGACACTAGTCTTTAGTTGCAGCCCTAATTTAATTTATTTTGATGTAAGACAACAAAAGGACAATTAAATGTCTTTGGAATGTTTGGTGTCATTGCTTGAAAAATTACTCATAGATTCAATCAATTAATTATTATTTTTCTTTTGATTAACTCATCCACTCTAGCCCAATAAAAATACATTTTACTGCCTGTATAATGACTGTAGTCCAACCGCCATTCTTGACTTAACATTAAGTTACAGAAGAATTTATTCTAGCACATTATGTTGGTTTACTGTCCTTGCAACAAGTTTACCTGGCAATCCATGTGTAAATCAGCCCCAAATAGTAGAGATGTGGTAATCACTGACTATAACTGTTCTTCTGTAAACAGACAACCGGTGTGGAAGCTATGATTTCAGCTATCTCGATTATCATTATGATTTTTAATCAAAATATTGAAAATGGCCCCACCCCTTTCTACAATCACGTCATACTGTATAAGTGCATTTACACAAGAGTGATTGCCACAACAAAGCGTGCTTAAATCACTGAGTCTGGTGACAGCCCACTGTTTTCAGTTGCATTTTGGTGATGGTCAGCAACTTTGTTTACTCAAAGCAAAACAAGCCACGAGTCATAATCTGCACCAGCTGAACAGTCAGGCAGCGTTGGGAGCGTGAATATATTGACATTGTTGAATAATATGTTCAGGGATCTGAAGTCTAAGAAATCAGACATACAGCAGGGATTATCGACAAGAGAGCAGATCCCTGATCGGCGAGGTTACATTGATGATTTAGGTTGGGTGCATGCTAACATTAATGCTAAACCGTGGCTAGCCTGTTAGCTTCTAGCAGCTAACGTTAGACTTCTTTGCCGTCAAAACATCAAAAATGAAAGGCTGGTGATTAAATGCGAATCGAGGCGGGTAGTGGAAGGCGCGACCTCATAGGACACAACAGCTGCAACCAAAAAGCACTTCTCCGGCTACGTTTTCTGCAACATTACGGTGAAATCATGCACGCGAATAAAGGCTTCTAACGTTAACTAAACAAACGCGCACGCTTGCAGCGGCGCGTGCGTCTCTGGCTCTTGCATTTTGCTCACAAATCCCTGGTGAAAACAACCCCGCGCGGCGGCAAACCGGAGGCTCGCCGTGCTCACTCACCCCCGTGGCGGCGGTGGCTTGCTCCCATCCCCGTCGCTGTCGAGGGTCGGTGGCTCCCGGTAGTCAAAAGGCGACCGTACATTCTCCGCCATTAGGACTCCCTTCGCTACCTCTCGCGCTCCGGTAGATTGCACAACGCGCATGTGCACAACATCCTTTGGGGTTCTAATGGTAAAATGGGGTGCACCCACCTCTGAGGAAAGTAAAGGCCTATTATAACATCAAGCCTCATAATTACTGGATGCACAAGTCGAAAATACAGTATCGTAGCTATTCAGTAGAACGTGATATTTCATGCAATCACGAGGAAGTGCAAGTAAATCAATGCTTTGCTTTTAATCAGGGCAGTCTCCAGTGGTGGAAAGTAACTAAGTACATTTACTTAAGTATTTAAAACTGTACAGTGCAGTGTACAGTTTTGAGGCACTTGTACTTTATTTGAGTATTTCCACTTAATGCTATTTAATACTACTACTCCACTAGATTTCAGAGGCGAATCTTGTATTTTTTTTTAACTCCTCTACATTTATGTGTTCATTTTAGCTAATTACTTTTCTAATTAAGATTTTATCATTAAGATTTTACATAAAAACACTGTTAAAAATTAAATTATTGGTTTCTAACCATTTTCACACATGACAAGTTAGTAATATACAGTGTCTAGTTGAGGATCATTGTCAAGTTTTTAGCAGTTCCACTATCAAGTGACCTCCCCTCTAAATTTCTCAGAGGGTTTAATAACTTTAATTATCCTAAATTTCAAAGTCAAATATTAGATAAATGTCTCAGAAACCCTATCTGTAAAACCAGTGGTGGAATAAGTATTGAGATCCTTTACTTAATTAGAAATACCAGCACAATAATCCATTACAAGTCCTCCATTCAAAATCAAAGTAAAAGTAAACACAGTTACCACAGCTGTCAAATAAATGTAATGGAGTAAAAAGTACAAAAGTTCAGTTTCCTTCCTGTCCCTTCTCTTCCCTTACTCCTATTCAACCAAGAATGCAATATTTCCAAAACCTTTATCGACCTGAAATTGTTCCAGAATACAGAAAACAATTGACACTGAGGGAAACATCCAGGGTAGTGTTACTGGTAATGGTACCATAGGGATAAATCTTTTTCTCTTCTTACTGTTATGTATAGCTTTCTCATTGCTCCCGTTTGGCCCTTTCTCTCTCACAACATGGGAGAAGTACCTTTGCTGTTGGATGTCGATCTTAAAAAATGCCCTTGGAGATTCGCCCATTATTACATCATTAACTTTTTACATCTAATATGCAGCGGCATTTCCCCTACCTCAACCTGAAGAGCAGACACAGGAGTTGTTCAAAAGCACCACAACAAATTCTCAAAGCTTGAGTTTGAACCACTTCCTTTAATGAGGTTTTTGTTGCTGAACCATAAGCAATACACGCATGGTCTAACACGGATCTATGCAGAGCTACAGAAATATTTTTATTGCAAATCTTCTCGCACCCTATTCTGACCATGTCATGCCCTGATGAGTACGTCATCTACCATCTATGTTCATGATAAGTCTGTCCTGATTCTGATTTGAATAAATATATCAAAGTCTTTAATCCAATTATGTATTCTACCTGCTATTCCTATCATACTTAATTTTATCATGAATCCCTCCTCCCAAACATAGCATATGCCTTTTCTACATAAAAAACTGCCATTACAAATTCTTTATTAATTTGAACTTTCTAAATCTGTTTTCTGACAAATAACAACGTCCATGGTTCCTCTACCCCTCCTAAATCCACTCTGATGGCGTGACAGAATTCCTCTGCTTTCCATATAACATACTAGTCTTTCTGTAATATTTCTTTTCATTATCTTTCCTATATGTGACGTCAGTGCTATCGGCCTATTGTTTGTTGGACTTGATGGGTCTTTCCCTGGTTTCCTGATAGGAATGATCACTGCCTCTTTCCAACCAGTTTGAAAGTTTCCCACTTCCCATACTTTATTATATTACAAACTTAGCAGCTTAATAGATGATAAAACACCTAAATGCTTATGTAGTAAGGCATAAAAATGACAAAAGTCATCATGGTATAGTAAGGCAAAAAACATCATAGTATAGTAAGGCATGAAGATGTCAAAAAACATCGTATAATAAGGCATAAAAATGGCAAAAAAAACATCATAGTATAGTAACACATACAACCTCTTGTTATAGTATGGCATTAAAATGAAAAAAAAAATCATAGTATAGTAAGGCATAAAAATGTCAAAAACGTCATAGTATATTGAGGCAAAAAATATAATAAAAATGTCATAGCATAGTATGGCATAAAACGTCATAAAAACATCATAGTATATTAAGACATAAAAGATCATAAAAATGTCACAGTATGGCAAAGCATTAAACAACATAGTATAGTAGGGCATAAAAATGCCCAAAAATTACAAAGTATAATACGGCATAAAATGTCAAAAAACGTCATAGTATATTAAGACATAAAAGATCATAAAAATGTCATAGTATGGCAAGGCATTAAACCACATATTATATTAAGTTATGAAAATGCCAAAAAACATCAGTCAACAAGTTATCAGGACTATAGATTTGAATAAGTGCCTTTGCTTTCATGTCTACCTTCTCTTCATACATACATTCCTGCTTCCTTCTCCATTTTCAGTGCTCGATACTGCCGCCCCCTTCTGATTGGCTGATTAGCAGCTTCTAGTAATGTTGTTTTAAACTTTTTTTATTTACATCTAGTGTATGGCTTTCTGTCTCACATATATAGTTAAACACTTCCCATTTTGCACTGCTAAATACACACTTCCCATATATTTCCCATTGTTCCTTATTTATTTGTAACACCGGAAAATGATCATTCCCCACTGATATTTCTTCTGCTACATCCCACCCACATATCCCCACTGAACTTCTGGATACTAAGGTTAAATCTAGCATTAGAAACCTGGCGATCTAACAAAGTGTTTCTTGTGCGCACTCTAATCTATTCCTGATTTTCTTTGCACTGATCTAGGCAAAATTATTTCTTCTTTTCTCCCTTTCTCTCACTACCTTGTTTTATCTCCATGCTATCATCACTATCACCTCTGTCAGAATCTTCCCACTCTGGTCCATTCACAAGACTATTGTGCACAGCATTTGAATGGAATTACTAATTACTTATAGCTCTTTCTAGGAAATTTCTGTAGAAATTATTAGCACATTGATGAGAAATAAAGGCCAATGCCAACAAAATACAAGGGTTAAGATTGCGTTTAATTTTCAATGCACATCCAGTTATTTATCACAGAAATAAAAGAAATGCATGACATTTAGAAATTCACAATGCCAGCAAGTCTGGAAGTCACAACTCATTCACGCAGTGAGTGTGTATGCTGTGTCAGGCCTTTAACACCACAGTGAATTTGTTGTGGTGCCATGTGTTTGATACTTTTTGCAACAGACAGTACAATCCTACCATAAAATATTAGTCTAACACAGAGGTCCTCCAACACTGTTTAGCTTCCAAATGAGGGTATGGCAGAAACAATTTGAGAACCACCACTCTAATAGTTCAAACTTGTGAACAGTGTAGCAGCACATTCAAGTATGACATCAGGAGAGAACTTGGTGATCAGAGCAGCAAACATGACACTTGATCATCACAGATTGTGCCAAACAATAAACTATACAAGCATTCAGAATATGAAAACATGAAATATGATATGGAATTATTTAGATTAGGTATGCTAATAATGTGGTACATTAAGAGCTAAGATGACCTATTAAAATAGCAAAGGGTTACAGATTCAGCTGCACATCAGTCACAGTTTATCAGTCATGTATTTTTGGCTACATTCTAGCAGTTAGTAGATTTTGGAGTGTTATGAACAGCAGATATTTAGTCATCAAAGGTAAATCCACTTAAATAAAATAAATTACACACTGTATACAAAAGAAGACATTTTCAAACAGTCTAACTCTGCCACTGCAAAGCACAGCAAACCAACCTTTATACAGTTTAAAGTCTGCACTCATTTCTTTGTCAAAGGAAATAGCAACTGTGGCAAACCAGAGGTCATTTTAGCACTTGCTGTGGAAATACCAATGTCTGGGAAAAGCTGTCTACTGGGCTTTATTAAAGGAGCTTAGTTGTGATTTTAGTTAAGCAGTACATTTTAACCTCTAGTGTTCACAGACAATATTCCACATTACTTCATATTTAATTTGGAATAAGTAAAAGGGAAAGCTGGCTGTTAGTGTTGAGTGAGTTCATAGATGTTGTTGGATTTAAACAAAAGAAAATTAGATCTCCTCTGTTCCTTCCCTCTCTGTATGTAAGACATGGAGGGTCTGCACTGCATGGTCAGCCCAGTGGATTAGCTCCATCAGCACTTGATAGGTCCACATTTTGAGGCCAAAACCCCCCCCTGCACCATCAGTTTCCTACACAGAAGAGAGAAAGTCAACATCAAATGCCTTTCATTATACCGAGATACAGTACAAAAGAAAAGAAAAGTTTATTGGATAAGTAAGCTAACGTAAAAAGGTGTTTGTGTTAACCACACACAAATATAAATTTTATGAGCAACTATCTAGTCTCATCGTGCTGCGTTAAAAGTTTGAGAGCTAGGGGAGATCCAGCAGATATGGAGCAGCAATTCATTTGAAGTCATATTTCTGTCCACTTGATGTATGCAAGTCCTATACTTTTAGCTCTAATGTTGGTCTCCACCAACTCCTAGGAAAAATATCTGGCTCTATAGCTGCTAAATGTTCCACTATGTTCACCAGCTAGTCTCTCACTGTATCTCTCTGCTGATTGGTGCTGGGCAAAGAGCATACAATGGGCTTGCAGAACCTTTTTGTTGAAAACTGCTGTCTGCTGCAAACAAAAACAACATCATGGAAGCCATGAGAGTGAACCAAAACAACAAAACAAAACAAAACAGTTTGAAAGATGCTAAAACAGAGTTGGTTGATAATTCTCTGTGGGTTCATCACTACTAGTGACACATTTTGCATCATTTAATCTATTGTTAATAAAGAAATATTGATTACAACACATTTAAACTGCTATATCTAGATTGAGTTAATGATATGAATCTTTGTTCCCAACATTAGCCACATTTACATAATGGCGTTAATCATGTAATATAGGGTTCAGTCACAGCCTTGTTGAAGCTTTAAATTTTCCATTTGACAATTATGTTATTAAGATGTCAGAGACCAAGTAGCTTGGAAATCCCCTGCTTTGTGGGGACCTTTTGTGCTGAATGCTTGTGTCAGATCTGATATAGTTTAGCTAATTGTAATGATACCATAATAAATGCATGTAACTTAAACATGTAGGTGACAAAAGGAGAAAAGGAGGGTTTCTTCTCACCTGACTGACAAAGGGGCTGTATACATTTACACTATTGTCTTTTTTAGTGGGAATGACACAATATTAAGTTATTGTTATATAATTTGTTATATAAAAAAACAAACATATTTTTAAAATACTGATAATGCACGACCCTTTCTTCTGCTTTCTTGTGTTCAATTCATTTGAATTTGTCACATAAATATGTTATTTGAGAGTATAGTGAACTACATTTAATACTGCAACTATGTAACAGGAAGATGAATGCTCCTGATGTTTGATAAATATCACTTTCTCGTAACCATACGAGAGGACCGCTAGCTAACTAATTATAACAAATACTTTACCTCATTACACTGGTGGTCAGGGGTGACTTCCAGGGTCTTGTCCTCAGTCTCAACCAGATCTTTGGTGCTGTGGAGCAAGTGCTCCAGCCGGACTTGGACGGTCTTCCTCATGGTCTCATAGTCGCCCTCCAGATCACCCCATTCCTCCACCTCCTTCAGGATGACACAGTGGAGCAGCCCCAAGCACCGCCGCAGAGCTGAATGCAGCAACTGCACCTTCTCCTCGGTGCTGGGCTCCTCCGAGTCCGGGGACAGGGACACGATGCGTCTGCCGTCTGGGGTGTGGTCCACTAAGAAGGTCTCCTTCGCTTTCTGGAAAGGATGAGGAATATAGATTTTTTTTTTATGACTGCAAAGCAGACAGATACAAGGTGCTACTGGCCTTGTACTTGTACCTTTAATCTTATTCTAGATCAATTGCAAATTGAACCCAAAGTGAAAATCACATTGATTGTATTGATTAATTAAAAGGTACTCTAAAAAGGAAGATGAGGCACAGAAGCATGACAGCAGGAAAAAAATCCAATGCACTCTATCCATTAGGGGGCCCCAGGGAAATGGGGAAGAGGTGGGGGCGTCTTTTAGTGTAATTACACTCTGCACCACAGCATCCCTTCAACAACACACAAGTGCATAGTGGTGCATATTAAAAGTATATCCAGTAAAAGTCCCACATGTAATTCAAATGCGACAGGTAGCTAGCTGCCTCACAACAAAAACATGCTCGCAAAAGCCCCAACTAACGGGAACGGGAGTGCATCACACCGCCTGACGAGTATGAGGTAAGCATAACGAGTCTGCAAACTGATAACTCACATATAGCTGGAGCAGATGAGTACATTCGTGGTGCAGTAGACGGGCGAGAGCCACCGCTCTCCCCGTTCGCGACCGGCCAGTCACCGGCGCGTCCAGCACGGTTATCGTCTGCTCCTCCTGCTCTGCCATTTGCACTCCAGCCCTGTTTATATAGGTGGGTTAGCCGCGAGCTGGATGAAGACCGAGTGGAGAAATATCTCCCTCCCCTCCAAGGTCGTAAATATTGGCACAGAAACAACGTGTCGCGGAATCTTTTTTGGATACTTCAGCGGTTTGAGCACGAGCCGAAGGTCCTCACAGCGACTGTCAGTGCAGCGTGTTTATGTCGGTGTTCATGTTGGCATGCACGCAACCAGAGGGGATTTAATTGGTTCCGCAAGCCACAGGGGCGTTTTTAGGGGGACGCACAGGAGGGCCTTTTTTGTCCCAAAAAACGTCACCATGTGGCCCACCCATCCTTCCGCAAATAATAAAAACTCTCATTATTGGGGTAGTTTTTTTCAGCCACTGCAAGCTAGTATGGAAAACCACAAGGAGTGCAGCATATGCTTATTTCTGACCAATAGAATAGGCTGTTAATCTAAAAAATTTACACATACTGCAAACCACTTTTTAGTAAAGAGTACAGAGAACAAAAGCTCTGGTACCCACGTTTTGCATCATCCCTATGGAGAATTTATTGATAAATTTTTTATGAAAAGATATTTTCCAGATTCATAATTTATGACACTCACTCATTTAAAAACATGTTTAGAAAATGTGTTATTTGGAATCTAAAATTTTTATCAACACGTTGATGAATATAAGGCAAAAGTGTATTTGGTTCATTTAATATTGGCAAAATACCATAACCAAAAAACTACATACACCTTTTTATTACCCTGCAATCACACCCAATCTTCTCCTCAAAGAATAATAAAGTTATTAGCAATTACATTTTTGTTTGTTTGTTTGTTTGTTATCATTTTTTTGTGGATGTTTTCATGTTGTAAATAAAGTTGGAATAAAAATATATAATAGAAATTTCGTTTTGTGTCAGATGAAATAAGAAGTGTAAAAATGTAAGATTCTTGGTTTACTTTTGTAAATGCAGGATTCCAGTTTAAAAAAAATAAATAAAAAATTTAATAAATTTTCTAAAAACACTTATTCACTTTGTCATTATGTGTTATTGAATGTAGATCGATGGGTAAAAATGTAAATTTTAGTCATGTACATGAGAATCAAAACACAGTAAAGTGTGCAAAAAGGGAAGGGGTCTGAGTACTTTCTGAAAGATAAGTAAAAGTTAACTGAAGTCATTTAGAAGCAGTATTTGTGTTACATAGTTTGTCCACCAGGGAGCACTGGAAAATAAATTTTCAGCTTTATAATTACCAGCTTTAATATGTAACCAACTATAAACAACTATGTACATCTTCTGCAATAATTTACTAGGCTGCTTTTCATTCATCTCGTTCTCCTGTATTCAGAATTAGGCATTCGCTTAAATCTGACACAAATAAACATCATACTGATTCATAACTAATTGATATTGAAATGTGTTGTTTCTAATAAATCAGTAAATTTTGGATCACCTTGTTTAAATGATTTGTCGAAAAAAATACTTCCACCCAAAGACTTCGGAACATAATTTGTTTATTATAGTTATTTTGGACACATTTTCTGATAAATTAAGATTGGAAGCTTATGAGTACTCAGTAGTAGTGGCAGTGTACAGAGGTACATTTTATTATCTAACATTGCTTCAAGACAATTGCTGACAAAAAAAGTCAAAGTGGAAGGTGAACAAATACAATCAAATGAGGAAGGTGATTTTGATCTTTTCTTTACAAAATGTGGGAGACACTTTGACATGTCACAGTAGGAAAAGCACAGCTGTAAATAATGAATAAAAATAATAATAACAATAAAAGATGACTGAATTCCATATAACTGCTTCAGCTCACTGTCAGGGATTACTAGCACACCAGCAGAACCAAATCACTGATAATCAATAAAAATGACTTATTTTAGATTTTGACTGTAATCTCTTCTTGTCAAACCTCTACTGACAGCAAAACAAGTTAGATTTGTCTCAAGGTCCAGACTAAACATTCAATACATTTCAATATGTCTTATATTATCTTACACCAAAGATTCTTTTACACAGAGAACCTAATTTGGTTGTAGTTGTTGCTCAAGTTTTAAGTAACTGTAACTACTGAAGTTAACCTCATTATCTCAAAGACATTTGTCAATTCACTTTGCAAAACAGATGCATATAAACACAGCAGGGATACTATGGGAAAATAAATGTAATTTTAGACTTTCTTGTACATAATGCACAATCATCTTTCAGTCTAACATACACACATATATACAAACACAAGGTGATAAAACAAAAGTTATAAAATATTCATTAAGTGGTAAAATAAGTAATGTAATCTATAATATTACAAATTATACTCCCTGATATGAAGTAGCTCTGTAACTGAGAACTGTATGCAACTACTATGTTATACTCCATGGAAATAAATTCTGTTATTTCAAATATTTATGTCAGTTTATGAACTTTTGACATTTTCTTCAGTCTTTTGTCCCTTCATCTTACCCTCTATGAAGTTCCTCATTCTCTATTTAGATTAAATTATCTCCATGAATCTCAGCACACTGTAACAGAATCTGTCTCTCTCCTTCCCGCTCCCAAACAATCCCCTCATCTTCCTTCCTCCTCTCCCTGTTGCTCTCCCACATTATTTCCCCGACATCCTCATGACTGCTGTCCACTATAACCCTCTCCCACAGCTCACCCTCCCCGGGTATCTGTGCAACTTCGTCAGCCTCCCTGCCCCACTGCGTGTCCTGCTGGGGAGCCAGGGTGGCGACCGAGCTCAGGGTTAGGAGCGTGCTCTGGGAGTCCGTGATCATGGATGTGACAGTGCTGGCAGGAAGGGTGGGGAGTTGGATGAGCTGGGGGTGGCTGGTGCTGGGCAGGTGAGTGGGAGAAGCAGTGGTGAGGTGCAGCAAGGTAGGGGCTTGCTGCTGGTGTGCTACCTGCAACATATGATGTGTTGGCAGTTGGAGGAACTGGCCTTGAGATACATCTATCTGAGCCTGTTGAGCGAGTGGGAGCACAACCTGCTGTAGCGGAGTGAGCGTACCACCCACCACCTCCTGGCTCTCCGGACTGACAGAGGGCCGGTCAGGCTGGGTGAGCACTGGGACAGTCTCTGTTAGCGGGGTGGGGCTGCTTCTTACTGAACCTCCATTAGCTGCTAAGGCTTCAGCTATGAGCACCTCGGGGTGGCTCTTGGCCTTGTGGGCAACAACAGAGTCCTTTTTCTCAAACTTTTTGCCACAAATAGAGCAAGAGAACTGGTAGGAGGCTTCTGCATCATGCTTCTTCATATGCCAGTTTAAGGAGGCCTTCTGACGGCAGGTGAAGCCACAGATCTCACACCTGCCACAAGGTGGAGACAGAGAACAGGTTATAGTCCAAACTGATCTGAAGCTCAAGTTTCATCTCAGACCCCTTTACCTCCAGTTTCACTGCAATTTACTCAGGAGTATAGAAGTATAAAGTAACAGTAAAAGTAAAAAATAGTAAGGCAAAGTATTTCACAACTGTATTTACATACAGCACTTCAACTTCAACTTTATTATTATTATCCCGAAGTAAATTTGGTTTGCAGCAGGCATCACGAACACAACAAAGACATTAAAATACATTGACAAAAATAAACATTACATAGAGAACGCAATAATTCTGGGAGTGGTCAGCTCAAGTAAAGAATGGGGACATTGCTACCACCTTGAACTAACAACATCAATGGCAAGCAATACCAGATCCCCCCAACTTATGCAGTAGGTTCAACATAAATACTGCATCAAGTCAGTTAAAATGTTTGAGTTAATGTACTTAGTTACATTCCACCAATGCTCAGAACGAAAACAAAAGCAACTACTGTATATCACCAGACAATTTATATATTATAGAAAATGTTCTTCAGAAAGTCTCAGGCAGAGCAAGGTGAAAACTTGTAATGAAAGCCCTTATTTAGTTGGGGATATTGGTCATAACTTCAGCAGGGTGGAACAGAGAATTTACACCAGGTACCCTTAGTGGATTATACACTGGAAATAAACAATAATATCACATAATAAAATGACCAAAAAAGACAGATAAAATTATTATTACAATAATACCAAAATATTAATATCATAAAAATTAAAATCCTATCACTAATTATGACGCAATCCCAGCAATAGGTACAATTAAAGAGGCTTTTCATAAAAAGGGTTTATAGTCTAAATCTTCATTCAACCCTGGATATACTGTAGTAGCCTATATAATGTATGTAATACAATGCTAATTTTGCAGACTAAGCAGGATTCAAATACTAGAGCGGTGTAAATACTGCAGTGACAGGAAAAGCTACAATAGTTAACAGTGTGTTCAGCGTTTGATGTATTTCCTATATGTTCTGTTAATTCTGACGAAAAATGTTTTCATTTAGCCTTAAAAAAACCCAAACATAAAACACATAACGATGGAGTGTCTTCATATAAGCGTACTAAGAATATCTGTAGATACCAGAGGCAGAAATAAATACAATTTGTATTATATGATTATCCTAAAATAATCCATTCTAAATAAATAAGCAAAATGTTGTGCCTACTCACTGTATTGGCTTCTCTCCTGTGTGGATCATCCTGTGCACAGCAAGGTTATGGGAGCTCTTGAAGGCACGAGCACAGTACTCACAGATGTAGTCCCTTTGATCTGAAAGACAAATGACGAGCAGAAATTAAACTATCTGACAGGAAAGACAAAATATTCAAGTTTTTAAATTAAATAAACCATCTAATTTCTTCTCTTGGCATGTTCAACTAGGGATTTGAAGCGGCTCGGAATTTTCTTAATGAAAAGCAAATAAACATAAGGTATGCTGCCAGTCTAAACACTGTGTACATAAACATCTGTGCCCTATAACATCACCTGTGTGGTGTTTTGCGTGGCGCAACAGCTGCTTCTGTAGACGAAACAAGCGCCCACATGAAGGGTGATCACACACATAGTTCTTTTTTAGCAAGTGCTGGTATTTTATATGGTGCTGGAATAAAGAGATGACAGAGAAAGAGTCAGCAGGTTGAAGATACATTCACACTCAGTCCTTTAAAGATGAATCTATTTTTAATCATTTAAACATTAACATCAAACTTTGCATCTTAAGAGAAGTTCACAGATTAAAATAATATGTAAGAATATATCCATTATATTTCCGTGGGTAAGCTAATATTCTAACTACAGTACAGTGCAAAATTACAGACAGTGCCTTATTTTTGGGGTTGTCATGGTTACAGCTGATAGGATGGCATACCTGTAGGTAGCGCGGGTGAGCTAAGACAGTACCACAGCCTTCCATTTCACAGCGGACATACTGCACTGGAGGCTTTTTCCTGTAACAACAAAAAAGACTACATTTTATAATAGTCATACTCTATCCAAATAACACAGATATCAATAATAAATAACATAACAAAGATGTATACCTTCGTTTTGGCTGCCTAGGGGCTTTGTCATCTTTGGGCTGTCTACCTCGCCTAAATGAAAACACATTCAGAAGTTTAGTATGGATTCTGAATTGTCAAACAACACTTGTTTCTCCATACTTTGTTTCTTCATGTTTGACTGTGTGTTATCACCCAGTCTATCATCAGTGTGCACAACAATCTTGATCAAAACCTACTTTTTAATGCCATTTCCTTCTTCCTCCTCTTCTGACTCCTCTTTTTTGACTTCCTTTTGTTGTAATGTTGTACGCTGCCTTGATTTTTCCCTAGAGAGTTAAAAGATAAGTTATTTCTGAAACTAACATTTTAACATTCATTAAGAAAGGGCAGTGAGCTCAACATACGTCTTTGTCTCGGGTTTATAGTTGAGGTCATCTGGGTCATCTCTGAATGGATCGTCCTCGTTGAGAGTCACATCTGGATCTGCAACGCTAATGTGGACATCAACACCATACAGGCCACAATGAAATTCACTTTGGCAAATCAATGAGAAATCTAACATTTTCTGTGCTGCTCATTTCTTATGTAGAATAACACTCACTTGTCATTGCTTCCTTTCAAAGCGCCCGTTTCCTCTCCTGAGAAATAGAGATAATGAATTTCAGCATGAGATGACTGCTGCATTAAAATATTACAATCTTATTGTCATGACATTTATACAATTATACTGTTAAAAGAACGCAAGTCATCTTTTTCTTACCAAATGACGAAGCCTCCGTGTCTGCTTCAGACTTGCATGCTGTTGCTGATGTGGTGTGTGAGGCTCGGGTTGAAGGTCTCCCTTTGCCCTTTCTAGATTTGGACCGCTTTGGTCTGGGAATGTGTTTGGATGCTGAGGGAGTTAGTATGCCCATGTGTTAGTGACATATCTAATAGCTCACGAGAACAAAATTCCTGCTTATAGATGATATGCATTGAAGTATGTATACCTTTTTTGACTGTGGATTTCTTGATGGCAGTTCTGTGTAAGAGAGGGTCTATAGTAAATAATAGCCAGGTGAAAGTCAAAAGAAATCTGTAGTACAAGGTAATTATACAGATAGTTTTAACTCAACTTTTCTTTGACAGTGAACAAGAACAGAATAACAAGAGCATTCAACTCATTTGCTTTGGTTTCTATATCTGGTAATTCTATAGCTTTAAGAAACCCCACTGTTAAAACACATGGCCCACAATTACAGCCACAAGCCTCCTTACAGTGCAATTTCACTGGAGCTTTTAACATGCCTCCTGAAAGTAATGTAGTTATGTGGATGCTATAGTCATGTACAATATAGTAGCTGGCATCTGTGCACGCACTTACTGCATGACAGGTGAGTTTTTGGAGCGTGATCCATTTCCAAGAAGCAGACTTGCAGGTTTTCTCTTGGAAGTGGCATTCTTCGACTCTATAGGTGTTCCAGCTAAAGCTCCTCTGGCTCGCAAAACACGCAAACAACCGCTGGCACTAGAACGAGAATCACAGGAGTCCGGGGAGGTCACTGCAGTTTTCCCCCGCCTTTTACGTCCTTCTCTCCCTCTGGACGGCTCAACCGAGTCCGTGGATGATTTAGGGGCCTCCTTTGAGTCTCCGATAGTCTCAAAACCAGGACGAGTACCCGAAACTTCGTCTTCCTCGGAGTCCATGCCGCGCTTATTTAACAGTTTGGACCCTCACAGACTTATGTTATTACCTCGTCGTGAAAATAGATAATTTAAGATGAACGTAGAAGGCCCTAGTGGGACCAAGTTTTGTTAGCTCGGTCAAGAGTAAATTTTACGTCAGTACGCAACATTTAATTAGTTATCTGATTAATTAAAAAGTTACGTTGTACGAGGAATATAATTTTACAAACACTGAGCATTATTTACTTCTTAAAGCCATAGCAAACCTCATATTTCTTTGGCTGAGACGGGGCCTTTTTAAGATGCGTCTCCTTTAAGAACAGCAGACGGATATGCGAAAATATTACTTTTGGACCAACGGGCTTCCATACTGTTTACAAAGGACGATTATGGGAAATGTAGTTATTAGTAGACCGCTTCTATTTATGCATTGACTTTTATGCAATTTGTGCAACACCTATTAAAATTTGATGTATCTTGGTTATGTTGGTCCTATTAATAATTAAATTCTACTGTTAATTGTTATCATTATTTTCATACTTATAATCTCTTTTATTATATGACACACAAAATTCATATCTAAAATAATTAAATACTGCCATTACCATTACTTAAGTTTTTTCTTCTTTCTTATACCCTCTTTCATTATATTGCATACATAACCTAAAGTAATTAAACACTACTAATAATTATAACTACTACTATTCTATAAAGTATTTTATTTTTATTTCATTATGAGCCATTCATACATTATATCTAAAATAATATCCTTATTGAACACAAAAGACAAATAACAACTTTCCCATATTGTTCCATGTAGCATGTGACAACTGATAAAGACCGAGGTGTGGCCGGGTCAAAGCATGGCAGAAGAAATGATATAACTAGAAACTGTTCTGAATGACAAAAATGTGGTAGAGTTAGGTGTGATACAGAAGACAGAAGCAAAGGAAGAAAATGCAGAAAGATCCTTGTTGGCTTTGTGCCAGTATTATGGAATTTATATACTATAAGTACCCTATTAATTACGCAAAACACACAGTTCGAAACTAACCAAAATATGTGACTGTTTGTGGTTTTCAGGTTTGAACACACCTTCATATGTTGGTTTCTGATTTCGAGTGACATGAAAGTACTCACAGTTGATTTTATGGATTGAAGCGTTAAACCTATTAATATGTATGTTTTAGCCTATTTATGACAAATCACATTACTTCTAGCTTCCACTACTGTGTAAAAAACTGTTTGTAAAACTGTTTGTAAAAACCTGAAAGTTAGTTTCATGATTCATCAAAATGATCACAGTTTCTGGCATTTACTTTTCTCATTGTTACGTTATAACTACATTGTATTGCAGCTGTACAGGCCGACTGAATTGAAAGGCTTGCACTACAGATTATGCCTTCTTCATCTACATTTCAGAGCATCTGTGGTTGGTAAGCGGGTCTTGTGTAGAGGAATAGTATCTTTCATTTAAAGACAGTGTCAATGCTGAGGTTCCTTTAAAGCAAGGTCCTTGAGTGTGAACAAATCAGTTATTGGATGTCCCAATTTTTATAGTTAAAGATAGGGCAGAAATAATTTTGCTCAATGTTAATTACCTCAAACCTGGTCAGAAATCTTGGTGTAATCATGGGCTCAGACCTACATTGTAACATCCACATGAAAACAACAAAATCTGCCTATTTCATCCAACAATTAGAGGAAACATGTCTCAGTAAGGTGATTAAGCTGACTGAGAAAGTGGAAAACATCACTTCAGGTCTCAGATCCTGGAACTAGCTTCCTGTGTATCAAATAATTGATTTTTAATCTTTGATTTCATTGGAAAGTCCTATGTGTATTTTTGTAGTGTCTTGTTAATTTTATTTCTTGTCATATGTAAAGCACTTTGAACTAGCTTGTTGTTGAAAAGTGTTATTTTGCCCCTGGATCAAGACAATGAAGTCCTGTATGAGTGAGTTGTATCGGGGTCAGTTGAATCAATGGGGTTTCTAATGCTATGGTGTCAAGAGTGTGATGTGTTCCCATGAAGCTTGGATTGTTGCTGAACAGGCTGATCTCTTTTTACTGACAATTATCAGTGAAGATCAGAACATATTTCATGTAAACTGAACTACTTTGAATAGAAAGGAGTGGTTATCAGCTCCCTCAAAACAATACCTTACTGTCATTTTGTTATTTTTATCAAAGGAAAACACATCATGCTCATCCAAACAGGCTCAGTTGTCAGACTAATTGGGCTTATTACGAAAAATAACCAATTTGCACACACTGAAATCTTCCATCTTACTTACTTAGGAACTTAATGAAAAAATCCCTAACTCCCACACCCAGCATTACATTACAATGAACAGATTTTATTTCATGTTGTTTGTCACCGCTGTGAGGTGGATTGACAGGTGTGATTAAGGCTGAAAGAACTGGTTACATGAGACACCTTAAGATGGCTCTTCTTTTTTAGTCATGTTTATGCTTATCAGTGTACTGAAGATTCTTGCAAGATGTCGGTTTGATGCTGTTGAGAGGTGAGTAGTAGATTTTGTGACTCGCAGTTTCTACATTCTTTGAAACAATTTGGACGGAGTCTATATGTGCAAGTGAGATCTGTTTTGTTTATGTTTATTGTTTGAACTGAAAAGAAACCAAAACGGCATTAATGCATTTTCCTAGAAATAGAAGGGTGTGGGTGTGTGTGTGTGAGTGAGTGAGTGAGTGAGTGAGTGAGTGAGTGAGAGAGAGAGAGAGAGAGAGAGACAGAGAGAGAGAGAGAGAGAGAGAGAGAGAGAGAGAGACAGGGAGGGGCAGACACATTCCAGACCATGGCTTTGCACATCAAATCTGACATTTAACGTACATGAGCAAAATCCCATCTTGTCATATTTGAGGAAAAATGACAGTGACGAGGTGTTTGATAGTGTGCAGCTTCGACTGGTTAAACAAAGCATGTTTTGATGTGTCTCATGACTCTCATGAATGACTCAACATTATTCAACGTCTCCTGAAAAGTTTTTTTTTTCCAGCTTATTCACAGTTTTTAGGTATAGACAAGTTAGCTGGTCACTTAGGGGGCACCACCAGGAAAAACCCTGGTCATGCTTCACTAAGCACCTGAGACTATCCCACAGTTCATTTGCTCACATTGCTGTGTCTTTGGATAATCAACTTACTTTCGTTCCATGCAAACATTATAATATGATCCATTGTGGGATAAGACTCAAAAGTGTGCAGGGCAACTCCAGTCATGTAGAAGTCCATAGCAAAAGTTCTTTGTTCCTGATGTGGTTGTTGAAATCCTGTCCAGACTTTCCTGCAGCAGATCCACACCAACATTCTCTCTCTATGGATATTATAGAAAATACAACAGAATATATGCCCTTAATGCAGAGCTATTAAGCTGTAAAACATATAAAGTAAATAGTATAAAGGAGGAAATAATACTCATAAATAAAATTAAAATAATATTAAATCATAAATCGTGGTCAGCAGATCCACAAGTGACAGTTTAATACTTATAATACCTACACCGCAGTACAGAAATGACAGAGACAGTCTCAATGAATGATTACAAAAGGGACTTAATGTTGGCACATAAATCAGAAGCCAGTTTGAATGCTGGTTGTTTACTTGTATTTATCATGCATCAAAGGAGTACAATACAGTACAATCATCAGGCATCATTGCAAAAAATAAACAAACAGAAAAAAAATAAAATAATTAAATACAGTACATAGTGGTGGTTGATCGAGAAGTCATATTAAAAAACAAGTGCATTTGTGCCAGTGGGGGAAAGAATGTAATCTACAACACATCGTCTCATGCTTTTTTGAAACTGCGTACACGTGGCACGCAGACTACACTTACTCAGACGTAAGTATGCAAGACATGTAGAATATGCTATTGTTGGCATAAGGTGCTTGGCTTCAAACAATAGGAGGCAAATGCCTTGAATCTGTTGCTTTTTGGCTTTGTTTTGTTATCAGATATGCTTGCTGCTCATGGATGCCGATCACTTGCCACCATGAAGTGTGGACATATTCTAAGCCTATTGACAGGTGAGTCAGGTGACATGGCATGAACTGTTCCATGACTTAACTAACTATAAGTATATCCCACCTGACGTAAGACATACCAGACGTATACCAGGTTCTAGAAAGTACAGATAATACGATGATATATATTGTCCCTCTCTATTTTCAAAAATCTCCTGAAGGCTCATCTCTTCCAATGGCACCTCCTTTCCTAACACCTTTAACACCCTGGCTAACTAGTACTTCCTATACACTTTCGGTGCACTTCTTTACCTGATCTCGTAGCACTTGAATTAGATTGAATAGATGTAGTACTAGGTAATTACACCGAAGTCTCCTACTGCACTGACGCTTTAGTGTTGTCTCTCACTTGTAAGTCGATTGGAATAAAAGTGTCTGCTAAATGAGAATATTCGAAGCATCCCAAAAAGGAAATCACTTGGAATCAAAAGATTAAACTGGATTAAATTGATGGATTAAATGGGTTACTAAATTACAGATGTCATTTATCACTAAATAGATGTAATTTATCACTAATGTTATTTAAATTAAATAAATATATGATGATAGTGCAGCTATAGTGCATAATGTTTCATTTTTCAAACACAAAATTTTTTTTGTCATATATGTGTGGAAAAAACACAGGCCTCTGAGCATTTCACAGGGTAGCAGTTGACTGACATTTGAGATCTGGCACTGGGAGACACGCTGTAAACTTTGCCACTAAATGGAAACCTCCTCATAGCCTCTGAATACTGATACTGATGTTTTTTCCCCTTTTGCAACAAGCATGTGATTAAGTGCAGTGGTTGGCCATTTAAGAAGTCTGTCTCTTTACAACATGAGGTTCCATAGTGCTGTTAAGTTTGTATTTCACTCAGAAAGTGGACACTGACAAACGTTGAGTCCCAGAGAAAGATAAGAAGTCACATGGGAAGCAACAGCTAACAACGCCAACTCCCCGGCTGATGGAATTGAAATGATGTTATCATTTCTAGTGCCCCCCCACACAGTCACTAAAAAAAACAGCTCTGATATTGTCAGTCAAAACCAAACATGTACACCTCCTCAAGAACACTAATGTGGGGGCAGAAAAAACAACATTAAATACTTACAAATTTGATCACATAAGTACATATATCAAAATGAACTTAATAGAAATGAACTTTAATTTCAGTTTGACTTTAATGTAAATTTCTGCTATTGCTTATGAGTAAAGGAATGTTGTGTCAACAAATGTTTTGACTACTACAGTGCCCACGGAGGCAAACACATTTACTCCACATGGGAATACAACAGCTAGCTCCAACAAGGAAGATGAAATGGTAGGAGCTTGAATAATGCCAAATGTAACTCGAGTCAAAGGAGAAACATCGGAAAGAGTGGAGGAAATAAATGCAACATCAACAGAGGGAATAGTCAGTAAAAATACTGCTACTGCCAGTAAAAGAAATACTGCTTCTCATGATCTCCCTGTGACTGCTCCCCATGAATCTGTCCAAACAGGTCTGTCAACTAATATTACAAGAAACCAACAGGCTTCCAAATCATCAGAGGCAAACCCTAGCACCTTATCTTTTGTTGTATCTAGCACATCCATAGTGGTACATAATGTGTCAGGACTGTTGGACTCCTCAGCTACACTAATGACTCCAACTCATACTCATCCTGACTCTACACAAATTCTTTCAGCCTTGACTACAGCTCAGTCCAGCTGAACTCTGACAATGCAAGAGTTGACCTCCCCTTTACTAAATTCAACTGTGGTGGATACACCAGTACCCAGTGACTTCAGCACCAGTACATGACACCCACACATTTACACACATTGTTGACTCATCCACCAACATATTTGTGACTGCCATTCCAGCCACACCTAAGGCCTCAGACGTCACAGATCATAGTACAGAGAGCAGCATTCCGCACTTATCAGAAACTGATGTGCTATATGCACCTACACGGAAATTCAAAGACAAAACACAGAGAGAGGAGCCAAATTTAACCTCCAACAAATCTGACGATGTGTCTGAGACAGTCATGTGACCCTAACCCATGAGACACAAACCACAGAATACATTGCAGTGCACAGTACATCATTTGCAGTTTCAGGGTCAACTGCAACACCAAATCAAAAGAATTCATCAGTGATGAATGTAATCTCAGCCTCAAATGTAGATGCTCTCTTTCTAACAACAATATCTACAGCTGCAACAGCAACACCAACCAAAACATCTGTAAAGACAGAATTAACCGAAACGCTGACACAACCTACAAACTCTGAAGCAGCACAAAACTCAACCCATTGGCAATACAAAATACTGTATCGGTGACAACAGTATCTGTTCTAACACAAGAAACAACTTCAACTCTGGAAAAGTCATTACAAGCAACCACTTTGTCATCAACACGAATTTCTGAATCTGCACTATCAGTATCCACCGCATCACCACAACCACAGACAGCGGCATCAACCACAATAAACTCAACAACAATAACCTACAGCGCAAAAGAGGAGAAATACAAACAACTCGTACACTACAACTAACAGAAATAAACCAAACCGATGTTGCAACAATTCACAGTACAACACTAATGCACGGCATGTCATTTACAACTGAGTCAACAACTCTTCAAACACAAGCCTCAGCAGCCATAAAATCAAACCAGCTCACCATAATCAACAACTCCAATACATACTACATCTTCTGAGAAATCACCAAAACCTGCAGTATCGACAATGATTCCACAGGACAACGTAAAATCTGTCACAACACCATCATCTGTGGATCTGCGGAAACAGCATCAGACATAACCTCCCTATCAACGTATTTGGCAACAGTATCTACAGTGGCACCAACAGAGACACGACCAAGCCGCCAAGGACAACATTCCCAAACTCAGATATAATCAGTACCCCTCCACAGATTTCTGCCTCTCCCTATACACTTAGTCCTAGGAACTTTGAGTTCATCTATAAATACACACACAGGTGGAAACTCATCAGTTGTTCCCATTGCATTCACCAGAAGACCAACGTCCCTGCTGTCCAACTCAACAACAGAAATCCCTTGCACCCCCTCAGAACATGACTACAAATGTGGATATGACTTCAGTGCCTGTACCAACAGATGGGACACCTAGCCAACGTATAGGTATTCCTGTTCAAAGAAAAGTTAATAGCTGTTTAACAGTTACACCAACAAACCTAACTGTGACTCCAGTACTTTCAGCAGTGCCATCCAGCTCTTTGCCGTCACCTGGACTTGTGTCTCAAACCGCAGCGATCACAGATGTTACCACAAGCTCAACTTCTATTGAGCCTTTATCATTTACCCCAGATACATCCCACCTGAATCCTGCCCAAACCAACACAACCCAGCTACAAGTTGATCCTACTTATTTCCCCTTATTGGGGAGAAATATTGTGTTTTTTAAAATACATTTTCAAAATTGTTGCTGTGAAGCCCCTTTTCCCGGACCACATTTGCTAAATATGGGGACTTGAAGGTTAGTGTTACCTGCTAAGCTAAACTAAGCGACTGCTGGCAGTAGCTTCATATTCACCATACAGGTATGAGATTGGCATCAATCTTCTCAACGAACTCTGAAAGTGGATACGTGTATTTCCCAAAATGGCAAACTATACATTTAAAGTCAGTGATGGTATGATATTTAGTCTGTATGATGGAAAACATGTGTTCTAGCTATGTGCTTAGTCTTTATGCCTCATACATTCAAGCCAGGTTGATATTTTAATTGTGTCAAGAAATTTCCTGTACTAAATTATATTTCTCATTTAATTTCACAGACACCAACATTGCCACCAGAAGTATACATTATACACCAAAGGCTTGAAATCCTTATTATCTGTATGACCAGTGATCAATATTAATTGAGCCAATCCACACTCTTAATTCATTGTTTACGAGGAATGTGTGTAAAACTGATGGACCACTCACTCTCAGCTACTCTCAATCACAAACTAAGCAGATTTCCTGTAATGTGCCGTCACTGATGCAACTGTTGTTTCTCACACTGAATGCTAGTTTTCTGAGCTCAGCTGTCCATTGATTATGTGCAATAGACTGTTAAGTAGCCTAAATGGTAACTGTCAAGGACAGAGTGTACAACCACAAATAGATATATCACTCTACCAATGCCGTGGACAGTTAAAAAAAGGATTGTGAAAGTAAGTCGGGCACTGAATGATGTCTATAGTGTTTCCTCCAACATGTTTGTGGTGGTTATGCCAGTCATGCTGCATTCTCTCTGTGGTATACATGTCTTCGTCCACCTTGTCCTTTTTAAAGATAAGACTCAGGTCCTATTTTTAAACATAATGAAAATACAAAAAAAAGCAAAACCTGCTGCTAACAAATCTACTGCATGGTTGAAATTGCAATAAAAGAGATTTATTGTTAAAATTTATTTCTTTTATTTCTCTGGCTCTGTTTTTTTCCAGTTTCTATTGCCATCTAATCCCCAGTTCAGTTAAGGATTTCATTATTTCTTTTATTTACTGATGTATCACGTTTTTAAGGCTCACTGGGATATTTTGTCTGACATGTAAAATTGAACAAATACTCCATCGTTCATAATTTTTACCTAATAATAATGGAGATATGCCTTTAACAAATCTTGTGTATAATTTGATTTGCCTTGACTTTTCTTCCATGTTGAAATTTGTTTATTGACTTTATTATTCTGATGTTTTGTGATGTTTTGTTACCTTATCTACCTGCACTTTGTGTGCTTATTTTTCTTTTCTACTTAATGCTGTTGTTTATTTTCTTTTTAAATATTCTAGCACCAATACATCTGCTGTTTGGAGCACTGTATTTACACCCTGAATAAACTTGATTATTTATGTTTATATATACTGTGTCATACAGTAAATCCACAGAATTCATGGTTAGTAGCAATCTCCAAAATATGTTCATGTTACATCAATATGCAGGTAATAAAATGAAAGTATTTGATTTGATGAGTATTATGCAGCTCTACTAAGAGATAAGTTAGTTCACTTGAGTGGAATGCATTGTGCTTTAGATTTTCAAATGACTGAACCATGAAATAGACAAAGACCCAGGAGCTGTTTGGGCAGTTTTTTTTCCTGCTGTCATCCTTCAGTGATGTGTTGAAACATTTCCAGAAAATGTATGACCGCCTATTATGACACTTCCTTTTACTTCTCAGCAATATAAATAAGACCTCAGCAAACAGGTGGCATCACACAAGATGTGCATTGGGGTAACATTCATAAGGAGCCTTTAAAATAAATCTAAAGAACATTATTAATAAAGTTAGAATATTGCTTGGGGTAAGTACATTTTTGTTTAATTAAATTCTAGATTTTACAGGTATTTTTATGAAATCAAATAAATTACTCTATACTTTACTATAACATGTTTTTGATTGCATGTTATGTACTATTTTGGAATTTCTTGTGAAATCTTGCTCTATTGGATTATTACAATCTATCATCCTATAGTTATGATGAAAAAAAATGTAATAATGTATTGGTTCATACAGGAACCTTTTCTTTTCCTAATTCCTTTCCATAATGAGGTCAGGGTCTGCTGGTTGTTTGGCAATAGCTAGTAAGGCTTATGACTCTTATGTGGAAAAAGAGTAATCTCAGTCAGCACATGTAAATACATTTTATATCGTTTTTAGATCCATTAGATGTTTTAAAATGATAAGAGTAACCTGTTTTAGTCTGAAATGTAAAGTACTGAAAAGCTGAGATTGCTATTAACCTTACACCAGGTCTTAAAGGCTGCTTTATAATTATGATACACATTACTGATTTTTTATACATACAGTATGGAATTCAATAAAATACTCTACTCAGTCAAAATTTTATCATGCAAGAAATTATTTGTTTTACAGTGCATTTCATAGTTTTATTTCCATTGCATTGTTGGCTGCCACCTTTAGCATATTGTAATAACCAAAAGTCAGTTTTTGCGATACAAATGTTTGATACAAGATAAGAAACATCTACTCAGGGCACTAATGTGTAATGTTAAGATAAACAAAAGTGCGTGGAAGGAAATCCATTTTACATTTTGACATTTTATTTCCAGTGATTATATGCTGCAATTTGAAATCAAGTATTAACTCTCAGAAAAAAAAAACAGAAAACGGAAAAGTGCTAAACTGTGCATCGGTGCTAAGATTAGTCTTCATTTTAATTATAAAATTTCATAGTTAACATTCATAATTTAAACTGTATTCATGGAAATCCCTTTCATTTTGGCTGCATAAATTAACAATGTGATTCCTTTAATTGGGATTTAATCCTTGATATTTAGTTCTTTCTATGTCTGCAGAACATCTTTCAGATGAAAAATGTCATTAACGCTGTGGAAAGTGGTCATTTAAAACATCTCATTGAAACTTATATATAAATGCTTTAATTTGAATTGTGGTCTTGAACTTGAAATAAAATTAAAACATTATGTTTGCACATTCATAAAAATATGAAAGCATTTTAATTTACCCTTTTATACCACTTCAAGTACTTAATGTCTGTTTTTTTCCTCATAAGCTCTATAAAAACTAAAACTAAACAAAATAACTTACCATTTACAAAACTATGAGACAGTTCTGATTAGCTGAGTGAAATATAAAGGTTATGCACATTATAGTGGTCATAATTACATAAGGTGTGACCTCTGTTGCTTGTAGATTCCTGTCTGAGGAAAACATGGAAAGTTGAGAGGATCCATTGTGATATATTATATGTTCTTTGCAAGCATCTTTCTTGCTTATGCATAGACCAAAATAAGTACCGTAATTGAGTTTCGAAATTAGTAGTTACATTTGTGCTTACTGCTATGACAAAATATCAGCCTCAGAAGTAAAAATAGTCACTTTGTGAAAGGTAAGGCCAAATGGTAAAAGCCACAGAAGGGTCCCATACCTACACCCTCATATAATATCTGTGAATTAGTAGTTGTAAAACCATCTTACTTTCAGCCCTGCTATGTAAAAACAAATCTAGCAGAGACATTTGATTAGCCTTTATGTTATATATATGAGACCAAATAATTGATAAGATAAATTATATGTGTATTTGAAATATGTACTTGTAGTGGTGCAATAAATTCTAAATCTATAGCTTACATTACATCTCTGTTATACAGTCTTTAATTATATTCACATTTATGTACTGAACGATTACATTCTATGCTTGGAAGAGCAGGTGCCCTCTGAACTTTGAAGAAAAGGTGGTAAAAGAGCTTCTATGTAGTACAAATTACGAATCAACAGAACAACTTAATGAAAAGTACATATGATGATTTACAAAGCTGCAAATATAGTTTAAATTGTACGAAAAAATCACACATTTTCATCATTACAAATTGAACATTAAGTGCATTAGGATGTTTGCTGTTTATTGTGTTTTTTTGAGTACGTCACTGTCCTGTCAAATATTGCAGGTTAAAGAGTAGACACAATGGGTTTTGGACCAGTCTTATCAAGTTTGCTGATACTTACAGGTAAGTTAGTGATTCTTGTAATATAGAGTGAAGGTGTTCACAGTGCTCTGAAAAAAACAGTGTTATTTTAAACACATTAATACTTATGTTCTTTAAATGTAGTGGCCATTGAGCTTGCTACTACACCAGCGGCTGCACAAACTGGTTTATCAACCACAACTGGAGGTTCAACAACAACTGGTGCATCAACCACAACTGGAGGTTCAACAACAACTGGTGCATCAACAACAACTGGAGGTTCAACAACAACTGGTGCATCAACCACAACTGGAGGTTCAACAACAACTGGTGCATCAACAACAACTGGAGGTTCAACAACAACTGGTGCATCAACAACTACTGGAGGTTCAACAACAACTGGTGCATCAACTACAACTGGAGGTTCAACAACAACTGGTGCATCAACAACTACTGGAGGTTCAACAACAACTGGTGCATCAACTACAACTGGAGGTTCAACAACAACTAGTGCATCAACCACAACTGGAGGTTCAACAACAACTGGTGCATCAACCACAACTGGAGGTTCAACAACAACTGGTGCATCAACTACAACTGGAGGTTCAACAACAACTGGTGCGTCAACCACAACTGTAGGTTCAACAACAACTGGTGCGTCAACCACAACTGGAGGTTCAACAACAACTGGTGCATCAACCACAACTGGAGGTTCAACAACAACTGGTGCATCAACAACTACTGGAGGTTCAACAACAACTGGTGCATCAACTACAACTGGAGGTTCAACAACAACTGGTGGATCAACAACAACTGGAGGTTCAACAACAACTGGTGCATCAACAACTACTGGAGGTTCAACAACAACTGATGCATCAACCACAACTGGAGGTTCAACAACAACTGATACATCAACCACAACTGGAGGTTCAACAACAACTGGTGGATCAACAACAACTGGAGGTTCAACAACAACTGATGGATCAACAACTACTGGAGGTTCAACAACAACTGGTGCATCAACTACAACTGGAGGTTCAACAACAACTGATGCATCAACCACAACTGGAGGTTCAACAACAACTGGTGGATCAACAACAACTGGAGGTTCAACAACAACTGGTGCATCAACTACATCTGGAGGTTCAACAACAACTGGTGCATCAACAACTACTGGAGGTTCAACAACAACTGGTGCATCAACTACAACTGGAGGTTCAACAACAACTGGTGCATCAACCACAGCTGCAGGTTCAACAACAACTGGTGCATCAACTACAACTGGAGGTCCAACAACAACAGGTGCATCAACAACTACTGGTGGATCAACAACAACTGGTGCATCAACTACATCTGGAGGTTCAACAACAACTGGTGCATCAACCACAACTGTAGGTTCAACAACAACTGGTGGATCAACTACAACTGGAGGTTCAACAACAACTGGTGCATCAACCACAACTGGAGGTTCAACAACAACTGGTGGATCAACTACAACTGGTGCATCAACAACTACTGGAGGTTCAACAACAACTGGTGCATCCACAACAACTGGTGCATCAACCACAACTGGAGGTTCAACAACAACTGGTGCATCAACTACAACTGGTGCATCAACAACTACTGGAGGTTCAACAACAACTGGTGCATCAACTACAACTGGAGGTTCAACAACAACTGGTGCATCAACTACAACTGGAGGTTCAACAACAACTGGTGCATCAACAACTACTGGAGGTTCAACAACAACTGGAGGATCCACAACAACTGGTGGAACAACTACAACTGGTGGATCAACTACAACAGGTGCATCAACAACTACTGGTGGATCAACAACAACTGGTGCATCAACTACAACTGGTGGATCCACAACAACTGGTGGATCAACCACAACTGGAGGATCAACTACAACTGGAGGTTCAACAACAACTGGTGCATCCACAACAACTGGTGGCTCAACAACAACTGGGGGGTCCACAACAACTGGAGGTTCAACAACAACTGGTGGATCAAGTACAACTGGAGGTTCAACAACGACTGGTGGATCAACTACGACTGGAGGTTCAACTACAACTGGTGGATCAACTACAACTGGAGGTTCAACAACAACTGGTGGCTCAACAACAACTGGTGGATCAACAACAATTGGAGATGCGACAACAACTACTACTAATATACCTGTTACAACTGAAGCTCCCCAACCAGTTGTGGTTCTTGAAGCAACCTTGGGAGAACCATTTGTAGAAGCACTCAATGATCGAAACAGCACTGAATTTCAGGCTCTTGAGACAAGAGTTGTAACACTTGTGAGTACATTACTGAAATGCATTACCTGATTACCTGTTTGCAATGGTTTTTGGATTTGAGTTGAAGAATATTGTATTTTTAATTTGTTAATATTTTTCTATTTGCTTCCTTCCCACAGTGTGATAGCATCTACAGGGAACGATTTGGCCTTCTTTTCATCCGCACTTTTATCATTCAGTTTAGGTAACATTTTCATATTTGAGAATCCAACTGATTTTGCTTTACCTCCTGGGTTGTGGTGATCAATATTAGAGTTGTTAATGTTAATGATGGCAAAAAAAAAATTACACATAGGTATAACTTATGAATGTTAAGAGATATGTGCTTTTTTGATGCAGACCAGCTGTAGTCAGAACACGAATGGGAAATACTGAAGCAGAGGTGGGGCTTGAGTTCAACCAAACTGATACAACTGCAGAAATCCCACAGGCTACTGCTGTTGCAGAGACATTAGTAGAAGCTGTGACTAACCCCAACAACACCTTTAATCTCACTGTCGAAGCCAACTCCATCCAAGTAGTGGGTAAGTAAACAGTAGTCCCACATTTTACACTAATAGATATTAGATAACGACTTTGTTGTCTCAATCAACAATGCAAAGATCTTTCTCAGCATGAGTTGTTTAAGGATGATTTCTGATATATTCCTGAATTTCATCTGAAAATAAGCATCCCATTTTTAAGTCCTATGACAATTATGGATCGGGTTTACAGAAGTTTTTTTTTTTTAACTCTGCATGCAATTAGATTTTACTGTCAAAGTTATTACTGATTCCTTGCTGTATGCCTTTTTAACGAATTGATTGGTCGACAAAGACCATACACAAACATAATTATCATGTCAACAGAAGCAAGACTTTAACTCTGACTTACTATATATTAACACAAAGTATAATGTAATGTATATGTAAGTTCAAAACAAGACCCTTTGGCTAATATGATGTATTCTCAATTTTTCTTCATATTTTTCCTTTTAACAGAAAGGAACAATTCAACAACAGCAATGCCCACTGTGAATACTACAGCTACAATTGCTGCAACTACAACCACCATTGCTGGTGCATCAACTACAACTGGTGGATCAACAACAATTGGAAATACGACAACTACTACTAATATTACTATTACAACTCCAGCTACAATTGCTGCAACTACAACCACAGCAACCCCTACAAACACCACGTCAGTACCAGCAACGACTACAACTGCTGAGGCAGTCACAACAAGGCAGTTGACTTTCAGATCTGTTGGAGAGACATTTACAAGTGACTTGCAGGATACATCATCTGCAGCATTTACAAGTCGAGCCTCACTGATCAAGTCAACAGTAAGTGTTTTTATTAGAATGAAACCTAGCAAAATTGAGCAAAATTAATTTGAAATGTTTTACAAGATGTCCATGATGTATTGGATGTATATAATGTAACAGTATTCTACTATATGCTATCTTTTCTTTTCATTTGTTTCATTTCCAATCAAATTTCCAATCAGAGTCACTTATTTTTAATTATAAACTGTTTTTTAAAAGAATTTAATCTCATGCAAACATGTCTAATTTATTATCTAAGTTTATGCTTTTAATAATTCCTTATATTCCTTATTCCTTATGAGATGAAAAAACAACATAAATCATTGTTACACATACAGCAAATAGGACACAGATTAAATATGGTGACATTGAAAAAACTGGAATTTGGATTAACAGGAAGTAGAATGGAAGAACAGTGTTGTTGTATAGTTCTGATTAAATACCATAATTAAAAATACAAAATGCACAAGTGATCAAACACAAGCCAGTATGGTACTTACAGCTGGTTTTCTTTTATGTCTGCAGCTTGAGCCTTTCTACCAACAAGAATTTCCTTCATTCCGCTCTTTGAATGTGGTTTCATTCAGGTAATTTTCTATTGTCGTTGACAGAATCTTACCAATATTGGGGATAACTTCATACAAATAAAACAATACTTTTTGGTAATTTCTTTTGCAGTAATGGATCAATCATCAACAACATGGACATTGGCTTTGCATCTACATCTGTCCCTAATAACACTCAGATTGCAAATGTATTGGTTAATGCAGCTTCAAATATCACAACCTTCAACGTTGACACCGCTTCCATTTCTGTGGATGGCACACGTAAGCAATATTGAATGATACCTTGTCAAAATTCTATATTATGTACAGAACTGTTTGTTAAAGCAAAATCTTTTTCCACTTTCATTTACATTTTATTTACAGAAGTGTCAAGTGGAGTCAGCCACAAGAGTCTCAGTCTCATCACTGCGTCCTGCCTGGTGCTGATGTCATGGCTGCTATCAAGCCAGCAATAGTGTCCGCGCTGATGTCCATGTGAAATCTCATTAGAAAATGACTGCTATCACTGGTATGAAAAAGGACATTGTTCTCATCAAATATCCAAGAGGAGGATCAAAAATGTTATATGGCATGGAAAGAGAAAGAACCAGATATCGCATTCAAAGTGTGGACGACCACACACCTTAATAACAAAGGTTGATCACAATGGCACACTGATTCAACCAGCATGGTCCTTTGTTAGAATTTTTCCTTATTTCTCTGTTTAATGTCCAAGGAAGATCATCCACGAAGGAGACAACTTTAGGCACCTGATCTACTGAAATGAAAGCATTATCACTGCAAATTTATGGTTTAAAAATTTGAGTAATGACAAATGAAACCTTGACACACCACAACATTTTTCCCTAAGTACAAATACAATTTGAACGTGTTGCGCAATAATAATATAATTTAGAAACACTATCATTGAAATAGAACATACAGGTAGTCATTTGAACATTACCCAAATTATTTATATCTAATTATGTTTTACTGCATATAGGAACTGCCCAGTTAGTGAAGTTGACAGAGAAAAAAATTCAGTAAGCAAAACATTCAGCCAATAATTGCTCCTCCCCCCAAAACTGACCCAAGATTTATGTTGAATGTCATGGCCCTCGAGAAACATACAACGTCTGAACAATGTCTTGTACGATAATCCAGTCACTTTCTTATTTATATGTATTTATATTATCATGCATATGTGTATTCTGTGAGTTTGCCGGTATTTTTATACCTTTAGAAAGAAATACTAAGTCTTCAAGATGATCAGGATACAAAAAAAATAAAATGTCTCAATTTAAAGTGGATATAAAAACATGTATCACTGTATAATGAAGAGGCTTCCATTAAAGGCACTGATGATCTATACAGATAATCAAAACCTGTGTCATTATTTCATAAAACTGACTTTTTCAATCAGATATTTTCAACAGGGTCAGTGAGAGATATGAGAAATAGTCACAGAAAAAGGTGCGGAAAGTGGGGGAGTGGGTTATTAGAGAGAAAGAAAGAGAAAAGGAGGTTTTAAAGCTGCTCAGTTGTTAAGATGTGTTGGGAATATTTATTAAAAAATGAAAAAAGGGAAAACTTGAGCTACACTTTCTATTTCATCATTATTTCCTTTTTATAAAATAAAGCGGACAAAAAGCCTTTGGTTATGTACTTATTACAATACTTATTTTATTTGATATGAGAAAAAAACATTTTATTATTTTTAAGTTCGTATTAGATAGATAGTAGATAGATAGATAGATGGATCCTTTATTAAGGTTATACTAACCTTGATGGAAAACATCATGAGATCAAGGGAAGATGTGGAGGAGAATTCATAAGGACTTAGGACAAGACAACCACAGTGCTGAGAGAATCTGACTATACTTACACTAGGCTTTTTTTTAACTAACATTATTTGCAACACAAGGACAATAAATACTCCTTTCCTGAACACAAAAACAAGGCAAACAGGAATGCAATAAGTATAAATAAGATAACATGAAAGGAATACACAGTTACAGAAAGTTGAGCCATTAAAATAATAATAACCAGACCAGAATAAATTATATTCAGACATAAGTATATAGTTTCTTGGCATGGGCGCTTTTGACATTTCTATACATTTGAACACTCATTTTGCCATGGTGAAACTACAATGGTGTGTCACATTAAATGTTGCTGCGGCAAGGAATTGTGGGACAGCATTATCTTCTTTACTTCCATAAAAGAAGATCCAGTGTTTCCTATGTATAAAGGAGATAAAATAGGAAGCATTGAAGCTCCTTTCCTTATTATTTAGAGATTTAGCTTAGACACTTAGGAACTCAGTTAGGAACCTTCTGAAGCAAAAAATAATTTTTGATCGCAGCCTCTGTCTCCTTCCTGGTTCCAAACAATCCCCTCATCTTCCTTCCTCCTCTCCCTGTTGCTCTCCCACATTACTTCCCCAACATCCTGATGACCCCTATTCACTAAAACCTCTCCCACAGCTCACCTTCCTTGGGCATTTATGCAACTTCATCATCCTCCCTGCCCCACTGCATGCCATGTTGGGGAGCAAGGGTAGTGATGGAGCTCAGGGTGGGAGGTGGAGTCTGCAATGGTCATGGATGTGACAGTGCTGGCAGGAAGGGTGGGGAGTTGGATGAGCTGGGGGTGGCTGGTGCTGGGCAGGTGAGTGGGAGAAGCAGTGGTGAGGTGCAGCAAGGTAGGGGCTTGCTGCTGGTGTGCTACCTGCAACATATGATGTGTTGGCAGTTGGAGGAACTGGCCTTGAGATACATCTATCTGAGCCTGTTGAGCGAGTGGGAGCACAACCTGCTGTAGCGGAGTGAGCGTACCACCCACCACCTCCTGGCTCTCCGGACTGACAGAGGGCCGGTCAGGCTGGGTGAGCACTGGGACAGTCTCTGTTAGCGGGGTGGGGCTGCTTCTTACTGAACCTCCATTAGCTGCTAAGGCTTCAGCTATGAGCACCTCAGGGTGGCTCTTGGCCTTGTGGGCAACAGAAGAGTCCTTTTTCTCAATCTTTTTTTTTTACCACAAATAGAGCAAGAGAACTGGTCGGAGGCTTCTGCATCATGCTTCTTCATATACCAGTTTAAGGAGGCCTTCTGATGGCAGGTGAAGCCACAGATCTCACACCTGCCACAAGGTGGAGACAGAGAACAGGTTATAGTCCAAACTGATCTGAAGCTCAAGTTTCATCTCAGACCCCTTTACCTCCAGTTTCACTGCAATTTACTCAGAACCAGTGACAGCAAAAGTATTCAGATCTTTAAGTAAATGTTCTTAGATATACTGCATTACAAGTAAGTCCTGCATTCAAAATAAGTAAAAAGACATTATTTAAGTTTATAAGTAAAAGTTGTCACTAATCTATATGTACTATTGGATCCCTATATGAAGCACTTAAAAATTGTAGCTGGTTGAGGTGGAGGTGAGTCTAGCTATTTTAAATGCTACTGGATAGTTTAATTTACTATAACAATGCATTTTACTGTACATGCTCATGACTGCAAAGTAAATACTAACTGTAGCTGTCAGATGAATGTAGCGGAGTAAAAAGTACAATATATCCCTCTAAAATCTAGTATAGTAGAAGTATAAAGTAACAAAATGAGAATACTAAAGTGTGAGTAGATGTACTTAGTTATGTTCCACCACTGCTCAGAACCAAAATAAAAACAACTACTGTATAGCACCAGGCAATTTATATAAAAGAAAATGTTCTTCAGAAAGTCTCAGGCAGAGCAAGGTGAAAACTTATAATGAAAGCCCTTATTTAGTTGGGGATATTGTTCATCACTTCATCAGGGGACGGATTTTGTTTCATGAACTGTGCACTCCCTAGCATCTAACCAAAAATATGTGACTGCTCTTGATTTTCAGGTTTGAACACACCTTCCTATGTTGGTTTCTGAGTTTGAATGAAATGAAAGTCCTCACAGAAGTAGGCTAAATCTTATGGATTGAAACATGAAACCTATTAATATATATGTTTTAGTCTATTTATAACAAATCACATTACTTCTGACTATTTTCCGAAGCATGTTTTTTATAGCTTCCATTATTGTCCATTGATTTCAGTATAGGTTTATCATCACTTTGTAAAAACCTGAAATTTGCTGTCAGTTTCATGATTTATCAAAGCGATCACAAAGTATGCCATTTACTTTTCCCATAGTTAAGTTATAACTACATTGTACTGCAGCAGTACATGCTGACTAAATTGAAAGGCTTGCATTGCAGCCTATACTAATACTACTAATACTACTGCTACATTTCATTACATGCGTAGTGGGTCAGTGGGTCTTGGGTAGAGGAATAGTACCTTTGATTTAAAGGCAGTGCCAATTGTGACAATTGGCCTCTGTTGTGCTGTGTGTCTGCCCTTTGACCTAAGATGCGTTTCAGGATGCTTGGAGGCAGAGTGAGTGGCAGGTTCGTCAGAGGAGATGTGACACACCTGTACAGCCTGGTTCACCTGTACTTAAGATGGCCACCTGGCCATGCTCTCTCTCACTCACTCACTGCCACCATGCCATACCTCTCTGGACCTCTCTATTATATGGACTAGTCCCAGGACAAGTTTTTTTGCCTGCTTGTCGACAATTCATTTTAAATTTTGAGATGGTTGTGTGAATAAATTAAAATGGGGGGTTTTCAGTGGTTGTAGATGTCTAGTACCAGGCATTGGTTGTCAGTTGTAATAGTTACTAGATGCAAACCCAGAGGAAGTTACACAAAAAAAATGGATTGTTAGTTGCCAGAGATTTGAGTGTTCTGAGGTGGTAAAGTCATTGTTTTGTAGAAATCTGTAGAAACTGAGTTAATTAATTGTTGGCTTTTGACTTGAAGCTTTTGTCGGCTTTGAATTGCATTGTGGGTAAAGTAGGCACCAGGTTTTGACAAGAATAATGAATAGAATAAAAAATATATCTTTGGTTCTGCTGCATTCATTTTGATCATTCTTTTGATCAAAAACTGTCCATTGTGAGTCCAACATGGGAGTGGAATGCTAAATCAGTGGAGTAGGCTACTCTTGTGTGCTAATTCTGTGCTGATGCTGATATGACATATCCAAATGTCCATGATGAACAATCAAGCTGGATCAACTGCTCTGACATTATCTCGAAACAAAATGCTTCTACAAAATATTATTCATTGCAGTGGATTGCACAAAATTGTAAGGTGCTCTTGTTTTGTTTCTTGTCCCATGAATGAAAATAAAATGTTGGTTGTTTATTTGGATTAATCTTGCATCAAAGGAGTAACCTCATTCTTGCAATATCGATTTTATACATAAATATAATTTTCACAAAACATGTCATACTAATTTGTTTTAAATGCAAAGTATGCTTTTGAATCTTGCTTTAAAAATGTCATTTTTCCACGCTACGCAAAGTTCTTGATAAAACAGATTGATTAAACTGAATTAAATTGATGGATTAAATGGATGTATCCAAGTCCCAGTGTAAGCAGCCCTGTAATTTAGGAACTTAAGTTGTACCATTACTACAGCTGTAGTGCATAATATTTAATTTTTCAAAACGGGATAAAACTTTTTTTGAATATATCTGTGGAAAAAAACATCTAAGCTTCAGGACGCTAAGCATTTCACAGGGTAGCAGTTGACTGACATTTGAGATCTGGCACTGGGAGACACGCTGTAAACTCTGAATGTTGATACAGATCGTTGTTCCCCTTTTGCAACAAGCACATGATGATGTGCAGTGGTTAGCCATTTAAGACGTCTGTCTCTTTACAAAATTCAACATAAGGTTGCTTTGTGATGTGAAGTTTGTATTTCACTCAGAAAGTGGAAACTAGCAGGCTAGGCTGACAAGCCACTAGTTGCAATCTAATTAGCCTAGCTTGCTAGCATTAACATTGATTTGCAGAGATGTTACTTTTTATTCATTCTATTTAAAAACCTCTAAAGAGTCAGATGGGAAGCAACGTCTATCAACACCAGCTGATTAATCATCTGTATGGCTGTTGGAATTGAAGTGATGTAATCATTTTTAGTGCCTCCCCAGACCTTCAGTGAATGGAGCGACAAGAACTGCCTCCTTCTGAACATCTCCAAGACCAAGGAGATGGCCATCGACTATCAGGGTCTAGGCCCACCCTTCAGCCAGTCAACATTTGAGGGAATCTATCTATCTATACATACATACATACATACATACATACCAGCACTGATATTGTCAGTCAAAACTAAAAATGTACCTCCTCAAGAACACTAATGTAAGTGGCAGAAAAACTAATAAAACACATTTTTCCGCTTTTGGTAATTACCAATATGATCACATAAGTACACATATCAAAATTAACTTAGTCAAAATTAACTTTAATTTCGGTTTGACT